GCCAGAGGTTTCAGGTAAATGAATTTTCCAGTTTTATTCATAATCAGAAATAAACTCACGGGGAAACATAAATCTGAGGCAGCAGGGGCAGCGTTCTTCCGCGGCGTGGTGCCTCTCACGTCAGTCCATCAAGGACTGGAATCTGCGCCTATCGCAGTCGGGCCGACAGTCCCCGCAGGGAGCCCGTGGGGCAGCACAGAGGCAGGGACAAAATCCAGCGGCTGTTAGGTTTTATTCGAGTACGCCCTATCGTCCTGTCGAGGTTGCAAACTTCCCTGCTGCACACTGAGGGGAAAGCTCACCTCTCAGACAGCGTTTCCTTTCCCTCCTGCCGGTGCCTGGAGTGGGGGCCTCCCCCGCTCACCGTGGAGCAAGCAGCTCCAGGGACGCCCTGCAGACCTTGTCCTGGTCCCAGGGTCGCTGGGTGGGGGACCTGTGTCCACGAGGCCCTCGGGGTCCGTGTGCCCAGGGCTCGGCCTCCAGGCCCGGCTTTGGTCTCAGGCGTTGGGAACACACGGCCATTCACGGTCTCCTCCTCGGCTCGTGCTTTCGGTTCGGCGTCACTCGTAGATTTGCACGTTGGTTCAGACGCACTCGGTATTCCCCTTGCATTGAGGTCACGTGTTGTTATCGCGGCTTCTTGGCCGAGTCAGGCTCGTTCGCCGCGGCCAAGAGCAGAGCTGCAGACGCGGGCCTTCAGCGCGGACATCGTCGGGCGGTCTGCCCACTGACCGCTGGAGTTTCACGTCCTCCTCGTTTCACCGGTTCATTAGAAACCTTTATTTTCCCGCTCCATCTGTGTTAACATTTCCCCCAATTTTGATAGAGAATTTTATTTTCCTTACGTCAGCCTTTCTGTTGTTCCGAGACTGTGCTCGTGACTTGGGCCCCGTGCAGAGGGTCCGGAGGTTTGTGAGGGCCGCCCTGCGCCTGCCGTTGTGCTGGATGGCGGTGAGCGGGTCTGTGGGTGCTCGCCGCGCGCCCGGTTCTGCGTGCCGGCGGTCCAGTGGCCGGCGTGTGCCTGTCGGGGGGCGGCAGCTGCCTCGCTGAGGACACGCGCGTGTGGGCTGTTCCAGGGACAGAGGACAGGGGCCCAGGCCTGAGGAGCAGAGACGAGTGTGGGGGCTGGAGGCCTGCGGGTGGCCTGGGCAGGAGTTTGGGTCCCCTGAGCGGGGTGGGGCTTCGAGAGGCCGTGGGCTTCACTCAGACGACAGTGGGGAACCGGAGGGTTTGGTGGGGGAGGGTGGGTTCACTGGGGCTTCAGAGGGCAGCCTCTCTGGTTCTCTCTCTGCGTCTCTCTCTCCCTCTCCCTGCCCCCCTCGGGGTGTCGGCGGGGGAGACAGAGAGACACTGAGGCTCCCGGTGTGTCAGGCCCGGCCCAGCCTGCTGTGCCCGGGGACCCGGCGCTCTGATCGCGGCAGAGCCTCGCGTGTTGTGCACCCGTTTGCCGCCTCTGCTGGTTGCGCCCGGAGCACGGGCGGGGAGGCTGGCGCCCACGTGACACAGTCGTGCTCGGAGGCTCGCCAGCTCCACGACCGGAGCACGCGCTCGGTTTCCTCATCGGGCTGTTGCTGGCCCGGGGGCCCAGGCCTTTCAGCGTCTCGTGGCCAGGATCCTTGGACCCGCGGTTGTGTCCTGTGCCCCCAGGGACCAGTGTGGCTCTCGGACTCCACCCTGCCGGGGGTGTTAACCATCCAGACACAAAAAACACCCAGAACTACGCAGCGGAGAATTTAAGGGAAAAGTTTTCTTTCTTGGCCGGAGGTGCCCCTGGGGCTGTGAAGGGTTAAGAGTCGTGACCGTCCTTCTGTGGCCGACGAAAACAGGGCCGACGAAAACTGAGCCTGAATCCTCGGCACAGTGAGACTCTGGGCCCAAGGATGGAGGTTCCAGGGTCCGCGAGTCCTGGGGACACAGGCAGCGCCGCGGGCAGAGCTGCTCTGGCCTTTGTCTGAGACTTGCCCGGAGGAGCTGCTGTTGCCTCGTTTCTCCCTGTCGAGCTTTCCGTGGGCAGCGCCCCCCACCCCCGCGGAGCCCGGAGACGCCCATCCGCTGCGGAAGGCACCTTCCCCACGGACACTTAACGCCTTCCTTCTGTCCTCTCGGCGGGAAGCAGTGCGGTGAAACTCGCTCTGTCTGTCCCCTGGTCCCCAAATCTGCTTCCGACTCCGTGTGGAGGGAGGGCCCGCCAGACGGACGCCTGCTTATCCTGAGCTCTGGGAGCGGCGAGCGCCCTGATCTCGGATTGACCCCGTTGCGGTGCCGCCGGTGAACTGCTCCTCCCTTCAGACTGTCGACTTCGACACAGGACCTGTGACGCCTCACTTTAGTTTTGTTCTCGAAATCTGTGTTCTGGGACCGTTTCGTAATACGTCCATTTATTCGCGTTTACATTGCAATGTGCATTTATATGCATTTTCTCGCTGTGGGAAAATGAAATCTCTCAACAGTGTTCTAGAAGAATCCACGTCAGAGCGAAGGCTGCGGGGCCTCCGCTGAGACCAGGCCCCTGGCAGGGACCTCGGCCGCTCCAGTCCCGGTGGGTCCTGCCCCTCTGGGACTCGGGGGACGTGCTTTGCTGGAACCCCAGGGCTGGCTGCAAGCCTTTGACTTGCTCCTGCCTTTTATAAAAATTTAACTCAGAACAGAGAAAAGCTGTTATTAAGAAAACTTGTTACTGTGTAACAGCAAACGCACCCCCTGGAGAAGATTCCGGGGGTCTCCAGGGTGCCCCTCAGCCTCCACAGTGGTGTCTCCAGGTGAGTCCGCCCCGCAGGCCAGGTGCTGCCTGCAGGCTCTGCCTGGCCGTGGCGTGGTGCCGGTGCAGGGGCGGCGGAGCAGCCCGGTCTGGTCCTGGGTTTAACAGGCAGGATTCAACGCGTGGAGGGAGACGGTTTCTGGCTTCTGTGCGGCGGGCACTCTACGGCCTCTCGTTTGCGGGTGGTTTGTTCCAGGCGTGCGGAGGCCAGTGGAGGCGAGGACAGGGGTCCGGCCAAGAGCTCTCTCCCCAGCGGAGGCCCCCTGTGGGGCAGACACTGGGGTTCAGAGTGAGTGTGTGGACGGGGGGCGTGACTGTGTTCACACAGACGCAGCACACCCGGAGCTCACAGGGCAGGGTCCCAGTCAGCACGGCTTTGATGCTCCGAGACCAGGAACCAGGAGTTGAACTGTGGGTCTCCCACCGAGTAACTGTGTGGTCCGGACACTCTGACCCCCTCGCACCCGCGCAGTGGTAACATCATCACAACGTTTCTGACTCCTCGTGTCCCTGTGAGTCTTCGTGACCCGGCGTGCCGGACGCCCTCGGCCCTGCCTGCTCCCAGCCAGCACGCGGCGAAGGTGTCCTGTGATCGCCGAGCCTCAGGCTCAGGGTGGAATGCTTTCTGGGCGCTGCTTCCTTTTAACATGTTTTAGAAGTTATTTTTTAAATTGTAGTTGATATAGAATATTGTATAGTATGTAACCACAGTGGTTAGGTATTTATATATGGCAAATAGATTTATTTTTAAAAACTATGTATAGGAAATAATATCATACTTTCTGTCTGTGACCTCGTGATACTTAGTTTTTGCTGTTTTATTGTAAATAATGTTCCTTGTGAGGCGTTGACGGGACACACACAGTTTCCTGTTTCACTTTTAAGGGCCGTGGCCAGAAACCTGAAGGTAGAAAATCTTCCAGAAGTTTAGAATTTGCCACAAACCGTGAGGTAATTTCATAGAGTAGGCGTGTGTGGATGAGCCCCCGTTGGGCCACCGCGGCCTCGCGGGCGTGCCCCGGGCCGCACTCGGGCACGGCCGCGGCGGGGAGCAGGGGGACGTGGAGCCGGTCTGGCCCCAGGCGCGGAGGCACCGTCAGCCCTTCACTCCTGGGAGGCCGATCGCTCCGTGACTCGTGGACTCAGAAGCCGTGTGGGGCTGGGTTAACCGTGAGCTGATTCAGTCCTGGGGCGTCTGTCCCTCCCACGTGAGAGTCATGTGAGCCAACGGCCCCTCCCTCAGCGGGGACACCTCTGTCCCCATCACCGCCGTCTTCAGTGGGCCTGAGCCCGGGAGCCAGGTGCCCGTGCCAGACCGTCACTGGGTGGGGGGACGGCGCTGGGTCAACGGTGATCACGCTGGCGTGCCTCCTCCGTGGGCTGTGACGTCCCTTCCGGGCCCCGGCTCCCCGGGCCTTGGGGAGGAGGCTGCGGGAACTACAAGGTGACAGGAGGGTCTCGGCTTCTGGCAGAGGTTTGTCACTGCCGGGCGCACGGGCCGGGGAGCGGGGCCGCAGCCAGTCTCGGGGGCGGCTCCCCCCAGGGCATCTTGGGGGAAAACTCAGCTCATCCTCCCGGATCAGACTCTGGGAGGACTGGGGGGCGATGGGGACACTGACAGAGCATTCTCCGTCGGCAGTGACCGTCTGTGCCGAGAGTGTGTCCTCTGGTACTGTGCCGGCGGGTTTAAATTCAGTCTCGTTTCCCCGCATCTCTGGGGGCCTGGCCCAGGCCGCAGCTCCGAGTGCCGCCCTGTCTCCGGGAGCCCCTCGGAGCCTCCTGTCCCTTGTGGCAAGGGCAGGCGACTGCCTGGGGACCACACCCAGACTCGTCTGAAAACCAAACAGTAAAGCAGAGGAAGAAGAAACCCAGTAGCTCTGATTTCTTTCAGTTTTCTGATTCCTTCTGCCTCAATATTTGCTTCAGTGTAAAGTCACCGGCAGCCTGGAACTGGGGTGAGCGGGCAGCAGTGCATTTGGGGGTAAATTCATGTCCAAATGTGAGTTATTTCCACAACTGTTGAAACTCCGGTAGCGCAGAGCGCGGTTCCCGTGGACCTTGGGGTCCTTCAGCAGCTCTCCAGACACGCTGCGCCGCCGCCGCCGCCCCGCCCTGGGCGTTGCTGCTGGCGCTGTGAGCTCAGAGCTGACACTGTGTGTGGCGGCATCCCCAGCTTGCGGGGTGTCAGGGGGGAGCCTCGGCCTTGTCAGCCGCTCATGGGGGGTCTCCTCTTCTCCCGCAGTCTGACAGCAATGCCAGCTTCCTCCGCGCGGCCCGAGCCGGCAATCTGGACAAAGTCGTGGAGTACCTGAAGGGAGGCATCGACATCAACACCTGCAACCAGGTAGGAGCGTGGCGGGACTCCGGGGGCGGCCGGCCAGTCGTGACTTTACTGAAGTTCCCGCAGTGTCAGTGGCCCAGACTGGGAGAGCCCCGCTCTCCCCTCGCCTCATTCCCCCTCCCGAAGCCTCGGACGCGTGAGTCTGGAGCCGTCACTGCCGAGAGCCCAGATCAGAGGAGGCAGCTGGGTGTCAGTTCTGCCTGTGACGTGGCCTGGCCGCCCGGAGCTGCAGTGCCGGCCGAGCCCGATGGTCGGCATCCCGTGGGGTGTCCAGTCGTCAGCCGGACGCTGGCCTCCCTCTGCTGTGGGGCTCTTACCCACGGGAACTGGGCGTTCCAGCTGCGGATGGAGAAACAAGGGGACAGAATTTTAAAAATTTTCCCTTTCCCCCGTAATGGTTTTAAAGCACAGACAGAGCGAGGAGAGCTGGACGCGTCGGCTGCAGTGACGGGTTTGGATTTTTGTGCCCCACGTCCTCTCGGTGGGGCTTTCGGCAGACGTCAGCACGCTGGGTGTCGCCTGGTCCCAGCGACGTTGAGAGTGTTGTGCTGTTTTGGGCTGAGGTTTTTATGCCGTGGGTTTAGGTGTCCAGTGTGCTCCCGCACTTCGCAGACCGTGCTAAGTGTCCGTGGCACGCTCGTGTGTGTGTGTGTGTGTGTGTGTGTGTGTGTGCGCGCACACGCACGCCCGCCTGGGGCGTGAGAGTCCGGGCTGGCTCTGAGTGAGCAGCAGGCCTTCCTCCGTCTTTGTCGGCGCCCGTGGCGGGCACGGGCCGCCCTGCTGGTCGGGTGTCGCTGCCGTGGGCCCACAGAGGGACACGGGCTGGTGAGAGCCGCTCTTGCTGCGAACTGTCGAGTCCTTTGTCTCTGACCCAGGAGACTCGTGTCTCTGCATCCCGGCTGCCTCTTGCTGCAGGACCAGCACCAGAGCCGTGGCCGGTCAGCCGTTCACCTCGTCGTGCAGACAGGACCCTGGGTCGCACGCAGCTCCTGACGTGGCCTGGAAAAGGCCTGGGTCCTCTGTCCCGACACACAGGGTCCTCCGGTCCTGCCCCTGCATTTCTTACCCATCGATTTCCCATTGTGAATCTTATTTGATATGTTTGCACTGTTCTTTTGAACAAATAACTTGAACTTCAGGGACATTAGTTACTATAATAGAGAAAAAATATCCAAATGTTCTATAGATGTATAAACTACCTCCAAAAATGCCTATGATACTGAATATAAAATAGTTTATAATTTTAATGTTACCTTAGATTTTTAAAAGTATATTAAATACATCCCCAAATTTTAATACCAATTCATTAACTTTCTACATTTGCTAGAGAATAGGCAGTGAAGCTATCAGTTTATTGAGGTAAAAATCGTCATTAAAAATGCCAAAGGGAACCCAGGGCAAATAAAGTTAACTTCAGTCAAACCAAGTCTACTGCAGCCTAAAGTATAACAAACATATTTAATCGTATGAAAGATCTTAGTGTGTTTTTAGAAAAGTAATTTCTCAGCAGTAAATACTCAGTGTGCTTTATGACCAACAACTTTTTGAGTCCTGAGAAAGCTTTTAGCTGCCTAACATGTTTTCCTCAGAGGGGCCAACTGGCCCATCGCTATAAAAGGGAAGAACATTTGCTTTTGTGAGGAGGCCACATGGGGCCAGGAGACCACACAGAGCTGAGAGACCAAAGCTCAAGGTTAAGTTTTTCCTCCACTTCCATCCAGGCATTTCAATTCAGGAAGTGACAGTTTTCTACTCTCTAGCACAAGATAGAATAATACATTCAGTCTCACGTCACTGGGTTGCAACGTGAACTAAATTAGGAGACATGAAAGGGCTTTCTATGGTATACACGGTCTAATTGCAACCACGATATATATAATTCACCAAGAATCAAAAAAATTACAACTGAGCTCCGTGCAAAATAGGAGACTCATTCTCCTATTGGGGGTGGGGGGGCATCTACCCAAGTTCACACACACGGACGCTGAGTGGGGTCCCCGGCTGGGGTCCCTGGGTCTGCCATCTCCCAGGGACAAGGCTTCCTCCTGAGGTGTGTGCGCCTGCCCTTCAGATCCCTCCTCTTCAAGCTCCGATCTTGTTTGTGGTCTGCCACTGCTGATGTGGAAAGAATGCCATTTCTCCTTCGATCAGCACGCGAGGGGCTTCGGGCACCTTCTGGGCCAAAGAGCACCACCCCCGGGGTTGTCCCTAGGACCTCAGCTCAACTGTGGAGGGAAAGTCGCTTCAGAAAACCCAGCAGCGCAGGAGGCGCCGCCCTTCCCCGGAGAACTGCTGTTTTTAACTGCGTGGCAGCCCACAGCCAACGCGCCCTGTGGGAGAGGCGAGGAAGAGTCGCCCTCTGGTTTGCTCGTGAGCCTGGGTTTCCGGGGAGCGACGGGATGCGGGGCGCGGGAGCGCACGCGGGCACCCTGTCGGATCTCGCAGTGGAAGGCGGCCGGGCCGCCCACGCTCCCAAAATAGCGCCTGCGTGGGCGTGCCGAGATTCCTCAAGCTGAAATTTGGATGGAAATTTCTTTCTTTGTAATATGGCCTCATAACTACTATAAGAATTTTGAAATTTAATCCAAAAATACCATTTGGTTTCCAATCACTTAAAGGATATAGGAAAAAAAATTCAGAAATTTGACATAAGAAATATTGTTTAATAAAAAACTCCCAAGTTTTCATTTTTCCTTTCCTAATGGCTACAAATCTGTTAAATTTTATTTTCTTTAAAAGATTAAATGAGTAAATTACTTGTCTGATCATCCTTTTACATTCAGAAAACAGAATACATTTTCCCATTTGCTCGCTGTTTCTGAAACTCTTATATATTTATGCTTCTCTTATTTAGTGGTTGTTCATAATCTAATAATGTCACAAAGGAAGTGACAGGCAGACATTGAAAATAGACTTTAAAACTCTTCAGTAAAACCATTTACTACACGCCCGCAAATCCTCCTGAGGCTCACAGACTCCGTCCGTGTGGATGCACCCCCTGGGTCCCCCCAGGGCGGCGCGGGGTGGGGGGTGTCAGTAGCTGTCGTTCACTGGCCGAGTCCCCGGCAGGACGCCGAAGGTCAGCGGCCCTTTGGTGTCGCGTCCTCTGCCGCCCCCCCCCCCCACTCCCGGGTGTTGGGTGCCCAGCGATCGATCGGGGCCCGTGGTTCCTTTCTCGGAGACAGAAGGCGGCCGACGCCCCACTTTCAAGATCACGGACGTCCCTCCGTTCCCGGGCCTCTCCCGGCAGCGACTGCATCGCCCGCTCACGCAGCCGCGGCTCGGCCGCAGAGCAGAGCGCTTCCAGGGGTCCCGTCAACCACGGCGCAGGGACCCGGATTCGCACTCCGCCCACATCCCTGGTGGCCCGCGCAGCCGGTGTCTCCAGGCTCCGTTCCCCGGGGGGGGGGGGGGGGGGTGCGGGGAGAGGCAGTGATCTCAACGGCATGCACGTCCCCAGGTGGCCGCGAGGGTGCAGTGCGGTGTCTGCAGAGTGCTCAGCGGGGCCGGCCTTCACCAGACACCGGCCAGTGCCGTCCCCGCGAGGACCTGGCGCCTCCGTGTGGAGTCTGCCCCCGGCCTCAGCCCTGGGGCGCAGCCGGTTCCGGGAAGGGGAGGCTGGTGGCTGAGGAGCAGGAAGTGGTGGGCGCTGTGCCGGCCGCTGCAGGGGAAGCTCTAATCGCTTCTGTTTCTCAGCGGACTGTGAGTCAAGGCCACGTGCTGAGCGTGAAGGGGGAGAGGGGAGAGGGTGGCGGAGGCTGGGGGAGCGGGCGAGCGTGGCTCAGTGTGGTCCCAGGCGGCACTGGGCCCCAAGGAGCACAGCCCACTGCCGTGTATGCGCACTCCTGCAGCCACATGCGGGCCCGGGCCCCCCGGAGTTAGTTCCTTGGGACCAGAACTCTGGGTTGGCTGAGACAGAGAAAGGCAAGCCACCGGCTTGCTTCTCGGGAGGAAGGCAAGGAGGTGAAGCTCCCGCAGGGAACCTCTGCGGAGGGGAGGTGAGCAGGCTCCCCGTGGGGCCGGAGGACCGTGCAGGTGGGCCAGCAGGGGTGCGAGGGAGTAAGTGGTGGTCGACGGGCGGCGTGCTGGACAGCGAGGTCCTGGAGGGAGGTTACGTTCAGGGAAATGACCAGGTCTCGAGTCCAGCCATGGAAGTGAGTGGATGAGGTGGGGAAGGGAGAGACCACCCGCTGAGAAGCAGGCACCTCACAGGCTGGAGATTTGGGAAAATCACCTTCAGCTACTAGCGGAAGGGGCGGGGAACCAGGACCCAAACTCTTCCCGGAGCGGGGTGCAGGCGGAGGCCGCCCGGGGGTCTAGGAAATGTCATCGGAGTGAAGAGCTCCCCATCCCGTCACCTCCCCTCCCGTGTGCGTCACCACAGCCGTCCGGAATGGGATCAAGCCCGGAAAACTGAAACAACCGCACTGGAAGTCCCCTCCTCTCTCGGGATGACTTTTGAGAGCATCCGCTGTCACTCTTCTGACCTGAGGGACGTCAGGTTTTCGCAGGGGCCCCACATCTCGGGTCCCACCTAAATGGCCCTAGTTTTTTTCTGCAGCCCAGAGCACGCATGCACGCTGCTCCCCCCCAGAAATGCCCACATGTTCACACACAGACACGTGTTCGCACACACAGACACGTGTTCGCACACACAGACACGTGTTCGCCCACACGCGTGCACAGGAGACGCAAGTGCACGTGTACATGAGTGTGGACGGAAGTCCCACCAAACGATAAACGCCCGACCAAGTCAGCGCCTCCCACCCACAGTGCGGCTCTCCTCCGTCTCCTCCGACCCGTCCTGGAATGTGCCGACTGACGACCTGCTTCTGCATCGGAAACCTGTGGACACCAGCCAAAGACACGGCGAGATCAGGGAAACCGTGTCGGACAAAGATGCCGCGCCCTGTGCTCTGCGGGTCCTGGTCTTCACAGAACTGACAGACCGTGGATTCCACCGCAGTGCGCGCTCCGCGCTCAGATCGGCCGCCGCGGACGACGCGGGAGGGCGCACTCGGCCGCGGTTGGCGCCCGGCGTGGGAACCGGGCTGGGGCGTCTGTCTGCCCGTCGGTCGCTCTGGTTTTGCAGTGGTTCTTGTCTCTCTGTGGTGCGGAGGATGCCATACAGGAGTCACTCATGCCGATGGCCGAGTGAGGCCGTAGTAGAGTTTCATGGCGACCTGTGTCCCTCCCGTGGGCTCGCAGGTCCTCTCTCGACCGCCTCTTGGCCGAGCTGGCGCAGGCGCCAAGGGGAATGGTGGGGGCCAGGGGCTGGCGTCCCTCCCTCCTGTCTCCTATGGTCGTCTGATGTGTGTTTACTCTCTACCTCCTCCCAGTGTCTTCTGGGAACTCATGTATTCCAGTCGCCTCCCATTTAGCATAACCAAGGAAGTTGTGCGAGTCAGGGGTGCTTTTCTCACACGCATCAGACAGATGGGAGGCCCTGGACGCGTCAGGTTTGCAGAGTACAGAAGCTACAGGTTGGAAAACAGCCACGGACAGGCAGGCACTAGGGAATGGTTGATTGCCAGGGGTTAGTGACAAACATCTGGGGCCCTTTGGGGACAGAAACTATGTCATGTGTGCTCTGCCCCTTCCTTTGAACCCCTTTGCCTCTCTGAACCCAACCCCCTGGAAATCAGTCTCTCTGGACATACTAGCTTCAGGCTGATGCAGAAAGAAGGGGACCCTGGGAGACCAGGGCCGGTCCACCTCGGGCCGTCCCGGTGCTCAGGGCCACCCCGTCCTCACCTTGCTCTCCACTCAGAGGCCTCGTTTCTTCTCCTGCAGAATGGACTCAACGCACTGCACCTGGCGGCCAAGGAGGGGCACGTGGGGCTGGTGCAGGAGCTCCTGGGCAGGGGCTCGGCCGTGGACTCCGCCACCAAGGTAGGCCGGTGCCCGGGGCGGTGGGCGGGTCCTCGCCCTGCGTGTGCACTTGGGGGTTTGCTGCAGCACCGGGATTCTCAACTCGGCAGAGCTGAAATCGGAACCCTCGCAGCTCAGCTTTGCAGAGTGTGGGTTGTTTCGTGTAGGAAGCAGCAGGCGTGACACTGAGTTCTGTCCACCTCGTTTCCAGTGTTTTGGCTTTTTCCTTTGATTCACCTGAAGTCTACCTTAGTATAACTCTCTGTAATCACAGACAGTGGCACCTGTTTTCCTAAGGTTAACTCATTTTTTAAAAAAAATATATGGATGTAGTAGACATCTGAGTGAAGATGAAATAATTTTCATGCTTTAATTAAAGTGTTGTATTTTTTAATGTACTCACTGAACCCGATAAGAGAATATACAGACTCCTTTGTACTCTGATGGGAAAGAGACTTTGGATCATGGATTGAGTGATTACGATAAAATGAGATTTTGTCACTGTGATGTGTTTGTAAAGAAATTAGGCTCATTTTTAGAGACGCGCACTCAAACTTGCTTCCTCGTTGATTCTGCTTCTGCTGGAATGTGTTTGAACCTTGCCATTGGGGAGTCATTTCAGAAACAACAGATACTTTCAAAAATACTATTAGTGGTGACAAATCTTTGTCTTCAGAAGGTGAACTTTTAATTTAGAAGAAAACAGTAGCCAATCAGAGTCAAGTCTGCTGCCTCTCGGCTGGAGTGTGATTACCTGTGGTCGTGGGGGGTGCAGTGAGGGGCCAGGGAGGGCGGAGGGTGGCGGGTGGAGCGAGGGCTGGACACCAGGCCTCCAGCCAGGGCGCTGGTCTGACCAGGGACAGACGGACTCGGCACTGGAGTCAATCAGGGGCAGGGCCAGGCAGCCTGGGCTTGCAGCGCCTCAAGCGTGAACAGCCCAGAGGGAGACCGGCCGTGCCTACAGCGTGGTACCCAGCAATTCCAGTGGAAATTGGAAAACAAAACAGACTCTCTGGCAACTCCAAAGAAGCTAACATATTAGTTCACTGTAGGTAATCAATTCCTTACTTTAGACATAAAGAGAGAAGAAGCATTTTTATTAACAAGTCTCTTGACCCCATCAAATAAATGTTAAACACACATTCAAAGACTATCACTTTGAATGTGTATCAAATTATTTGCTTCCCCTGAGTTGCCCATATTAACGTAATGTATTCATTAAACCAAGCACTCTTGGATTGCTTAAGTGTTGACATCGTCTTCCTTTTCTCCTTTCCTCTAAACTCTACTGATATTTTAAGATGCAGATGCCCTTTCAATCCTAGATTACTGCTGTAGACTTTTAGACTCAGACGACCCTCTGTCAGTGAGGAGACAGCTGAGCGCACACAGCAGCACCGAGCGGCTGTGCGAGCTCAGTCTGTCTGTCCTGCCCGCGGCTCCGGCCGGGGGCAGAGAGGACAGAGCGAGGTGGGGACGTGGCGTCTGGACCGTGAAACGGCCCTCCCCACGGTCGGCTGCTGCCTTGACAGAACAACAGGCTCCACCCACCTGAAACAACCAGCCACACGGAACATGCCTGTACAGGTTGGTTTCTGCAAAATCGGGGAACCAGTAACGTTTTCTCTTGTTGCTTCAAACAGAAGGGGAACACGGCTCTGCACATCGCCTCTCTGGCCGGACAGGCGGAAGTCGTCAAGGTTCTGGTCAAGGAAGGAGCCAACATTAACGCCCAGTCCCAGGTACGCGGTCTGCTGTGTCCATTGGGAGTGGGGCCCGGTCAGAGCGGTGCTGAGGGGCTGGGGCCGTGCCGCCCGCCCACTGGTGGGTAGAAACATGGACTGTGCACGCCTCGGTCATCTGTTTCGGCCACGTTATTTCACTGACCCGGGCTGCGACATCTCACTTTCCGGTGTACCTTGATCTCCCCGTGGACATGACGGGACTTTGGCAGGTGCCCAGCCTGCCATCTTGTCTGTAGGAGCATCGAAGGGAAGACAGTGTTTTTCCTGGAAGGACAGTGACATCTGAGCAGTGGGAATTTTTCACGCAAGCTCGGTGTTGCTCTGTAAAGCATTTTCCCTCCTCAGTTTTGAGACTCCCAGGCGGTGAACGTCCCAGTAGCAGGTGTGCTGCGAGGTGGGGGCCCCACTATGTGGCCCCGTCACTCGGCCACGCGGGCTTCGTGGAGCCCCCAGGGAAACAGGAGGCCACAGTCTGCCGGAGATGCACGCCCGCTGTTCTCGAGTCCTGCGTTCCCCCCGCCCTTTGTTCATCCGACCCCGGTGAGGCCACCTCGAAGCAGACCCGTCTCTCACACAAACACGCGTAGGCGTTTCTTGCAGGCGCTTTCAGATGTTCAGACCAGCACCTCTGACGCCCTTCGCAAGGTCACTGACGCTTAACTATGCACCCGGGGTTTTCGGGGTGCAAATGCCCGCCACGTGCGGCGACTGACCCTGGCCCAGGCGAGGCTTCCTGGAGCCTCTTTGTCATTGGCCGGTGCCCGCCCACGGTGGTGGGTCGTGGGAGCCGGGCCGTGCAAAGCAGGAAGCATGAGCAGTTGGCCGGCACGCCCACCGCACGCAACGCCACCATATGGCTGCAGCGCGTCCTTGGCTCTCGGCACAAAACTCGCAGCGGAACGTTCTGTTCTGTCCACAGACACGCTGTGTAAAGTGGGAGTCACACTCACAGAGCCCGAAAAGAGGTTTCGTGTTCAGCTCTTTCCCTGCAACTGTACACGTACGGTGTTTTCCTCAATAAGGTCCTCCGATTTTTAAATTGGGAAAATTACTATTTAATTCCGGGTCTCTGAGATTAGGATGAAGGCACATGCTTGCACTTGACCAGGGGTGAGAAAGACGTCAGGACACGCTGTTCTCAGACTGAAAACCTCAGTGTTGGTGGGAGCATCTGCGTGCACTTCTCAAGCTAGACGAATGAGCCTCTCCGCTCTGCACTCTCCCAGGAGCCTGGAGAAATCACGCAGATTTGCACAGAGTGGAATTCTGTCTCCTGTTCCAGTGGAATTCCAGCAGTAAGATTACTTGTCTGGTCATGTGAAATAAAATAAAGCACCTTTTCAGTTTTGAATTATAATTTAATTCACTTACATTTCGTCCTTGTGCTCGTGCGCGGGGACAGGCGGCGTGGAAAGGCTGAGTACTAGCCGTCGTTTTGTCCCGAAACTTGGAGGAATCAAGGCTGGACACCGTGACATCTAGATCTTGGTTTATTCCTTTTCGTTGTAATCCCTTCCCAAGTCTGTGCAGGGCAGGAATCACCGCGTTTTGAAGGAGCCGAGTTTAGGGTGAGGCCAGCCCGGCGGGAGAACAGTGTGAAGCACTGGAGCTTGTGTGGAGGCCTCCGCCCCCCCGCCCCCCGCATCGGGCTGCCCCGGAGGACGGGCCCCTCGGGTGGTGACGGGCCCCAGCCCTCACAGGGCCGGGTCCCCCTCCTCCACTGGGACCCCTGTGACCCCCACCCTCGGGGACACCGCACCACGGTGCTGCCTGCAGGCAGGGCCCACAGACAAAACACAGGGGGGAGACAGCGCACTGAGCCCAGTTTTGGACGGAAACTGTTGCCAGGACCCCCGACCCAGCAAGGACAGTGAGGACGGCCCCTGGGACCTGATGACTCGGCTGCAACTTTCTTTCTCTTTTCGTTGTTATTTTATTTTACTTCTTTACTTTTCCACCACTGTCCACACTCGGCACCACCCGCACCAGTCTCAGACGTGCAGCCACGGGCCGGAACGCCGCGCCCTCTACAGACCGCTCCTGCTCTCGGTTTGATTCATAGATAATTTTTTAAATTTATTTTTTCCGACTTTGTTGAGGTGTAATTGACAAGACTTGTAAGACATTTCGCACAACAGCATAATGATCTGATGCACATGTACCTTCTGCAAGGATTCCCCACGTCGAGCTGCTGACCACGCCTCTCGCCTTTCCTTCCTGGCGAGAACGGGGGCGGGAGCGCCCGTCTGCATCAGCTGGCGCAGTGTCCGACCCCAGCCGCACTCACCTCACGGCCGCGAGTTTGTGCTCTTTTGCCAGCCTCCCCCACCCCCACCCGTGCCCCTGGCCTGGGACCGCCGGTCTGCTCTCCGTCCCTGCGAGCTCAGACGGTGCGTGCACGTCTAGATCCCGCAGGGACGGGGTCTTGGGCGGCACTGGTGTGTGTCACGCAGCGTGGGGCCCTCCAGAGACCTGCTCTCCCGTCGGATCTGCGCCCGGACTCACTTATCTGTGCAACGGGAGTCGATACCGTCCATGAAGTTGGGGCTGAGCGTGAGGATCAAAGGAGACTGTGAACTGCTGGGGACCACAGTTGAGATGCCGTCAGCCACCTCGGACCAGACCCGCCGTCCCGCACAGAGCAGCAGCTCGTAATCACATCAGGACAGATGGGTTCTGCTGCCGCTCCCTCTGCAGCCTGAGTCTGCCCCAGCGTGACTGGTGCGCACCACCCGCCACACCCCAGAGAAAGAGGAGGACCCCCTGCCAGGGCGGGGCTGTGCCTGGTGAGCACACTCTCGGCACGGTCCCCGGCGACTGTGAGAGCCGGTCCCCTGGGAGCGTGCCACCCAGTCTCAGCGGCCATGGCCCTGGCGCAGGGCGCAGGCTGGCTCCAGGACGCTCTCGTGGTGCGTCCGCCTCCTTGGGGGGTTCCGGCTGCATTTGTAAGCCGGCACACCCGGGCAGGGCCATCAGAATACAATTTTGTTTGCAGTCTGACTTTTGATGGGAAACAAGGACAGGGTGGGCCCTGCACATGTCCCGTGTGGGCGAGCTCTGAGGAGTGACCTCTTCCCTTACAGTCATCCAGGCCCAAACGGTCGCTTTTCTGTCCAGAGAGCTACAATGCTGTGCACCGAGGTCCTCTGGCGCAGAGTGTGGCTGCAGGAGCCTCGGGTTGGAGTCCGGCAGCCTCGGGCTCAGAGCGGCCGCCTCGCCGTTTGCAGGACCGGTGGCTGCGCCCGGCCCCTCCAGGTGCTGCTTGGAGTGAGTCCCCCCGCTGCCGACTCTCCCGGCTCCTCCCGCGAGGAGCAGCCTCAGCGAGAAGGCGCCCTGCCGCCTCTGTCCCTCGGGTGAACTCGGGATTCCCCGAGGCGCTCAGCAAGTTTTCTTTCTTCAAAACCACGACGACTCTCTTCGCCTGCCGCACCTCCCTTGCTTCTGCGGCTGCCAGGACCCGGCGTCCTCTTCTGGCTCCTCCAGGCTCTGCCCGTCTTCGGTTTTCCGAAGCCGACACCGTGTCCGTGCGCCTGCAGACCGCACCCTGACTGTCGGTGCAGGTTTCAACTGCGTGTGTGTGTAAGTCCTGGCACACGTGAGTGTGTTTCAAGGGCGAGATTACAAATAAATACTCCGAAGCACATGAGTGTGGGCACGTGACCGATGGTTCCACAAGTGTACGTGAGCTTTCGGACCGCGCCACGGACAGGGTTCATCCTTTGGGGTTCTGTCTGGGCAAGAATGTGTGAGCAGCTGTTCGAGGTTGAGGGCACCGTGTGGGGCTGGTGGTTGTAGGGCCTGCTCCCTTCCTGGCCCCCACAGTGCCTGCTCTGACCGCCCCGCCGCCCCTGGCGTCGCTCCGAGGGGCCCCCAGCTGTCGCTGTGTCGTGCGGCCTTTGCTGAGTCTGCTCGCCTGCCGTCGGGGTGACAGGAGACGGGACCTTGCTTGGGCCCCAAACTGCTCGCCTCCGACTGGAGGGGGAAGAGCGTGGGGTTGACCACTGTTGATAACGGAGAAAACTCAAGCAAATATCTGGGAATAAAACAAAAGGGAACCTTTACTTTGGGAAATGAAGAAAAAATGTTGGAACCCAGCGGGTGGGTTTGTGTGTCTTCTCCGCTCGAGGGTGTGTTGTTCCGGGGTTTCGCCCGGTGGGCAAAAATGCGCCATCAGGAAATGGCAGAAATGACTCCCGTGGCCGAGGGAAGCGGGAACTGCTCGTTGTTAAACGCTCGGGCTCTCCGATGCGGGTCTGGGCGTTCCGAGAACGCCCTGTGCTTCCCTTCTGTTTGCTGACGCAGCGCGGGCTGCGCGGCGCAGGGTGGAGAGAAAGCGGCTTTGGATGAGTTGGTGCAAACGAGCCGTGAGCGCTGGGGGTGTCGGGTGTGTTGTTAAAGGCTCGGACCAGCATTTCGTTTTCTCAGAGGCAGTTGGGTGGAAAGAAGAGACCTGGTTGTTAATCATTAATTAAAAATGTCTGTTTGTTGTTTTTTGGTGTAATGTGCGAGAGAAGTAAAAGAATTACAACTTATGTTGAGTATTTCAATCTGCAGAGTCGAAATTCTTTGATCCTTACTGTATTTATTCAACCTCAAAACAGTAGGACAGTGAGGAATTAAGTTATTACTGCGGCTTCATTCCAAACAGTTGTTTCAGGGTGATGAACCTCCCCCACCGGGAGGAAGTAGAAGCCCCCCCAGTCGCTGTTACCGAGCCCACTTCCCCAGCGTCCCGGGCTTGCCCCCCGAGGCCGGCCTGTTGCTTCTGGAGGCCACACGCCGCCCCTTGCTTCTCAGTGGCCGGGTCGTGTAGGAGGTCGCCCGGAACACACACTTTTAAAGCGTTTGCTCTACATGCCAAGCAAACTGCACGACGTCCTGAAGGTCTGAGCCATAGGTTTTTCAGCAGTTCGAAAGTCTAGAAAAATGTATTTAAAGAAAATTATCAGGGAATTAATTTCCACTCAATGTTACTATTGAAACACTCTTCTCTTAACTGTATGTTACCATTTTACCTCTGATACTGAGACATTTTCATGGCTTCAGTAGAGAATAATTAGGGCACAATAGCTGCAAATTTAATTCTAGTTTTTAAGAGATTATTTATTACATATACACCATAAAAGCATTTATATAATTATTATAAAATTTTGTGATACAGTGAGAAAATGCTTCATCCAGGGATAGATGGAGCACTAACAACCTAAATAAAAGCTCGCATTATATGTGCAAAAACAGCAGTGGAAGAAAACCTACCACTTAACACCTTACTTTGTATTTGCCATTCACACAGAAAAAGTGATTCTAAAGCCTCATCCCTTGGAAGAACGAATATGTTTCCTGAAAATGACCCACTTGCTTGCTTGTAGTTTAACCTCGTTCTTAGAAATCCATTTCATGTTTTTCCTGCTGCCGTGTCTCAGGGCTGCTCTTGTGTCTGGGAACCACTTTGTGATGCACCACATTTCCCGGAACAGGCTTTAGTTTTAACTGCTGTTTTGCTGTGTATAATGTGCTCCCATGTCTTTAACTCAAACTTTCAGGGAAAAAAATCTTACGTTTTAATTTTTTAATTCTATTTTTTACTTATTTATGTGTAGAAACAAAACCAATTATCATATTCCAGGGAATTATTAGATATTGTTATTGCTTTCTAGATTTATGGTTTCAACACATAAGCATAAAAAAGAATTAAAAACATTTATACAGATATGAAATTAGTACTACCCAAGTAAAATACACATCCTTATTTTTCCCTCAAAAATCTGGGTAAAAGCGCACTATACACTCAAAACATGGTAATCTGACGGTGTGAGGTCTGTTGTAGTGTGGCTGTCTGTTCAGTTAGGATGCCTTCAATCGCAAATAAGCAAAACCGACTCTGACTTAGTTAAGTAAACAGGGGCGTTCCTGGCGCGTGTGACGTTCAAACAGGCCAGCGGAGCTCCACTGTGCATGAAGATTAGTTCAGGCAGAGGCAGAGGGCGCACCAGGGCGCGCAACTTGAACTATGGAGAAGGGTTCGCATGTTTTCTCTGAGATTTGTCCACCAGCAGCCGCAGGGGACTGTGGGAGAGGTGGCAGGGATACCGTATTTTCCACCGTGTTCCTGGTGCCCAGCCACACCCAGACCTACAAACAACCGTCCACCTTGCTGCTCAGGCATGCGGCACGCTGGTGCAGCCGGGAGGGCCGGAGGCTCAGGATGAGCTCCCCAGTTCCCAGTGGCTCGGGTCCCAGTGCCACCTTTAGGTCTCTTAGGGCCTGAGTGGCGTGTGGAGACGTCTCCTGAAGGCTCTGGGCAGGCAGAGTTAAATGACAAATGGGAAGAGCGTAGCCTCTCCTCTCTTCGCGACCACCACCCTCAACTTCTCGCCCCTGGGAGTCAAAACCAGAGGAATCCTTGTGTCCAGGGGAGCGCTGGATGGAGGCCATCCGGTCAGCCACACCACCCGCTGCGGCCACCAGTCAGCCCTGCTCCACTCGGCCGACGGCTTTGCAGGGAACAGGGCTCTGCTCTGATGCCCGGGGCCTGGAGGCGGTGAAGGAGCGTGAACTGGGCGTCCTCCGGGTTTGGCCCCCAGGGTCGCACGGCTCAGGGGTGTGGCCGCTGGAGAACAGCCACAGTCGTGTCTGTTTAGTGACCCGAATGGCAGAGTTGTGACAAAACCCCATAAACCTAATCTCCCTGGGAAGATTCAGAGCACGGATCACTGTGACATTATCCGATGGGAGTGGCTGACCCTTTAAAGGGGACCTCTGGAGAGAAGAAGGCGGTGGAAATAACTCACAGCATCGTAACCTGGCAAAGACACGTCAAACGCGCATCACAGGAGAAACTACACGGTGTTTTAATTAACGAAATGCCTTCATAGCTGCCAAGCAAGTGTCTGACTGTGTCTTGTGTTCCTTCGCCCTAAGTGTCCCTGCAGAGCGCCCAGAATAGTCTGTTTGGTGACTGTAATTGGGACCCATTGGGTTTTTACATCCTTTGCAGCTGTGTGCTTCTAATATATTTAGGGAAGTAACTTGAATCATCCTGACCTCAGAGCTGGGGGCAACTTTGGTGACTTTGGGCCGCCCCCCAAGGCTGGTTCAGGGGAAGACGATGCGTGGGACCCGCATGGTGACCAGGGCAGTAACCCCCGCGGTGCTGCCGCTCAGAGAACGCACCTGCAGAGGAGTTCTGCTCAGGGACCTAAATCTGGACCTGACCTTCCTGTAGAAACAGGCTTGCCCCGGCCCGGGGCGCTCAGTGGGTGGCAGTGCCATCCCATAGACTCCGGTCCCGGGTGTGATTCCCAGTCAGGACATATGCCCAGGTTGTGGGTTCGATCCCCAGTTGGGGTCTATGTTTGTCTCTCACATCAATGTTTCCCTTTCCCTCCTTTCCTTCTTCCCTCCCTTCCCCTCTCTTGTCAATAAACATATCCTTGGGCAAGGATTTAAAACAACTTAAACCTGGCTACTTCATGCAGAACAATACGGATTTTTAATTTTTTAATCGTATTTATGATCTCTGTTGGCCTGCGGGGGAGCGAGTAGTGATTTATGCCTCTGAGGGTGCCAGTGAGCGAGCTGTGTGCATCCAGGATAATGGCGGTCTGTTTAAGTAGCTCGTGGTTGGTAAGTGCAGGGGATGGTATAGAAATACTGTCTTACACATTCACCACAGGTGGCGGGATTTCTGTGTAACACAGAATACGTGGACATTAAGACCCTAAATGTCTTTGGTGTAACAAGCGTTAGGAGCTGGGAGACGTGCGTCCTGGTGCGAGATGAGGACGGGGAGAGAAGGAGGCACTGCTCCTGGGTCCTTTCGGAGCGGCTGTGGGAGCTGGTTCGCCCGCACGCGTCCAGCTTCTCGGGAGTGCAGACGTGTTTCGTTCTCGGGTGCAGAGCACTGTCTGGGCGGTGCCACTCCACTGCCTTGTCCCCTCCTCGACGTGTGTGTGTGCCCCCCCAGTCCAAGTGTCACCAAGGAATGACGGAACGCGTCTTTTGTGTCGCTTGTCCTCAGAACGGCTTCACCCCCCTGTACATGGCCGCTCAGGAGAACCACATCGACGTCGTGAAGTACCTGCTGGAAAACGGCGCCAACCAGAGCACCGCCACCGAGGTGAGTGGCCGACAGCCCCTCCCGTCATCTCAGCCCCTTGACCTCCCCGTGCAGCCAGCAGGACGTCCTCGCCTCGTCCCAGCCACGCAGGTGTGGACGCGGCTGCCGCGGCCTGGAGCCGTGGCTGCGTGCCCCTCACGAGCCTGCGCTTCAGCTGGGGTCACGGCACTGGGTTTTTGCCTGAAATCCCGCTCCACTGACGGGCTGTTCTCTCCTCCGGCCCAGAGCGCACCACTGGTGCCCGAGTTCTACCTTTGGGCTACTTCTCATCTTGCAATACCGTGTGCTTTACGCTTCCACTCTGCTAAGAAATAGGTTCTTTTAAAACTCAATCCTTACTTGAAAATTCCATTCTTACTGTGGCAGTGCACTTACGACAGGAAGCTCTTGATGAAAATGATTTCCACAGAAGTCTATAGCAGCAATTTTCAGCCGGCATGCCATGCAAGTTTTTAAAACTCGTGATACCTGACTATTGAGTCAGGGGCACGGACTTCTTTTCCCCTAGGTCGTCAAATAAAAAATGGCAGCAGCCAACACAGCAGTAGCTTCCCAGGGTAAAGGGTCAAACTTATGCTTGTTTCCTTGTCAGACCGGCAAACAAAGTATTTTTGGTGTGCTGCGGGAGGTCAGTGATTAGTTCACGTACCGTGAGAGGAGAAAGGCTGAAAACCCCGAGGCTCTGCAGTTGGGTTGGAGAAAGGTGTTTCGTGCAAATAGAACCCAAAAGCAAGCTGGGATCACTGCACCGTGTCAGACAAAACAGGCTTTAAAGCAAAACTGCAATAAAAGGCTGAGATGGCTATTCCCCAGTGATGAAGGGGTCGACCCAGCAAGAAGCAGCCACATTTAAAAACATGCAGGCGCCCAGCGTGGGAGCCCCTGAATATATCCCAAACGTAGCAGCCCTGAAGGGAGCTGTGGCAGCCCTGCCAAGCAAGTCGGGGTCCTGACCACCCTCCCAGAGCGAGGGGCCGTCCCCGGTCCCCAGGGCACTGGTTGTAATCTCCTCCGGCCTCTGCAGAACAGTCTGTCCTTCCGCCCTGCTTGTCCGTCTCAGCTTCACCGAGCCCCAGGCGCCCCCAGGTCAGGGAAGGTTCTTTGTGTCCCGCAGGATGGCTTCACGCCGCTGGCGGTGGCCCTGCAGCAGGGACACGACCAGGCGGTGGCCGTGCTGCTGGAGAACGACACCAAGGGGAAGGTGCGGCTGCCGGCGCTGCACATCGCCGCCCGGAAGGACGACACCAAGTCGGCCGCCCTGCTGCTGCAGAACGACCACAACGCCGACGTGCAGTCCAAGGTGAGGCCGGCCGGCGGGCGGGCGGGCGGCTCCCAGCCGGGAGGGCGGGGCCCTGCTGCTGGTCCCAGACCCAGGTTCCCTCGGAGGGGGTTCAGGAGAAAGGGGACCCCGCCAGGCACAGCCACGAAAAGATGAGTAGGTGCTGTTCCAACAACGAGGGCCAGCTTTTTAGAAATTTGCCTGTTTGCTCCATTTCCAGTAAAAACTGGCAACAACAGCGTTAGAAAGAGGGGCCCGTGGTGTGGGGTGACAGGCCTTCCTGCCGCGTGGGCCGGGCCTGCGGGACGGGTCTGGCCGCGTGGGCGGCCTGTCTCCGTGCTTTGCAATGTGTAACGTCTGCCTCTTCTCTCCGCACAACCGCCTCAGATGATGGTGAATAGGACGACCGAGGTACAGTATCTGCTCCCCCAGCACACACTCGCTTTGACTCGGTTTTATTTTTTTAGTTTTTTTGTTCAATTAGAACAAATGTGCACTAATTCCCGCTAATGATTGGGACTTCCGTTATTAGGAAATTAGCTTGGAAACTCTCCCCATAATTAAGGGAAATGGATAATTCAAATGAAGCGTTACTTTATCAGTGAAACTATGGAAGCAGCTCACGAGAGCGGAGCGTGGAACAAACTGTCAGCGTGCTCCTGCCAAGTGAGCGACACGCTTACAAGTGCCACCACGGGGCTGTGACCCCTCGTAACGGGGGTTCTCAGGGTCGAGGTCAGCACAGCCCAGTGAGGGAGGTTAGTCCGCCCCCCGCCCCCTCACAGCGGCCCGTGTTGGCGACGTCGTCCCACGTGTGTGTGGCCAGTGACGAGAGTGACCGCGCCTGAGCAAAGCGCGAGTCTCAGGGTCCTTGCTGTCAGGTCGTCTATTTCCCCCAAGCCAAATCAGGCCTCGCCGATCAGCATGGACCTTCCGTGTGTGCGTGTGCACCCGGGTGTGACCAGGGGCTTCTCCTTGGCCGCGGCTGCCACCCAGAGGCCCCGGCGAGCCCTGTCGAAAGGGTGTCGCGGACGCCGACCCAGACGCGAGGGAAGTGCCTGCTCGCGTGGGCCGACTCTCATGGAGGCTGACGGCTCGCGGGCACGGGGTGGCGGGCCCAGCGTTCACCCTGAGTGTTCACTGGGCGAGGCGCACTTCCGGAGTCCTGTTTGTTCGCGGTGGCCACTGAGATGCGGCCCTGTGTGCACCACCCATGCCCGTTCTCCGGCTGCATCCCGGGGCCGGCTAACACGCAGGTCGGAGAGCCCAGAAACAGCGGCCCGTCTGCTCCGTGCAGTTGCTCTCAACTGAAACCACGAGACTGGCATCTTAGTGACCGGTTACAATACCGTTAATTCTTTAGGTGGTTTTTGGTGACTCAGACGCATTTTTGAAAACAATACTGCAGTTTGGTAGGTTGGTGCCAAGTTACACATATTCCGTGCAGGACCCGTGGCGACAGAGGCCCTTCCGCGCGGGGCCCGTGGGAGGGAGCCCAGCTCCCAGCCCCCCTCTCCGGCGGGCTTCCTCCCAGCGCCAAGTCAGCCATCGTGGCCGGCAGGGAGGCGAGGAGTTAGTTTATTTTTGCAAATGCGAAAGTGACAGTACTCCACTCGAACACTTTGAAAAAGACTCACCAGCGTTTGCTGTGTTTCTGTGTAATGACGCTGTGACCTGAACGGTAGACACACATTCAGGACACGCCCGGGGAACAAGAATGATGAAGATAAAGATGAAAAACACACAGTTATTTCCTAAATCCTAACAGCTTGACCTTCTGTAACATGAGCTGGGTTGCAGACTGCTCCCTTCCATGTTGACGTATTTGGCGTCAAGTAGCCGCGGAGTGAAAACGCCCTGGCCTGAGAGTGGGGCTGGGGCGGAGAGTCGCTGTTGCTGTTCCGTGCCTGGCGTCTCTGCCGCCGGAAGTCGGTGGCAGCCAGCGTGGCCGGTGGCACAGAGGGACTTCTGTCGCTGAGGGAGCTGAGCTGTGATTCAGATGATATTTCTTAAAAGCAGCTCACACCGAACACATCAGAGTTCCCTTCAGATAAAGCAGAACCAAACGGGATGACCTCACAGCTGCCAGACCGAGGCCCCGTCTACTGGGGATGGTCTCGGGTGCCTCTGTGGTCTTTTACGAAGCGACGAAACTGCGGGAATTGCAGAGCAAGGATGCAGAGCTTCCTATGCAAAGCTCTGTGTTCGTTAGTAACAAATTACTAGGCTTGTGTTGTGAAAATGGGACACCTTTTATACTAGTTTTTCATCAGAAAAAGAAATGAAATACACTTTTCTTCCATTTAAGAGTTTGAGATTCATTTTTAAACATTCGAGGGTAACCGTTCCTAATGCCCGTACCATTGATTTAACCTGCTGATTTTATTGTATAGCTATCTTATTTTATTTTGTGTCCATCTTATTTTATTTGGGATAAGATTTGGTTTAAATAACATTCAAAATAAGGTGCAACTAATTTTTTTGAAATTTTATATTCACATTGATGCCAAGTGTCTTGGTTAATTTTTTTTAACTCTTCCCGTCTAACAACGCAGTCCGACTGAGCCCCGGGCGACAGAGGTGGATCTCTCGCCCGAGTGTCCGTGTGGACAGACTGGCCCACCTCAGTGTCTTCCAAAGACACAGGGCCAACCTCTGCTGTTAATCATTTTTTAAAAGCTTCAATTTTGAGTTTTTCTCTGGAGAAAGCATCTTTATTCATAGTTACATTATTCTCATGGCTGAAACCTCATGTTGTTCAATCACACTGTTTTTCCGTAATGCTACACCAACTCAAGAAACCTGGTTTAGTTTATGTAGCAAATCTCATAAATGGATAAATTGTTAAGGTAATGAGAAACAACGCCAGGAAATATCGGAGCCTCCCTCACCCGTGCACAGACTCAGCTACTTACCCCTCGCAGCACTGAGCGTGAGTCTCGTTACGGCATCTGTTGTCTGGGCCGTGTGGCTACCGTGCCGGGAGACAGAGTCCCCCTGTTCCTTTGTCCACGGCCCTGGGACTCAGGCCCGTGGGAGGGACGCTTCACCCACGTGTCTCCTTGCTTCCCGCAGAGCGGCTTCACCCCCCTGCACATCGCTGCCCACTACGGGAACGTCAACGTGGCCACCCTGCTCCTCAACCGCGGCGCCGCCGTGGACTTCACCGCCAGGGTACGTGTGCAGCGGCCCGCGGTAGACAGCGCCGAGGTGACGGGGGGGGGGGTGGGTCGGGGGGAGTGCGGGTCCTTTCCCTTCCCTGCGTCTGTGCTGGAGAGGCAGGCTCTCCACTTCCTTATCCCACTCGCAGGACACTGTCACAGCCCAACACGTGAGTGATGAGAATGTGTGAGTTCACACACACACAAATCGTGTACCCACACATGAATCATGTATTTACACATATAAACCGTGTATTCACATGTATGATTCATATTCATACACACGCAGGTAATGTATCCACATGCACACACATCATCTGTAAGTGAAGGAGGATCTTAAGTCAGACACCCGTGCGAGCAGTTAGATGTAAAAATCACACCACGAATCGGAACGAGCAGTTTCAGGTCAGTAAACACTCGACTGTTAAACCGTACGGTGTAAAATGTGTCAGGACATTTATCCAAAGTCTTCGTGATGGTTGTCGGCTGCGCAGTTTGACAGGGAATTTTTTTAATGAATTGAGAACTTGCTTGTATGAGGGTCTCACTGAAACACGTCAAAGACGCCCTGTTGCGTTCTATGTTGGAAAGATTCCCTGAGTGACAGCCGTGGAACTCAGTGAAACGAGGAAGGGCGTGGGGGGCGCCCACGCGCAGCGGCAGGAGGAGAGCCCGCTGCCCCCCCGTGCAGCTGGAACACGGAGGTTAGCCTGGGGCTGCAGGAGGGGAAGTGGGCCCCCTCCCCGCTGTGGTGCCAGAGTGACCGCAGTGGGACCTTCCTGCCCTGGAGACGACAAGCTCAGAAGAAGCGGGGTGGCTCCGACGCAGAGACGAGACGCAGCCCCTGCAGGGAGGGGCTGCCGTGCAAGGTCTGACCAGCAGCATCCGCCAGGCTTCCGGAAAGCCAGCCAACGTAACGACCGTCGTGTCTGCGCTCCGACTCCAGAGGCTGAAGAGGAGGAAGGGGAAGCTTTACGCTCGCATCCGGGCGGAATGGGTCCCACAGCAGCAGCACAGGACACGCTGGCAATTATGTGAGACTGGGACGCAATGGTAGGAAATACAGTGGAATCCAGTGCCGGGAAATTTGGACAAGGGCTCCGACATGTAGCAGTCAGTGTGGGGGGTTCTGCAAAGCCAGCAACCTGCAGATCTGCACAGATAAACGTACGTGACCCAGGGCCAGAACGACCGTGCGCTGGAACGGGAAACACTGTTGGGCAGAACATGCACAGACTGCCCTGCAGGTGAAGAGGAAAGCGAACTGCAGATGGCCGACAGAGGGAGGAGGAGGAGGAAACACGGGCGGAAGAAATGCCAGTCACTCCAGCCCTGCCGGTGACCCCACCTCCCTGGCAGAGAGGAGCCAGGGTTGAAACGACTTCTGACGAGAGCGCGAGAAGGAAGTGGCAAAGCAGGACTGCGTCTGACCCTCAGGAAGACAGAAATCATGGCTGCAGAAGAAACGCATAACTTCAACACAGGCGCTGAGGATGCCCAGACTGTTAAAGCCTGGGCTGTCCTTGGTTCGAGGGAACCAGGAGAGGTCACCAGGAGCCCAGACCAGTGCTTAGAGACCAAGGCTGGGACCGCCCACCCCCCTCCCCAGTTAGGACGTGCGGGTGTGAGAGTCAGACAGTGAGGAAGGCTGATGAGAAACACAGATTCATCTGCAGTAGGGTGTTGGAGACGTGGAACCCTCAGAAAAATGGACCAGTGGGTCCCATAAATGTCTGAAATGTCACTGTGGCAGATGACAGACTGCAGCTGTCCTGCTGGGAACCTCGTGAGCAGGCGGGGTTCCTCAGGGAAGACAGTGATGCCGGGGACAGGGCGGCCGCAGGGAGAGAGGGGACCCCATGTGGGATGGACTCCCTCCGTGAAAGAAGCCACCGGCGGAGTCTCCGGGGCTGTGCGGGGCTGGGAGGACCGGACCCTGGGCACGACACTCGTTCGTGGGGTCACTAGGAGTCAGGGTGACCCAGTGGCACAGGGCGCACACACACATAACATAAATAAGTAAATGAGGTGTTTGAACATTTGCAAAATTATGACACAAAGGATCAGGTATATATATCCTCACCGTAGTGATGCTGTAGGATAGCCAATAAAATAACCCTAATTCACACATACGGTGTTTCACCCTTGGACATCTCCTGCCCTGAACCTGTGGGGTTATTCTCAAGCCGAGTCCACTCTGAAGGTGACTGTGAGAGTCGCTCTCCCCCGGGTATTGGGGTACTTGCACCCTACTTCTGAGCACAGGCAGCTCTGCGGCCCCCGGTTCTCTGTGTTTGTGGGGAACCGCAAGGACGGGCTCGGGGCTCGGGCTCCGTCCTAGGAGGACCCTGAAGTTTTCTTTCTGTGCCACAGGTGTGAGCCCACTGCCTGGGCTGTGAGGTGCGTGCCCAGTACCTACGTGGCAGCGACTGAGTTCCGCAGCTTCATTCCGTTTTATTCTCTATCCACAGTGCTTTGCGGGCCGTGTGCTTCTTGTTCCTCACAGACGGAAGCTCTGAATCGTAGGGTCTGTGGGTCAGGTGTGCTCCCAGGCCACCCCCCGCCCCACACCCTGTGTGCGCGCCCTCTGTGCCCTCACGCCCTCGCTCTTGCCTCCTCTCCCCGTAGAACGGGATCACGCCTCTGCACGTGGCCTCCAAGAGGGGGAACACGAACATGGTGAAGCTCCTGCTGGACCGCGGCGGTCAGATCGACGCCAAAACCAGGGTGAGCGCGTGCGCCTTCCGCCTCTGCGTCGGGACCCCCGCGTTCTCTCCGCGTCACCTGAAGGGCCAGCCCCCGAGCCCGCGGAAACGTGTGTCCTCGGGGGAACGGTTTCCTTAGATTTCATTCAAACCTCAGGCCCTAGTTAAGGCTTCACTTGGCAGCGGGGAATCAGTCTGTTCTCGTAAGTGCCCAGAAGAGCGGAGGGCTCTGCACCGACGCTGCCGGGTGCGCACGCGGGGGCCTCTGCACCGACGCTGCCGGGTGCGCACGCGGGGGCGGAGCCCTGCCTTCCTCTGTCTGAAACCTCGTCTTAATGTTGAAACAGCAACTTTTATAGATAGTTACAAAATGATACCATTTATTCAGGCCTTATTAAGGGCATTACTCACTTTTATTTTTAAACTTATTTATTATTTAAATGTGGAGATATTTTACCCAAGGTTTGTGGTTAAAATAGCGGCATACATACTTCAACGCAAGCAGTAAAAGCATACAAACACGCTTGAGGAGGGTGAACGAAAATCGGTCCATCGGAAAAGGGGTCGCCTTAGAAACCGAAGCAGTAACTGCGGGGCCACCAGCTGTCTCAGGCGCGGGGCGTGCTGCGTGCGCCCCCTGCAGCCCTCGCTCCGCAAGCGCAGCCGCGTCTCGGTGCGAACCGCTGGGGAGGTTCGCCTTGTTTTCCGACTGAGAAAGCGCGAGGTCCCCCTTTGAGAAGCGAGACACCCAGAGGGAGACGCGGGTCCCAGAGCAGCTTCGCCTCGAGCGAACCGTCTAACCCGCAGGCCTCCGGGGCCGGCGGGAGGAGCGGTCGCGGCCGAGGGAGGGAGGGGAAGGGCGGAGAAGCCGGCGTGCGCTGACCGGCCGGGGAGCGCCGGGGAGCGCCGGGGAGCGCCGTCCGCTCGCGTCGGCTGATCTTCCTTCTCGTAACTGTCGGGGTGTCTCGGGGGACCCGAACCGATTCTGGTGAAGAACACGAACACGGGGAAAGGGACTGTGGAGGGGGAAACCAAACTTTCAAACACAGGCTGAAGAATTTAATTTAAAAGAATTTAAGTAAAAAAGATCCTTGAACACCAGACCTCGGTGAGGATTTTTGGTGATGAGTCACTGTTCCTCGCGGAGAACAGCGCGGCGGCTCAGGCGGAGACGGAGACGGGCGTCAGGGGGACTCACAGCCCCTCCCAGCGCAGAGCAACTGCGTCGGGAGAGTGCGGGCCTGGCGCCCATGCGGCCCTCGCCGTCCTTGGTGTGTTTGGGGCGCCTGGGTGCTCTCCTGGCTTCCCGCTCGCTCCTCCGAGGGTGTTTCCACACCGTCACACGACGGACGTTTCAAGTAACTTGCAGAAAACAACACCTTCTCCAAACAGAGTCCCTTCGACTTTCAAGCAGGCTGCGAGGGACGCGGGGCAGGAGAGTCACGCCCACCCTGTGCGTCCCGGCTGACCCCCAGAGGCACCCCGGTGGCCCTGTGCCTCCCCCTGTCCCCCCCCACCCAGCCCGCGAGCGGCGCGGCCTCCCGGAACCTCCGTTCTCAGCGCTCCGTCCCTTGCGCCCTGGGTCTCGGCGCGGCCCCGCGGGGTGTTCCTGGGAGCGTGTGCGGGAAACCGAGCTGACCCAACCCGTGCGCGGCCCCCTGTGTAGCGACGCCCTGCACCCCAGCGCAGGGCCGTTCCTGGGGCGAAAAACGCACGCGTTCTAACCGCTTTGCCTGCACCACGCGTTTCCTCCTGGAAGGACAGCCTTCCCTTGCTAATGCCCACATGCCCACACTGCGAGGCCTGTGCTGGTCCTTCGGGGTCCTGAAATCCGCTGAAAACACTTAACAAAGCAAGGAATCACTACCAATCAGGGTTCTGGCTGAGCCAACGGCCCTAGAATTTGGTAATTTGCAGAAATTATTAAAGAGCCTGTTCCCCCTTTGTTGGTGGGCGGTGGGGAAGGCACCCGGATGGGGTGCGCCCCTTGGGGTGGTCCCGGCAGGGCGGTTAGCATCCAGGTCTGAACTCAAGGGGAGACGCGGGGGCAGAAGCTGCCGTGGGTAAAGAGACACGGCCAGACTTCAGGAGGCCCTCAGCAAGTTGCTTCCTGCGATGCAACAAGACACAGCCCAGGGCCCGAGTCAGCCTGGAGGCAGAGCACAGGGAGCCCAGCAGCGCCACCCAGAGAGGCCCGTGTGGGCCACGCAGCAATGTGGAGGAGGACAGAGCCCGGGCCTGCAGGGGCAGCTGGAAGTCCAGCCCAGAGCCCCTGGGATGAGGGTCGGGGAGAGTGTGGACCAGCCATGTTTATCAGGAGGGAAGTGAGGCCTGGGATCGGCCCCGGGGGTCCTCCCGCTACCCAGGGTCCCCCACCCCTCGACTGCGACCCACCTTCTCGGCCTCTCTGCCTCTGAGACTCCGTTTTTTTCCGAAGCCTGAAATCACCACTTAATGTGTGTTACTCAGGATTTTATGTCCTCTGTCACTTTTTGCCCATTGTTCTTACATTTCATTTCATATTTCCCATGTGCTCTGCTTCTTGGTCACGTCACCCCAGAGAGGCCCAAAGCCCACAGACAGAGGGTGTTTGGGTCGCTCTCAGGTCTGGGGCTGCCGGAAGCTCTGTGGACAGCACGGTGCATGGCTGTGCCCCAGCCGTGTCTGATGCTGTTTTAATGCTGCTGATCAGAAGTATGCGTTACCTCTGAGGAATACCTGTGTAGTTTGTAGGTGAGAGCATGTGTGTGGAAGCCGCCTGAGGCTTTTCCAGCGTGTGGAACAATGGCCTTACCCTCTAAGTGTTTCAGGTGGCATCTTAGGAGGACGTGTGAGAGTAGCGACAATGTGGGAGTGAGCCTGGGTGCATAACATTAAGTGAAGAGTTTTTGGATGGAAGTTCTGCTGGGTCAGCCACAGTGAAACAGCACAGCGACACAGTCTCTCGGCTGGTCCCGAGCAAGCAGGACTCCCGCGCCCTGTGGGAGCCGCCTGCGCCCGTCCGGTCTCACTTCCTTCCTCTCTCTCCTTCTCTGTCGCCGAGCCGCGAGCCGTCCTCGTGCCCATCTGTCGAGTCGCCAGGACACGCTCTCCTCGGGGTGCCCGTCGGTGGGGCCTGAGACCTGACCCTGGCTCTTTGGCAGGACGGGCTGACGCCGCTGCACTGCGCGGCCCGAAGCGGACACGACCAGGTGGTGGAGCTGCTGCTGGAGCGGGGTGCGCCGCTGCTGGCCCGGACCAAGGTGAGGCCCTGGGGACGGACACGGAGTCACCCGACCCTCCCGACACGGAGTGTCGCCAAGCGTCTCCTGGTCACTCAGCGTCTGTGTGCCAGGCGGGGGGCATGCGTGTCAGCCTGCTGCACGGTGTAACCTGAGCAAACACGTGCAGCAGGACGCATCGAACACATGCCTCCGAGATCTCTCTGTGCCTCACCTGCCGGTCGCACTGCAGAAGGAAATGAGTGTTGTGTGTCGATGATACTGTCTGACCTTCTGGGCGTCTACATTTTCATGAGGCTCTGAGACAGCTGTGAATTGCCCATAAAATCATCTGTTAGTGCAGCGCAGGCAGCACCACACGATGACTCTCAAGGGAAGCCGCGGTGAGGGGGACAGGGCAGCGTGAGCTCGCACTGCTGTCTGCGCAGGGCCAGTGGCGGGGGGCCTGCTGTTCTCTGTGGCTGAGCACAGCCAGCGCCCTGGTCTGGTCCCTCAGCGTGGCCCCACGGGACCCTCAGCCCGACGGGGAAGCCCAGCGGGGAGGATCGCACGACCGGAGGTGTGTTACTGGGTTCGCGGCAGTGCAGTTCCTCGCTGTGCAGCCTCGCTCCCGGGCACCAGGGCCCGTCGCCAGGCGCACGGGGAACAGCGCGCAGCAGTGCGAGGGGGCGCGCAGCAGCGCTGGGCCCCTACCAGCAAAAGTCAGACAGAGGCCACTTCTCACATCTTCTCCCTATTTCACCACGGCCCCCGCCCCCCCGCCACAAATCAGGGTTGGAGTCGATCAATGCTGTTTCCAGGGTAAGCGGTGGGAATAAGGCAGCCAACACAAGCAGTTATTTTTTAGTTTATACTGTGTGTTGATTGAATATGCAATTGGAGCCAATTGGAGCCACTTGGAGTGCAGGCCAGCCCACAGGTCTGCAGTCTGTGCGGAACGAGCTCTGTCTGCACAGACGTGCCCCCGGCCACGACAGGCTTCCCCTGATCAGACACCGAGGGGAACCGGGTGCCATCCTTTCCACCCCCACACCCACACTGTGCGTGTTGCACAGACCTGTCTTTGAAATGCAGTCTTGGGCCCGGGCGATGCAGAGGTAACTTGGGGCAGTTTTGTGGAGCACAGATTGAAGTTTAAGTGGGAGTAACACAGTGTCAGACCAGACATGTTACGACCACTGGAAAGCCAGTAGCGAATTGAGGACAGACAGGCAGCACCATCCGTGAACTTGAAGTGGCCTCGCCCTCGGAGGTGCCTGTAGTTGTCGCATCGCCCACGGAGACCGTGGGTCGCCGAGGTGGCCTCCTTGGGAAATCAAATGTCATTCCTGTGTCTGCGTCCCGCAGAAAGTGTGCACAACTGCATGAACATTTACCTGGTCATTCACTCCGTCAATCATTCATTCACTCACACACGTATTCATTTGTTCATGGCGCATTCACTTATTCACTCATCCGTTTGTTCATTCACTCATTCACGCATTCACGAATTCATGCATCACCCAACTGGCTAGCTGGCTGGGTTTCAGAGCCTGGCTGTGAGGCCTGAAGCGTGACGTGGTCTGGTTTGTTTTCCTGCACAGAACGGGCTGTCCCCGCTCCACATGGCCGCGCAGGGGGACCACGTGGACTGCGTCAAGCACCTGCTGCAGCACAAGGCCCCCGTGGACGACGTTACGCTGGACTACTTGACGGCCCTGCACGTCGCTGCACACTGTGGCCACTACCGTGTCACCAAGCTCCTCCTGGACAAGAGAGCCAATCCCAACGCCCGAGCCCTGGTAACGCTGGCCCCGGCCACACAGCGGGCGTGCGTGGTGGGGCGGGCAGGCCGGCCTCGTGGCTGCACGGCACGGCAGATGCAGGCGGTGTCGCCACCCAGGTGCCTGCCTGCACCTGTCTTCAGTCGCTGTGGTGTGATCTCGGGCACAGGGAGATGGCGAGGCCACCAAGGCGGCATCCCCACGATTAGTGAGTTGCAGTAGATGGGAAACCTTGGGGGGTGGTGGGGGTTGACAATCCGAAATGGAAAGTAGGAGCAGATAAGTAGGGGCTTCTCCACAAAATGAGCTCGGACACTTCTCTGTAGGGTCAGAGTGAACGTGGGAGAAAGCTGAACTTTCTTCTCTCCCCTTTGGAAAAGAAGGAGGTGAGGTGTCAGGCAGTGTAGGATGTCAGCCCGAGGAGAACTCCCTTGGTCGGCTCCCTCGCAGGCCCCGCCCAGGTGGAGAGCAGGGAGCTCAGCCCCTGGCGCTCCAGCAGGCGTTGTGTGGGGGCGTTGTGTGCAAACTGTGTGGCATCGGCCGTTCTGCAGCCCGTGTGTCCCGGCCTAACGCTGCCCAGGTCTCTGTGCTCCCCTCCCCTCTAACCGCTGCCCCGGCCGGAGGGCCTGCACTAACGCATGCCTCGTTCCTGTTCTCCCACTAAAAGCAAACCCTTTCCCCTCCACGTTTACGTGGTTAAAGCCACTCACATTAGTCTTCAGTCAGTGCTTAAGAAGGTAGGATGTCACTGAAGGATCAAATAGTAACTCTTGTGTTTAGAAGTTTTCCATCTGAATCAATGTATGCCTCATGCCTGGGAAGCACATGCACTTTCAGGGTTATGTGAGATTGTGGGAGCGTATTTATTTCCTCACAAGGAGGAGAGTACTCGTTTTCAGCCGGAGAGTGATCAGTGAGCTCGTGTGACGTTGCAGTCGAGTCATCAGAACTCTCGCAGGTGCCGGCTCCTTGTGTCCGGCTTTCACGCAGCTCAGGACCTAACAGACACTGCGAGGAGGTGCCGTGGGGTGGAGGCCACGCGCGTTCCTAGGAACTGCGGGTCTGGAAAAGTACTGGCCGGCGACCAGTCCCCATCGTCACCGACCATTCCACACACAGGTCATTGCTCAAGGAAGAACGCAGAACCTAAACACACCCCAGGGGGTTGGGCGCGGGGCTGGCTAGCGGACTTCTGCAGGCCCTTCCCCGGTGCCGGGACGTCAGCTGAGTCTGAGGAGTGCGAACCTGCCTCGGGCGTCTCCACGTTCCTCTGCCTTGGACAGGTCCCTCCCCCCAATGACCCCAGAAATTCTCCATACTTTCCTTTTAGAATATTCACACTTAATCATTTCTCCATAAACTATAGTTCACGAACATACCTGATAAATACTTTTAAATATAAGAGGCATAACTTCAAGAAATAAAATATGAACATAATGATTTCTGCTAATACGTGACTTCCTATAAGATTTTTAATATAACATTAGGATATAAAAAACTGTCAACATAAACCACGACCCGTGCTGATTTATTTGCGCATGTGCCCCCTGAGGAAGACGGGCACAAAGCTGACACGTTTGTGTCGGAGGCCGCCACGTCCTCCGACCTGCAGGGGAGCAGACGACCGCTATCTGTGCCCTGAGACGTGGCCTCGCGTCAGAGAGCGTGTGTGCGCCTGCGGTGCAGCCTGACCCTTCCGGTCCCACTGTCCCCGGGCCCCGCCCTGACGCGCAGGCCGAGCTCTGGTGCACGCTCGTCTTGTCTCCTCCGTCACCACACACAGCAGGACTCGGCGCAGGCGGGCAAGCCCGGGGCTCGCCGCAGGGGCAGCCGTGCCGGCCCAGCGAGGCGTGGCGGTGTGCCGGCACACTGCGGTGTGAGGGTCGGGTGCATGTACCGACTAACCCGGTTGTCTTTTGCGCAGAACGGCTTTACCCCCCTGCACATTGCCTGCAAGAAAAACCGCATCAAAGTCATGGAGCTGCTGGTGAAATACGGGGCTTCCATCCAGGCCGTGACAGAGGTAGACACTGTCCCCGCCTGTCCCCGACACCGCGCGTGCTGCCCCTGCGCGCCCGCCCGCCCCCGAGCCCGCGGGCCGGGGGCCCGAGCGCGCGGGGTACAGCCGTGTGCTCTGCCCGCAGTCTGGCCTCACGCCTACTCACGTGGCGGCCTTCATGGGCCACCTGAACATTGTGCTCCTGCTGCTGCAGAACGGCGCCTGCCCCGACGTCACTAACATCGTGAGTACGGCTGGGCGTCGGGCCGTCCGTCCGTCTGTGCTTGCGTGAGCTTGCGTGTGCTTGCGTGTGTGTGGAGGGAGCCAGGTCCGGTGGTGCCGGGCAACTGCAGGACCCCACCGAGGCCCCGTGGGGGGGGATCGCAGTCCTGGAGGCTCCGGGGTGGGGGGGCAGGTGCCTCGAAGCGTCAGCCCCCTCCCCCCAACAACCAGGGACACGGGTGCAGCAAGCGGCCCGGGCTCGCCCTGGGGGCTGAGCGTGACCTTGGAGCGAATGTCGGGTCAGGACCGCAGTCCGCCAGGGCAGTTGGCGACCCAGCGACAGACCCTCCTGGGGCTCCACTCTCGGTCAGGCCCTGCCCGCTGCAGGGACCTGGGGCTTCCACGTGCAGCCCCACTGGGCACCCCGTCCTGCTCTGGTTTTGTCGGGAGAGGCCTGTCCCCTCTCCCGTGAGGCAGTTCCGCCCCAAGCTCGCCCACCCGGAGGGGGCGCCGCCCGCCCGCCCCCAGCTTTCTTCCTGCCGGAGGCACCGGTGCCTGGAACTCTCCGCCTCGTCCCGACCGGGGCTTCACCTCCCGCTTCGCAGTGCTGCTGTCCTCGTCTCGGAGTCTGTCTGTCCGCCCCTTGACACTGTCCGATATGACCCCGTGCTCCCCGCCCGGCACTCACAGGACGCGGCCGTCCAGTGCTGAGGGCGTTGCGTAGCCACAGGAAGAGCTCTTCCCACAAACGTCCGAGGCCGTTAGTACGAGGGTCCTGGTCCCAGTGACTGGCCCATTCCTGCGCCTTCTGCTCAGTTTCCATGCTGGTGGCTGAGGCAGGGACAAAATCCGCATGAAATAAGCTTATTTGACTTTAAATAGTATTTAATTCTCCGTTTTCACGTGAGGGGCAATAGGAGCACAAACCGTTCAAAACCGTCGAGTCCCCGTTTACGAGCTCCCCCGCGCCGGGAGGGACTCGGCTTCCTCCCGCGCGGCTGCCTGGCCTGCGGCCCCGGACGGGAGGCGTCAGCTGCGCAGGAAGCTCCACGAGGCCCGTGTGTGTGCTGCGCCGCCTCGGCCTACCCAGCGCTCCTGGGGCCTCGTGTGCCGCCCAGCACCACGTCGAGTTGTGTTCCAGCTGCCGGGCCACCCACCCTGCTTCGGCGCTTCCGAGGGGCACAGCCGCGCGGAGTCCCTGCAGCTGCCGGCAGTCCGTTCCAACACCCAGGAGGGGCGTGACGTCCGGTAGCCGCTTCGGACCCGGGCTCTCCCTCCTCCTGCCGGACTTGTTCTTGTCTGGAATCTGCGGTCCACGGGAGGCACCCCCACCACTCCACCACTCGGCCACAGGCCTTTCCAGAACCTCACCAACGCCCCGCGCGGCTGCCTCACACAGTCGCCCACCCGCGGGAGCAGAGGCCACCCCGGTGGGCCGTCCAGAGTGCGGCCCGTGAGCGAGTGCCCCTCTGGTGGCCAGGCCCCGGCCCGGCCAGGCTCACACTTCGCATCAGGATGGGGGCAGAGACGCCCCCCCGAGCCTCGGAGCTAACTCACTCGGGGTAAGGAGAGCAGCGGAGCTGAGTCAGAGGGGGTGCCCTGCAACCAAGAAACCGAAGTTACACTCACATGGAAATAAGGGTAATACGATACAAAAAATCAAGGGAAAATTGCCATGAACGTCGGTTACCCCAAAGTCGTCAAACAAGAATCAAAAGAGACCATGTGCATAGATAGAACTTTCCTTTGAATGTAACATCCAGCACTGCACATTAGGGTTTATACGTGTTAGTTTCAGATGTGTGAACACCATACAGATAACTTATTTAGGGATAGTGAGACTAATATTGGAAACACTTTACATTTTGGAAACCCTTTATTGACTCCTGAGGCCTCTTTGACGTCTGTTAGGAGATGAAGTTTTGTCTTCGTTTCTACCAAAACTAGGAAAATCACTGTGCTTTCATGAGACCTGGAAACAGAGTAAAGATTTGAGCTTTCCGTGTGTGTGTGTGTGTGTGTGTGTGTGTGTAGCTGTGTTCAGGGGACCGCAGCTTCGTCTGCGCAGGGACAGGCTCTTGGTGACGGGGACCGGACGCTGGGGCCGCGTCACCCAGAGGAAAAGTCTTGCCACGCGTCCCAGGTCTGAGGGCAAACGCTGCCTTCCCGCTGATATGCCGCTTTGTAGAACAGTTGACTCTGGCACGTTTTCCCGGGAAAAGGCTAAATGTGTCGTCGGAAAAGGAGGACATTGGAGGGTGAATGAGTCGTCAACCAAAGGAAAAAGTCGGAGCAGACGCCCACTCGGTTCGGTGCTTTCACAGCGAAGTCACTCGGAGTGAGCCCCTCGCAGCCGCGGGAGGCGCGGGCCTCTGACCCCGGGAACAGAAACGGGGAGGGAAGTTCGCCCCAGACCTTCCAGGCCTAAGGGCTCCCTGTGCAAGGGAGAGAAGGCTCCGTTCCCCCATGTCAGGGGCTCGCCGCAGCCAGCCCCCCGACCAGCCCCCCGCGCACCTGGAGCGGGCTCCCTGCCCTGGCTGGAGCCGGCCTCGCTCCCGGGCAGGCGGCACCGAGGGCACCGACGGCACTAACTCCCAGGCCAGCGCCGCGTCTTCCGTCACTGAAAACCGTCCGCGTGAATGGACCTCCGCCTCGTCCAGAACTACGTGTGACTTTGAAACACGGCGGTTAAAAAGGGGCAGACGCTGTGCTTCAGGCTCAGTGACCAGCAGGCCCCCCCTGAGAAAACTCTCCGCGGTCCCAGCTGCCGTCTCCGGTCAGCGGTCAGCGAGGCGGTCGGCGGGCTCGGAGCCGGGTGTGGGCCCGGCGCCCCGAGCGCCCGCCCCCGCGGACTGCGCCGCCCACGGGCCCTCTCCTCGCCTCCAGCGGTTTCCCCGGATAACTGCTGCCACGAAACGTGCTCCTTAACCGGCAGCCGGGGACCCCTGGGCAGGGCGGAGCCCACACAAACAGCCCCTGCCCGCCTCCGACCACAGAGACAGGCCGGATGCAGAGCAGGGGCTTGTCCCAGAAGTGCGGTCTGCGTTCCAGACAGGGGTGACTGAAGTCCGGTGCGGGGGGCGTGACCTTTGGGATGCGTGGACTTGACCTCCGGCATCTGGACTTCCGCACTGAAATGCCCTCAGGCTGAGGTCACGTCACTGAGCAGGGCGATCGCAGGTTTCAGGTGGGAGAGCAAAGGTCAGCTTCCCGTCGCCAGGTCTAATCTGAGTTCTGTCGGGGCGGCCGCAGCACCCAGCCTCAGGGCGTGCTGGGTGTCGGGGTGAGGTCGCGGGCCTGCTGTGGGCTGAGAAGGATGAAGGGAGCTTGCTTTATCTTCAGGAAGGGGGAGAAGACACAGCCACGTGTTTGCAGACTAACTGGTAAAGGAGCGACGGTGCTGGGCACAGGCTCCCTAGACCCCCGGGGGTGCCGCTGAACTTCACGAGGAGGTGAGCTGCGCTCTCTGCCCCCCCGGCGGGGCCCCTGACACCCCCTCGCTCTCTGTCTCCCGCAGCGCGGCGAGACGGCCCTGCACATGGCGGCCCGGGCGGGGCAGGTGGAGGTCGTGCGGTGCTTGCTCCGGAACGGCGCCCTGGTCGACGCCAGAGCCCGGGTAGGTGCCGCCCCCCGGGGGGTGTGGGTGGGGCCCTTTCTCCCAGACCGAAAGGGGGCGTGCGGCGAGTACACGCAGTGGGAAGTGCACCCCGACTTCAGGAACATGTGGGGCCCACGCCGGGGGGTGTCCACTCCCCGCAGGAGGAGGGGCTGCTCCCGGACGAAGGCAGGGGGTGCTGGGCAGGAGAACGAACGCCCGCCCGCCCGGCCTGGCCCGAGGCTCCCAGCACACGCACCCACACGCGTGCTCCTCCGAAAACACCCTCTTGACCCCACACCAGCGCTCGGCCACCCCGTGTCCCCCAGGGAGGTCAGGCAGAGGAGGAGCCACACTGTGCCCCACGGGCTCGGTGCAGGGCTGCAGGTGCCGGCGCCCCCTGACCGGCCAGCGTGCCGCCCCCACCCCCACCCCCACCCCGGGAAGGGCCCTCTGTGCCCAGGGTCCTCCGTGGGCGCGCCGAGAGGTGCCCCCACCCCGTCGCGAGCGCTCGCTCGAGGTGCCGTGTTCTGCGGGCACGGCGGGGGGGGGGCATCTGGCATTCGCTCCGGGGACCGCGCACCCCCGAGCCCCTGGGCCCGGACTCACCCGAAACTCAGTTCACTGCGACTTGCACAGCTGCCCACTCGTGTGGCCCCTGGGAGTCCAGGAGCCGAGTGCCCACGGTCACTGTCCTCAGGCCCCTTGTGTTTTGTTTTGTTGCTGGTGCTTCTCCGTAGTGGGTGCCCCCCACCCGGCCCATTGCTCCGAATTTCGGAGGGTTGTGCTGCCCAAGGTGCCGCTGGCTCCGTGCCCGACCTGCTGGTCCCCGCGGGGCCACCGTGTGCCCTTCTGTGGAAGGTCAGACGGACACACGTCTTCAGAGTCCGAGGCCTAATTTCAAGCCCTGTGTGCGCAGCCCAGGGACGTGGGCAGTCCCGGAGACCCGTGTGACCCCTGCTGACCTCTCTTCCCCTGGACACGGCCTCGTATCAGGCCGGCCCCCCGGGGCTGTTTTGGGGGCAGGCTCCCGTGGGGAAGTTTGCCTTCGGCAGCTTCCTGCGGAGGAGCTCGGCCCTGTTCGCGTCTCCCCGCCCGAGCCTCACGTGCGCCGCGCCGTGTCCGCCTGTGGCCCCCCGCAGCCCTTCCCCGGCGACTCGAAGGGGCTGCAGCGTGGGCTCGGGTGCCCCCGGCCCCGCTGTCCCCGTCCGTCCGCTCCTGGCGCGGGGAGCTGCCCCGCGGTTCCTTCCTGCCCGACGCCGTGGGCAGGGGTCCACCCACGGCTGTGACCACAGACCCCCCACCCCAGAGCTCGCGCGTCGCCGGTCGATCACTTTCCCAGAGGGCAGTCGGGTCTGGTTCTCTTCGCACTGGAACCGTTTCCCCGACTGCCCCGCGGAGTCCGGGGATGGTCGGGCCTCCTCACGTGTGTCCCGCGGGCTCTCCCTCCGGGCCTTCCCGGGGGTGCACGGCCGACAGCCCCGCCTCCTCCTCGCCAGCTCTCCCCTTTGCCCCGGGACGCAAGTCCCAGACGCTTGCTTCTGCGCGGGGTTCTGGGACGCTCACACTGCCGCCGCCTTTACCCACAGTCCCCCCTTGAAGGCGCCCGGCCTTTGGAGCCTGGGCTTGCTGGGCGGAGGGAGAGCCAGGTTCTACCACAACCCCTCGTGTTTCCCCTTGACATGGTTCCCAGGATGGCTCGGTCTCCCGGCGACAGCTTCTGCGGGAGGGGATCTGGGTCTCGGGGCATCCGGACCGGGTTTAGTTCCCGCTCAGACCCCGGAGCCGCTCGTGCTAAAGCGGGAGTGAGGGCCGGGGCCCGGCCCTGGGGGCACCTGGAGACCGGGGCCGAGCCGATGGGGGGGGTGCTGCTTCACACAATCTGAGGAGGACCTGAGAGCCCCTCTGTGGCCAGGGTAGCGGCCATTTCCCTTTGCAGAGGGGTCCCCCTCCCCGAGATTCCCAGAAAACTCCAGAAACAGCCACACGCACGGCACCGCGGGGGGCGGGGAGGGCGCAGGCAGGGCCGGCGGCACTAACGGGCGACTCGGGCTTCCTTGCAGGAGGAGCAGACGCCTCTGCACATCGCCTCGCGCCTGGGCAAGACGGAGATCGTGCAGCTGCTGCTGCAGCACATGGCGCACCCCGACGCGGCCACCGCCAGCGGGCACACGCCCCTGCACATCTCCGCCCGCGAGGGCCAGGTGGGCGTGGCCGCTGTCCTCCTGGAAGCAGGGGCCGCCCACTCCTCAGCCACCAAGGTAAGAGGTGGCCCCGTGGGTCCCTCTGCCAGGCCACAGCCCTGCCCAGGGAGTGGGTGGCGTTCAGGCCTGGGGGGGTCTTCCTCTTCGAGCGCCTAGGTTCGTTTCCCCAAGGTCTGAGGGGCATCGGGAGGCCACTTATCGTTTCTGCGACAGGGGTGCTTGGTCCTGTTCCTCTGACGGACGCAGGGTCGCCTTCCCTTCCCTCCCCTCCCCCCTTCCTGTCACGAACTCTAACCCACGAGTGCCTGGGTGGCCGGCCGGCCCCAGGGGAGGTGACAGAGGGGCGGAGTCCAGGCCATGGGGGGCGGCCGGGGGGGTGAAGCTCAGCCCCTCGTCCTCCGAGACTTCCGGGGCTTCACATGCCGCCTCGGGCGACAGTGCCCGGGGGCCGTTTGGTGGGAGACGGTGTCAGGCGGAAGGGGTGGGCGGGCGAGGAGCCTCTGCAGATCCGGGGGTCGGCGAGGTCCCGCTGAGCTCGCACGGGGCCGGAGAGAGACAGAGCTCAGGGGACGCTGCCCAAACCCCACGTACGCTGCGGTCCCGCGGGTGTGACTCTGCCCAGTTTTGTCACACGTTTCCCAGTGAGTCAGGGGCTGGATCCCTGTTCCAGCAGGACTGGAGGAGGAGGAGGAGGCTGGTTTTCCTTCCTCACCACCGCGTGGTTTCTGTCTCGGAGAACCCCCTCCCCAGCGCCACCTGCACTGAGCGCCTCCGGCGAGGCGGCTGGTTGCGCTCCCTGGGCCTGTCCCGGGCTCCGCGAGGGCGGGGCTCTGTCTCCTCCGGGGAGCTACGAGCTCCCAGTGCTGGGACAGGAGTGAAGGGGAAACACCATCCAAGTTGAGAACAGTGCGTGGTGACCCTGACCCTGACCCTGGAAGGACAGGACCATTTTGGGGGGCACGCTGGGGCAGGAGGAGGAGCACAGGCCCGGGGAAGCTGCACCTTCGCCTGCCCGCCTGCCCGCCTGCCCTGGGCGCTGTGCTGCGGGCTGTGCTGCCGCCCCTCCGCTCGGTGCCGGGACAGCCAGGGGGACGGGGCGCGGCCAGGACGGTGGGGCTGATGGCGCTCGGTCAGACCGGCCGCCCATGAAGTCTGAGTCCAGGACACGGTGAGGGGGGCAGAGGCCAGCTTTGGGCACGAGACGTTGACCGGAACGCAGAGGCCTGAGGGAGGAGGACAGCGTTAAGAAGCCTTTGGACGGTGGTGTGTCCGAAAGCCTGGGGCCCCGCAGCCCAGCACCAGGGGGACGGACGACGTTTCCGAGGGGAGTTTGCGCAGGGTGGGTCGTCGGGGGCAAGGGCCCCCGGCCGGGACGGGAGGTGCTTCTCAGCTGTGAGCAGTTTTTCTTGTTCTGGCAAGTACTTACCGTCCCACTTCTGCAGAAATACGAATCACCAAACAGTGTTATTTTTTTTTACCATGGCCATGCAAGCGTCCTAAAACTGAGGTGGGAAGGTCTGGAGTTCGGGTCTCGTAAAGAGACCAGAGAGGAGGACCGGGGAGGAACTGCTGCGGTCTCAGCCACACTGATCGTAGAGGCAAGAAACGGAGGGTTTTCCCGCAGAAGCCGGGGCTGTTTCTCGGCCCCGGGGGCCTCAAAGGCCCCTGCGGCATTGTGGGTCGTGCCCCCAGCCCTCAGCACCGGACCCTCGGGGGGTGAGCGGTGCTCACCGCCGTCCGGCCGAATGCGGATGGGTCTGATGCCGGCCGTGCCGTCCGCACGTGCACGTCGGCCGGGTCTGCCTCCCACGCCCCCGGTCACGGCGACGTGTCCGTGGCCGGGAAGGTGAGCACCCCCCTCCCCGCCGTTCCCGTTTCAGAAAGGCTTCACCCCCCTGCACGTGGCGGCCAAGTACGGGAGCCTGGACGTGGCCAAGCTGCTGCTGCACCGGCGCGTGGCGGCCAACTCCGCGGGGAAGGTGCGGTCTGCGCGGGCGGGCGGGGGTCCACGGGGGCCTCTGTCACAGGGGCTGAGGGGAGGGGTCCCCGCCGCGTGCACGTCCCACTCGTCGCCGAGCATCTCAGCCCGTGCCGTCCCCTCGGCCGGCGCTCCCCGGGTTGGCTGGGTGTCCAGTGTGAGCTCAGCAGGGAGCTGTGGACTTTTACCCCCTCGCTTCCACTGGCAACGTTGACGCACGAACTTGGACCTGGCCCACCCTGGTGCCCGGGCCCCTGGCGGCTGCAGGGCCGAGGGGGGCGCTCGCTCACCAGGAGCCGGCCTGCCCTTTGCAGAACGGCCTGACCCCGCTGCACGTGGCCGCCCACTACGACCACCAGGAGGTGGCCCTGCTGCTGCTGGAGAAGGGCGCGTCCCCTCACGCCACCGCCAAGGTGAGGGTGCTGGGGGGGGGGCTGCCACTGTGGGGGGGTGCCCTGGGGCACAGAGTCGGTGCGAGTCCCTGGTGCGGAACAACCCCCCAGCACCGTGGTGGCCCGAGCGGGTCCGGCGCACCGTGACTGGCGCGTCAGTGGGAGGAGGCTGCAGCGAGAGTGTGGTGCAGACCCCTCCGGTTCTGTGCGGGGAGCCCCTGTCTGACGGGGGCGGCACTCCGCGCCGGGACAGAGGCCGGGGGTGACCTTGACCGGCGAGCACGAGTCCAGACCAGTCACCTCCATGGAGAGGGCTCTGGGGTTGGGGTGCCCTCGGGAAGCTGAGGGAGCGGGTGGGGGTTGGGCTGGGGTGGAGGGGCAGTGGGGTGGGGAGCCCCTCCGGGCGTTGAGGGGCAGCCGTGCGCAGAGGAGCCGGCCGGCCTCTCCCGTGTTGCTCTCCAGGACGGAACCAGGGGGTGGCGTGGCAGGCGCCAGGGCCTGGGGCTTCTGAGCACCTGCACCCTGGGGCGGTGCGGGGCCTGCGGCCTTGGCTGTGCAGGCCTGGGTGTCGTGGGGACCCGTCGTGGGGACCCGTCGTGGGCCCCGCACTGGCTGTCAGCGGCTCCGCTGGCTCCCTCAGAGACCCGCATCCGCTCTGCTGAGCCCGCGGGCGTGCTGGTTTTGTGTTGCAGAACGGCTACACGCCCCTGCACATCGCCGCCAAGAAGAACCAGATGCAGATCGCCTCCACGCTCCTCAGCTACGGGGCCGAGACGAACGTGGTCACCAAGCAGGGCGTGACCCCGCTGCACCTGGCCTCCCAGGAGGGGCACGCGGGCATGGCCGCCCTGCTCCTGGAGAAGGGCGCCAGCGTCCACACGTCGACCAAGGTGCTCTGCGCGCGCCTCCGGCTTCTGTCGGGTGTTTCAGACGCGCGTGCACGGACGCCAGGCTGAGAGGGGGCTGGCGGGGGAGGGCACCATGCAGCCGCCAGGGCGGGCTCCAGGCTCCGGGCTCATTTCCCGCAGGTCGGCTGCGGTCGCGCGTCTGCGACTGGTTTTTTCTGCCCCTCCGAGACCCCGTCCGAGCAGGCGTCCCTGCCCCCGGCACCTCCGCCTTTTCCAGAGGACGGCCTTTGTGGACGCGCTCGCTAACCGCAGCAGAGGGACCGTCCCTGTGATGTGTGCGGGGGAGACACATCACTCCCATGTCAAAATGTGTCGGTTCTCACAAGGCCACGCCTGCCTCTGCCCCTGTTTACCAGCTTCCGACGGTCTGTCCGACTGTCTGTCTGGCTGTCTGCCCCACCTGTGACTCTCTCATGCTCAGCCCACTCTCCGCTGAAACCAGCTGCCACTGGGAAGGTGTCTCGGGTAACAAGCCAAACCGGCCCCTTTTCCCGTTGCTCTCGGAAAGCACGTGTGTTCCTTTTCTGGGTAAGATCCACGGAGATCCGTCGCTCGGTGCTCTCCGAGTGAGTGCTTCTCAGTAACAACCATGACGCAGAGGCAGATACTGTATTTCCTACCTGGTCGCCAGGTGATAGTGGACACGAGGAAAGGGCTGCCCTACGTGCAAAGCCCTTTCTCCATCCATCAGAGAATGTTCTTCTCGCTGTCGGTCGCGTGGGTTCTGAAGGGGCCGTGGCTGGAGATCGTGGACTTTGGAGGACACGGCTCAGCTTCCGTGGCCTCGCCTGATTGCAGAGTTAGGCCTGCTGACTGCAACTGCACGTGAACCGGGGGCCGGGGGGTGGTGCTTCCAGTCGAGTCCGCTGCCCTGGGCGACGGCGGCGAGCCCGGGGGCAGAAGCACCAGCAGGCGGGGCTGCGGGAGAGCTGCAGGGGCAGACACCCTGCACTCTGTCTGACACACTCGAGGGGCCGGAGGGCTTCCTGGCACCTGACCGGCACCCAGAGGACACATGTGAAGTGGGCCAGGGGTCTAGGGTCAAGAGGCTCTTTACATTTCCACCTTCTTGAAGGAGCTACTCGCCCGTGCGGTGGGGCTGCCAGGCGGTGGCCGCGAGGGATGGGCCCCGCCCTCCCGTCCTGGCGCGGTCCTGTACGGTTCCGAGCCGCGCTCCCACCGCGTACTCGGTGCATTAAAATCGCCCCTTGACGCCCACGTGCCGACCCCGTTACCTAAAAATGCCAATTCACGACGCTGCCTGTAAGTGAGGTCGTCACTTTTTATGCGGTCTTTAGAAGATCCCAGAAAACAGCGCACTGCCTTTGGGTGCCGGAGAAAGCTGTGCTGAGCTCATTTCATGAAATGCTGCATTTTTTACGTCGATGCAATGTTTTCCTGATGAGAGTGTGGACCCTCGCTCCGCTGGTCGAGGGGGAGCCGTGCTGGGCGGCCCGGCCGGGGGAGGGGCCGGGTGGTTAGGCAGGAGGCGTGGACGCGGTGGCACGGCCGTGCGACCTGTGCCAGCAGGGGCAGCGGGTTCGCTGAGTTGTTTTAAAGCCTCAGATCACGGTTTAAGTGCCCAACGTGGAAAACAGCGTGATTTGCCGAAAGTGTGGACGAACGGAGACTCTGTCCTGGGTGGGGAGTCGCAGTAGCTGGGACAGTTCGTCTTTAGTTTCACAAGATGCGATTTCTGGGCAGAGGCTGTGCGTTCACAGGCTTTTCTCTGGAGATGGGATGTCGGGGTGACACAGTGCGTGTTCGTGCCCTGACGCCCCCTCGGCCCCTTCTCTCCGCAGAGTGGACTCACCGCCTTACACCTGGCCGCCCAGGAGGACAAGGTGCACGTTGCTGAGGTTCTCACCAAGCACGGGGCCGACCAGGACGCCCACACGAAGGTAGGTACGGGGACCGCTGCCCCCGTTGGGTGGGTCCTGGGGTGGCTCCCAGCCGGTCCCCCCTCGAAAGTCTGTCCTGGGCTAACGATGCCCCTCCTGCTCGCAAACCTGGAACGGGTCTCCGTTTTGGGGGAGTTGAGTCCAAGTGCATGGAGGACAGGGGTCCCGGCTTTGCAGGGGAGGCTGTCTGTGCCCTGCTGCCGGCCAGGCAGCGGCTGGTTGCCCTCTCCTGCCCCCGCCTGCCCACGCCCCGACTGGCATTGCTTCGCCCTGGTCTCACCCTGTGACCTCCTCCGCCCACCGCACTGCAGGCCCCCGCCTGCCCGGCACCCTCTCTGGCCTCCTCTCCCCTCCCCGGTTTCCGATCCCACCCCCCCTCGGTGTCAGCTCTTTGTCAGTCAGGCCCCGCCCACGTTTGGTCTGGGACCCCTCAGTGCACGAAGTCCTCCTGTTCCCGGACCTGCTCCCGCGTCTGTGCGCACCAGGTGCACACGCCTGCTGAGTAATACTAGTCCGGCCACCTGGAGGGTCTGCGCCTCCCCGGCCCCTCGAGGTTCGCCCGCGGAGTGGTCGGTCACCTGCCTGTGCCTTGTTATTTGCAGCTGGGCTACACTCCTTTAATCGTGGCCTGTCACTACGGAAACGTGAAAATGGTCAACTTCCTCCTGAAGCAGGGAGCGGACGTCAACGCCAAAACCAAGGTAACGGCCGTTCTCACTGTGTCTCTCTCGGCAAGGGCCCAGCTGCGGCGACGCTCCGTCCGCCCACCGCGGTGGCGTGGGCTTCGCTCTTTGGTTCTTCTGAAGCAGCGCATGCACTGTGCGCTCTTGTGTGGCGGTCTGAGACTCTCATTCCCACATCTGAGAGCCACGGCTCGGAGCTTCCGACGTGGAGCTGAAGCAGCCGGCACAGGCCAGCACGTCACCGCAGGGCACGCGGCCCCTGGCGGGACGTCGCAGCCCCGGCCTCGGCCCCGCCCTGCACTCACCCGTTTCCCCAGGGGCAGCGGAAGGGCCTGGTTAGCAAAGCGAGGTTGGAAAGTGACACGCGCTCCAGGGCGCTCAGAGGGCTTCAGGGGGAGAGAAACACGTGCTGTGACCACGCCGTGGTGCCCCGGCAGCTCCGAGAGACACGTGAAGCGTGCCGGTTTGCGAGTGCGTGTGTGGGAACCCCCGCTGCAGCCGCGAGTGCGCCCGTCGGTGAGAGCACGCCCAGGCACGCTCCAGGGCTGTCCCCCGGGGACGTGGGGGGTTTGGGCCCCTCTCTGTCCTCTCTGTCCTCGCAGAAGCAGAGACAAGACTGTGTCTGTGCATGAGCATAAGCAGATAGAAAGTTAGTTTTTAAATGGGAAACACCGTGAACACCGGAGGTTTGGGGATCTGACGCCAGCAAGAGTGGTGGCCGCCGCCTGGTCTCGAGCGGCTCCTGAGTTCTCCCGGAACGGACGTGGGGGCGCGTTTAAAGCCCGTCGAGCTCTCCGGCGTTAGCGCCTAGCGCCGCGTTTGCTGAGCGAGCTCACGCGGGGGCACTGGGACGGGCTTCCTCGTGGGCGCCGAGGCTCTGCAGAGCCGGGGCATGGCGCTCGCCACGTGTTGTGAGGCGTGGCTGCTGAGTGGCTGTGACGCTGGGAAGCCAGAGATTCCAGCAGATAAATTGTTTGCCCCCGGGATTTGACCTGCACTCAGACGGACATTTGGTTGAGAGAAAAATCTCATTTTAACTTCTCAGGTGTTTTTTTTAATGAACCATGTGGATTTTATTTGCTTGGAATACATCTCTCATAGAGGCGCACTTCAAAGGACATTCTTTTAATAAACACGTAAGATTTTTTTCACACAGAATGACATTTTTGTAGAAGGAATTGTTTTCTTCCTCACATCTCGTGTGCAACCATAGTTACCAAAATTGTTCTGTTGCTGTGAAAATACAAAACCAAGCGTTGCCTTTACTGCTGAAACCTTTATGCCTTGGTGTACAAACTGGGCAAAGCCGACTGGTTTCTATGGGACTGCGACTCGCTCACAGTCAGGGTGACACCCTGCAGCGTCAGCGTGAGGAGAACAGGCGGGGTTGACTGCTGGTCACTGCACAGGGCGTGCACCCCGGCACGTGGGGGGCATGTTGGGGGCGTTTTTTTGTCGAATACGCTCTGAAGATCACAGGGCTCTCAGTGAGAAAGAAAACAATGTTTGCTGACGTTTTCCTGCAACTCCAGATAAACTACAGAAACGTTTCATGGACGGCACGTTGGATCCGTCCCAGAACTTGAAGTCCCGGCTGTTTGCATGTTGCAAACGACATGGGGGCGGGAGGGGGAGTGGGAGAGGGCCAGAGGTTCCAGCTGTGGGCAGAAGCTCTGGGGCTGGAGGCCCGGAGGAGGGGACGGGAGCCTCTGCAGAAGCATGTGAGTCCAGTTGCCCCGACTTCCCTGGAGGACACATCGCTGGGACACACATCTCCGGCCGCAGTGGCCACACAGAGCAGCAACGTCACCTCAGTGTCCAGGCTTGGCGATGGCCAGCGAGCGGTGAGGACGTGCTGCTGGCCCTGCACAGGCCCTGGGCTCGGCCGGCACAGCAGTTGTCAACACAGCAGAGAGGAGGGCAACTGGGAAAAGAATGCTCCTTCCCTTCACACCGCTCAAGTGTCCACGGACGGCGTGACTGGGGAGCCGCGTCCCCGTGACTGCTCCTGGGTCACCCCATGGCAAGGACGCTCAGCCGGCGGAGTGTGTGTCCTGCACACGGGGCAGCCTTGGTGGCAGGTCACAGTGACGGCAGGAGGGGTGTGCGGTGTCCTGTGAGCACGGAGCACTCTCCTGCGGATGGGGAAGCGGTGCAGTGGTGCAGGTCTCAGGGACAGCGGCTCCTGCTGGTCAAGGTGTGACGGCTGCTCGCAGCTGGGACCCTGGACCACTGCCCTGACAGGCGAGGCAGGGGGGCCACGGAGCGGGCATGGCATCCCTGTCCTGAGCTCCTGCCGGGCCAGCTCCGGAGGGACTGAGGGAATGGCTTCCCCCTGCTCTCCCCAGCTCTGTCCCCTCTGAGGCGGTGAAGTCCGTCTGTTCCACCCCCGGCCCGCTCACGCACGGCGTCCTGGGTGAGGCCCGCCCCTCACCTCACCGCACTGCCTCGCTTTCTCCTGCGGCAAACTCAGACCCGAGTGGTCAAGAACCTAAATTTAAAGACTTTTTCAAAGTGGGCCTCCTGTCCTCTGAGGGGCTCGCTCGCCTTCGGCCAGAGCTGCTCTGGGAAAGGAAATCTTAGAGGGACTGGCACAGAGCGAGCCCAGGGCTGCCCACGAGGAAGGGACAGGGGACGGTGGCCGTCCCCGTGACGCCCAGGTTCCAGTGACAGCTCCTTGTCCTTCCTCCTGGGGCAGCAATCACTGGGTGCTGCCCCTTCTCGGGGTGCGGGGCCTCTCGGTACACGTTTCCATGCGAACCGCTCAGAACTCCAGAAGAGCGAGGACAGAGTCGGCCAGCCGCTCCTCGGTCTGTGGGCGGACGGAGTGTGGGCGTGTTTGCCTCGGAGAACAGGGCCCCTGGGGAGGTTGCCCCCGTGCACGGCGCCGCCGTGAGTGAGGCACAGGCTTCCACGCACTGGCTAACCGAGTCCTCCTTCTCCTTGGCGCCCACAGAGCGGCTACACGCCCCTGCACCAGGCTGCGCAGCAGGGCCACACGCACATCATCAACGTGCTGCTGCAGCACGGCGCGCGGCCCGACGCCACCACCACGGTGAGCCCCTCACCTGCCTCTTCCGCCCGCGCCCGGTCCCTCCGCCTGCCCCTGTCCCCCTCACTGCACCCCGTCCCTCCCGCCTGAGCCACCCTCGGAGTCCCCTCTGTTGGTAGTGCCGCTGAGTTGGCGGAGACCCGGTGGGTGAACGGGTGACAGGACCCTGGGGCCCTGTCCTCTCAGCCCTGCTCAGCCTGGGAGACTCCGCCTGTGGCTTCTTTCACGGAGTGAGTCCACCCCACGTGGGGTCCCCTTCCCCCCTCCCCCAGGCCGCCCTGTCCCCAGCAGGAACATTATCGTCTCCCCCCAAGAGCCTCGCCTTCTCAGAAGGACAGCTTCAGTCTGTCCTTCTGCCCCAGTGACGGCTCAGGCCCCTCCTGGAATGAGCCCCTGCCCTCCAGGCCCAGCACTGGGGGGGCCTCGGGCTGCGGGGAGGGCGCAGCCAGGACTAGCCGGGGGACAGGCCCTGGCTCAGGCCGCTGGGGCGCTGGGCCCAGCCATTGAAATGCAAACTGAGCAGAGAGGTTCTCCCGGTGTCCCCAGTAGCTGGCTCGGGGCCCAGCTTCCCAGCCAGTGTTGTTGGGGGTACTGGGAGCCCCCCCCAATCTGTGGCACTGAGTGAGTGCCTGTGCCCCCGGAGGTGGAGGGGGCCCTGGGAGCAGTGCACACTCTTGGCCGTGCCAGCACTTGGGGGCATCCCCTCCCTGCACGATGCAGCCGCTGGGCCAGCGGAGTTGAGCTCCCAGGGGTTAAAGCTGCAAGTGCTTCTCATTAGTAAGAGCGGGCAGATGCCGCTTGTTGTGTTACCATGGTGACCTGCGCTCCAGCCCGGAGAAGTTACCAAGACGCGTTCAGATGTGATGGTGAAAACTAGTGATTTCCCCAGCAGTGCCGGGCGCTGGGGGAGGGGCGGCCGCCTCGGGCGGCGGTGAGCTCACTGGCCCTGTGCTGTCTCTCTCTCTCCCTCTCCCTCTCTCTCCCCTCGCCTCACCCCCAGAATGGCAACACCGCCCTGGCCATCGCCAAGCGGCTGGGCTACATCTCGGTGGTGGACACGCTGAAGGTCGTGACTGAGGAGGTCACCACCACCACGGTGAGTACAGGGCCCCGGCGGCGTCGGCCCCAGGGCCGAGCTCTGGCGTTGCAGTCCCGCGCCTCCCCTCCCGGAGCGTCCCGAGCTCCAGTTCCGAACTTCTCCGGGCGGATCTGTTGCAAAGCGCGCGCCGCCCCCGGGGTTGCGCTGCCTTCACTCGTCGGTCCCCCGCAGAGAGGAGCGAGTGGGACCGCAGAACGCCGGGTCCCTTTCTCTGGGGGGGGGACCCTCCTCTCTGCCCCCACCCTCGCGCTGGCCCCGGCCGTGACCCCGGCCGTGACCCCTGCGGCTGGCTGTGGCAGGACAGCCCCGCAGACCCACCCTCCGAGCGGAGGGTGACGCAGCCGCAGAAGGACCCCGGCCCCCGCAGTCCTTCCCACGAGAACGGCTCCTCTCGCCCTGTTTTCGGTGATTTTTTTTATTGGGAAAGGAAGTCGCATGCGCTCAGCAGGGAGACGGTCTGCGTCTGGAGGGAGCAGGCATTTAAAACGTGCGCCGTGCTGCGTCTCCGCCTCGCGGACTGCTGAGCCGGCGGCGGGCGCCGAGGGCTGTGCCAGGCCTGGCGGGCACCGAGTGGGGGCGAGGGCCCCGCGCTGTCCCCGCGCTGTCCCCCGGCCCAGCAGGGGGCCCCTCCTGCTGCCGCTCTCTTTGCGTCAACTTGTTCGAGGCTTCTCTGAAGCCTGAACCCTGGGGACCCTGCTCGGGGCCGGTCTGTGAGGGGGACAGGTGGAGGGCAGAGCAGAGGGTGCCCTTTAGGGACAGTGTGGTCGCGAGTCGGCCAGTCCGGAGTCTGCGGGAAGTTCCAGCGAGCGGCGCGGACGGGAGGGTGGGCCGCAGGGTGGGCAGGCCGGCGTCGGGGGCTGCGGGGGAGGAGGAGCGCCCCCACGCGTCGGCCAGGCGACACGGCTGACGGCCGCGCGCAGCGCGGGGGGTGGAGCCCGCGGCGCGGGGGGTGGAGCCCGGCAGCCACGAGGTGGGCCCCGCGTGGAGCGGGTGTGGACTGTTCCTGGACGGGAGACCCGCGGAGTCCGGACGCGGGAAGACCACTCCGCTTGTTTTCTCGAGCCGAGTCTTAAGACCCGTGGCCCGCGTGACACAGTGTTTTTAAAGGTTTAAGCGAAGTTTCCTCGATAAGTCATGGAGGAGAAAAACTGGCCGGCCACAGACTGGCACTAACGGAGGCCCTCCGCGTGGCTGAATCCCGGTGGCGTCCTTCTCCGTGGCCCCCCGGACCGGGAAAGACCCCGCACAAGGAGGGCCTGGGCTGCGCCTCGCCGGGCGGGTTTGAGACCGTGTGTCCCTCACAGGCCAGGGAAGCCCTAGCCCCGGCCGGGCCGGTCCCTTCCCACGAGGCTCCTGCGGGCGCCTGTGCCTCGGGCCGCCGCTAGAGGGCGAGCGCGCGCCCTTTGCGGGGTCCGGTGCTTTCTCCCGGGTTCCTGCCGCCGCTCCTCCACCGGGAGGCCTGCCGGGTGGGAACCAGAGCCGGCTCCGTGCCGGGGGCCGTCCGAGGTGAAAACGCCACCTCTCCGGGCAGCAACTCCAGGGCGGTGGCGTGGGTCGTGACACGGAGATGCTGTGAGAAAATAAATTCTTTTTACTCAAGAAGCTATGGGACGCGCGTGTCCGCTTTCAGAGATCGCAGGCTCACAAGTATCACTGGGTGAGGACGACCGGACTGCGCAGGCCCACAGGTGCGCGGACGCCTGGGAGGAGTCGGACAGGTGGCAGGTCCCAGCGTGCTTTGCGCCAGAAACACGGGGCCTCTCCGGACTCCCTGGTCGCTGCTGTTCTCCGCCCGCCACGCCGAGCGCCACTCCAGCAAAAACCCCGGACGTGGAAGTCAAGTTCTGGCGAACAGCCAGGTAGCAAGGACGCGGTGGTCCCGGAGAACGGCACCGAGGGCGTGGGCGGCCCCGCACCGTCTGCTCCGGGAAAAGGGGCTGCACTGCAGCTGCGCAAACACCCTCGGAGGCTCTTCCAGAAAACACCCGGAGTCCGCCCGTCCTCAGGGGGGCTGACGTGACCCCCTGTGAGGGACCCAGGCAACGATATCTTTTAAATTCCTCTAATAATTTTAATATGCAGCGAGAGTTGAGAACCACTGATGTAGAACAGGTGGTGGTTTATCTCTGTTAAACTTACAGATTAATATTCAAAGAATAGTGAAGTGGTGTATATAAGTGGTCTAAGTTTCTTCCTTCAACTAATACTTACCGATGACCGGCCATGTCCCAGAGCTGTGGGTGGACGCTTTGGTGTCCCTGACGAGCCCTCCCGGGCTGTGTGGACATGCGTGTGTGGGGCTGGACGTGCCCTCAGGCCTCTGCACCACGGGACTTCCTCCCTCCTCCTGGCTGCATCCTCTCTCCAACGGTGACATCACCCAAAAGGAAACTGATTTCATCGTGAAGTGGATTTTAAATGTGTTTTGCATAATTCTACATCATCGATTTGTGTGATGCTTTTGGAAAGAAAAGCTGAGGTGAGCGCGTCCTTGCGGCCACTCAGACGTGTCTGTGACGTCCACACGGCAGAGCCTGAGGACTGTGACCACCGAGGGCAGCATCTCCGGGCTCCCGGTGAAGATTCTGCTCAGGGAGATTAGTTTTCTCAAATTCCCGTAACAACGCCAGGCCACGGGTCTGAGGCCACGGGTCTGAACCACGCCTGACCTGCGGCAGCCTCTGGAAACGTTCCCTCAGGCCCAAGTGATGATAAGTCCAGAGGCCCTTCCTTTCAGGAATAATTCAGTATTAACCCCGATGGGAAGAGTGCATGCTGGCTAACATTTGCTGAGCACTGACATACGCCAATCGCCGTTCTTAGAGCTCTCATCGGCGTTATTTCACTCCATCTTCGTGTTACTGTCGCCGGCGTACAGACCAGGGAGTGGGGTCTCGGTGCAGTGGAGGGGCCTGCTCAGGCCTGCTGGCGGACAGATGGGGAGGTTAGACTGTGAGCCCCGTAGTGACCCCAGAGCCTGGTATCCCCCCCCCCCCAACTGCTACGTAATGCAGACCAGGGTCGCTGTGAGGACCCTGGGTCTCCTCTGCAGGGTCCTCGGATCCCAGGAGACACGTTTGCTGCCCAGAGAGTTTACATCTTTCACATTGTTTACAACACTTTCTCCACCGGCTTTGTTTTCAATACACTGCCTGTGGCCACAGCGTCTTTGTGAGCTTTCCTGGAGACGTTGCTCACGTGCCCCCTCGCTTTGGGGAGGCTGCGCACCTGCCGCTGCCTCCCCTGCCCCCCCCCGGGGGTGACTGCTTGTTCACGCCGTCGCTGAGCAGTTCACTTTCTGAGTGGGGCCTCAGGACAGTGGGCGTCCCCTGTACAGCCTCACTGGGCACGTGATCCTTCGTCTCCAGGAGCAAGAGGTCGGTTTCCAGGACAGAAAGTGAGAAGGAGCTTCTCACGAAGGAGCTTCCACATGAAAGATGGGGCCTCGGGCCGGTATTGGGGCCAAGCTCCTCCGGGCTCCATGGAGCTCTTGTTGAGTTTGTTTCTGAGCATTGATGTTTTTTCTCCTTCCAGACCATCACTGAAAAACACAAGCTGAATGTTCCTGAGACCATGACTGAGGTGCTCGATGTGTCTGACGAAGAGGGTGAGCCTTTCCCTCAGATCCTGGGGGGCCGCCCCGTCCTCAGGGACAGAGCTGGGTGGTGGGTGCAGTGGGACAGCCTCTGGACCTCACAGTTCCAGTCCCAGCTTTGTTCCGGAAAATCTACTTTGCCATCTGGGGAAGGAGGATTCTGATCAGTGTATTTTCAGCTGGTGTGATCTCTGTTGTCCTACTAAATAATGGGCCTGGGAAGGTGAAAGACTGGAAATGGGCCATCTATTAAAATATCCACCTGATAATGCAATTATTAACACGTCATAATTAAGTTAAATTACTTTTTTATTACAATGCCTTAAATAAAAAGATCTCAGAGTAGACACTGCCATGGTGTATTGAGAAACCCCTGCTTTCTGACTGGTTCAAACATGCTATATTTTAAACCCAGAGGAAAAGAGCCTTAGAAAAGGTTAAAAATTGCATAGCAGTAAGTCAGACAAATTCAAGTAAGATTTGGTTAAGTCAGAAAATGTGCCCCCTCTAGTGTTCGAGTTGATAAAAGCTCTCCGAGGCTCTGAGCAGCCTGCGGCTCTGCAGGGAGCGCTGGGCACATCGGTGGGCAGCGTTTCAGGCTCCCCGTACCCACCTGAAGCAGACGGTCGACTTTTCTCGAACCAGGAAATCTGCTGCTAACAATTCACGAATGCAGCGAAGCGTGCGACCACGTTTCAGAGTGCAGTTGTGTTCCGGTGCGTGTGGCTGAAAAAGGACTCACAAAACCCTTTACGATGTTTCTCCAATATTCACGGAGAGATAGGAAAGGCATTTCTTTAGGTTCTTTAAGATCTAATCACAAGGTCAGCTGCACCGAGACGGTGATTTGGAGCCGATTTGTTAACTCGCCGGTTGGTGAGAGTGCTGCGTGGCGCCAGCCGCTGTGAGAACCCGTGACGAGGACAAAGGGCTGCCGGCCTTTGGTGTGGTCACATGTGTGTCGCCCCAGTGCTCGCCCACCAGCCTTCCCCACTCACAGGGGCACACCCCGTGGTGTTGGGGGCCCTGTGCTCATCTGCACTCATATGTTGAACAGCTCTTAAACGGTTTGGTGACCACTTTATTGATGGGGACGTACTGAGTGACTCAGGTACCGTTAGAGAACATCGTTGGAGTGAACGCTTTTCTTTGCTTTTATCTTTCTTAACTGCACTGAGGCCTTTTGCTTGACATTTAACTCTGGGCTGCCCGAGACTAACCTGTTCCTTCTGAAGCAGCATGCGTGAGGGGCGAGACTGGAGTGCATCTGGGGCGTGGATTTTGTTAACTTGGAAGCTCAAAGCCATGACTTGCTTATGCGCTTAATCATTTTGCAACAATTATTGAGACATAGTAACATACTTATCTGGTGAATATTATATACAGCTTTTCCCAAAACTAATATTTCTTCCTAGCATACAAATTTAGAGAAAAACATAATTCTCTGATGCGTTGACGTGGAACTAGCGTAAATGCGTTGACAGCTGAGTTAGATGGTTTGCACTGCATGCAGGTGGCGTCACTCTGGGGTGAAGGGGTGTCTCTGGTGTGGTTACAGCCACGTCAAGTCGGTCGTTACGTGATCACTGTCAAGGCAGCGAGGCTCTGGGGTTCCAAGCCTCGTCCAGGCCACTCGCTGCAGGGGTCCGGGAGCACAGCTCGTCCCGTCCCGCAGACCCGCCTCCCCACCCCGTAGTCCGGTCCTCCCCGGGGCTTCCCGGATGCTGACAAAACTGAAAATAACGGAGGCTGCGGTGCAGACCTGGCATGCTGCGTGTGGAGAGCCAGTTCTTAGACCGGGCCTAAGAATTTTTTCTCCCAGAATCAAATGAAAGGGACCCCAATCTGTTGGCCTCATGGAAGCCGTCCTAGCGAAGCGTCACAGGTCACACAAGGGGAGAGAAGCGGTGGGACAGGCCCGTCCGGGGCCATCATGGAGCGTCTGAGCCGCTTGGTCCGCCGCTGTGTCAGACAGTGGTGTCTCTCCCGCTGTTGCCCACCAGCGTGGACGTGGATTCCACGTAGCCCTCGTGGCTCTTTCCTTCACACTGTCTTTCTGACGTCCTTGACCCTCACACACCGGCCTCTCACCCGGAACCCCACCAGGTCTCCTGTCGAAGTGCGCCCAGACCAAGGAGCACCTCCAGCTCCTCCCTCGGCGACGCCTTCTCCAGCTTCCCCGGGAGCTCGTAGGGCACCTGCAGCTCATTAGCACCAACTCGGGGGCCAGAAGTCCGTGGTGGGACAAGGCTCCTGGGGCCGGCAGCGACCCTTCGATCCCGGGCTTCGCTCGGCCTCCGCTCTGCGTCTGCGTGGCTCTCTGTCCCTCGTAGGGACCCACTCCCTGGGGTGGTCCGGTCAGATCACACCTCAGCGCTCCCCTGAATGACGGCCACAAAGCCCCTGCCTCCAAACACGGCCAGCTCCGGAGGGTCCCGGGGACACCGTCCCAAAGGGACGTCTTCCCTCTCAGACCTGCAGGCTGACCGACAGCAGTGCGGGCCGTGTGTGGCCGTGTTGCTGCCGAGGGTCCTCTTGCTGCAGAACTGCCGTCCAGGTCCGGCTTCTCCCCGGCGCAGGGCTGGCGTCTCCTGAGTTTTCACACCTTCCCGTGCCCGGCCCTGCGTCCCTCCCACGTGCAGCTTCCGGGACCCCGGCACAGTCCCGCTGGGGCTGCCTCGTCCGTCACACTTGTGGGTGACTTCCCGCCACCTCACCCGTCTGCAGGTGACGACACGATGACCGGGGACGGCGGCGAGTACCTGAGGCCCGAGGACCTGAAGGAGCTGGGCGACGACTCGCTGCCCGGCAGCCAGTTCCTGGACGGCATGAACTACCTGCGCTACAGCCTGGAGGGGGGGCGCTCCGACAGGTAGGCGCTCCCACAGGTAGGCGGCAACGCTGGCCCAGGTGCCAGCGGGAGAGAGTCGCATGCTGTGATGCTGACGATGGTGACGATGATGATGATGATGAAGAAAGCAGGTGCAGGGCCGACAGGGGAACACCCCCTGCTGGCGTCGGCACGCCCCCACATTCGTAACCACTCAGAGGAGGGAACAGGCCCTCCAGGTGGATGGGATGGCTGAGGAAAAGCACCAACTAGTCGGAGGCACAGACATCTGCCTGCAATAGATGTTTCAGATCACCTGCCACTTGTCCCTTCAGCCCCAAAAGGGAGCGTTGTGCCTCTGGGCACTGACTCCTGGCTCCACTCTCAGCGCCCAGGTCGACCCCGGTCACAGACAGATGGGGGGTCTCTGGGCGAACCCAGAGCAACGCTTCCCGTAAAGCAGGGCTCAGGGGTGCGGCGATGTGCCACACCGAACGCCCCGCCGAGTGTGTGAGGGCGGCGGGGGAAGACGAGGTGGGAGCTGGTCTCCAGCCCCCGCTTGCTTCCCCGGGGCTCTGAGGAGCCACCCTCCCCCGGCGGAGGGACAGGCAGCAGTTCCCTTTCGTGGCTGTCTTGTTTGTTAACTTCCAACTCGTGCTCAGACAATTCAATAAGTCGCCTTTTCTCGGTAACCATTTTGCCTTGCCGTCACGCTCTGTCTGCTGTGCCTTCGGTAGTGCCGTTCCCAGGTGGGTACCCCGCGGCCGGGAAGCGTGGCCCCCCGTCCCTCCGCATCTCCCCGCTCGCTGCTCAGCATGCTTGTGTGTGCGTGCTGCGCTCGCGGGTGCCGACACTCTAGAATTATGGATTTCTGCTCACGTGAGGGTGTTTACATGTCACACGGAACGGCTCCTCGGGCTGGAAGGGTTCCTGCTCGACGAGGAGCTAGGACAGCCCCGGCCTGACCGCACCTGTCACAGCGCCCCGGGTGGTTGCCCCAAGAGGGCCCTCGCTGGCCCCTGTGCAGTCAGAATAGCGACCGTGACGCTGGAGTGCACGAGGGCGCAGAGTAGAACGGGTGCGGGTCAGCCCTCGTAGAGGAAGGTCACAGCCCACTCCTGATGGGCAGGGTGGGGGTCCGCTCTGTTTTGCCCCGGGGCCCCCAAACCTCAGACGCTGTCGCGTTCAGGGTCACACATGGAGGGACAGCAGGCACAGCGGCACCCGGGTGTCGACCCGCGCGGTGGGCTGCAGAGCTCTGTTCACGGACACTCTCACACATGCTGGGAGTCACTGCCCATCTCAGCGGAGTCACAGGCGGACACAAGCCCGTGGTGTCTGTGGAGGCAGTGCGCCCTAGTGGGGAAGGACAGGTTTGAGGGCACCACAGACGTCCCGCACGCCTTCTCGGTGGACGCGTGGCCCCGTGAGCGGAGCAGCACGCCCTCGGACTGGGCAGAGAGCGAGGGCCCCTCTGCTGCACACGCCCGAACTTGTTCCCAATGCCTTCCATCGAGTGGCGGTTTCCGGGCCAGAGACGCAGTTACCCCAGACTCTGCCAGCCACCCTCCCTTCAGCGAGCATAGTCCCCCGCCCCCCGCCGCTGCCATACTCCAGCACTGTGTCCCCGAAGCAGGTTCTGCGGCAACATGGGCCCCGAAGCGCCACGAGAAACCACTGCCGTTTGCTGAAACGGCAGAGCGCGCCAGGCTGCAGCCCCACGGGCGGAGACGTGGCAGGCACGGGGCTCCTCCTGGCTCTCCGCACCCTGGGCGTCCTCGTCTCTCTCCACCCTCATCTCCTTCCTGGGGCTTGGGAGTTACTGCGTCTCTCTCTCCCCTTGCTTCTCTCCCTGCGCCCCTTTCCTGTGGGTTTCAGCAAAGACGAAAACGAGCCCCGCCCCGCTGTCCCCAGCTGGCCGACCGACCCAGCAGTTGGGCCCAGGGGTGCGGGGGTTGCCCCGTGGGGTGTTACGTGCTCCTCCAGGCGAGCCCTTTCACGCCCCGGCCCTGAAGCAGGCGGGCCCCCGCCCAGGTCGCTGTGTCCCCGGGGGCGGCTGCCTTCTTTCCGAGCCGACATCCGCACGTCCCACCCGCGCACCCAGGTCCCGTCCAGGCACCTCTCCCTCCATCCGGCTGCTCCCGTCCCCTCTGACTCCGCGTCTCCACTGTCCGGCGGCGGCGGTCCCCCGGGGCCAGCTCTGCCCGGGGACAGCGTCCTCCCGACGCTGCGGGCAGGCCCCTCGGTCCCGTGCCCGGAGCCTCCGGCTCCTTCTGTGCTGCCGCTCACGTGCGCCTGGCCCTTCCAGCGTGTGACGTCGCCACCTGCACCTTTGAATTCCGAGGCCGTGGGGAGAGGTTAGGTCGTCCACCAGTCGAGGCCCGGCGTGGGGCCGGCCCTGTCCTTCCAGGCGGGCCACCCTCCACTGCTGTCTCCTTCGGCCGATCCCGACCGCAGGGAGGAGAGCGCGACCTCAGAGCCGCCTCCGCGTGGCCTGCCTCGAAGCACGCGCCCGTGAGCCTGGGGCAGCTCTGTGGCTTAGGGCAGGGGAAGTAGTTGTTCAGTCCTCTACGGGACACGGGATTCGCTGAGTTTAAAGACCCTCCCCTGCCCCCTCATAATTTAATCCCTTTCCTGTCCCAAAGTTCAAGGCCAGGCCAAGGTTACCCAGAGTGCACCGCAGCCCCTTTTTGAGTATGCCGCTGAACTCCACTGAGGAGGGGGGAGCTGCCTCTGAGTGCCCGGACCGAGGCCCCTCGTCTTCAGAGACAGCCTGTGAAACACAAGGGCAGGGACCCCCACACTCTGCTTAGGTTTCCTTCCGTTGTAAACACGCAGACACGTGCAGGGGTGAGCACACAGGACCCGGCCGTCGGCCCCCACGTGTGCTGCGTCCGGTGGTGGCCGGGGTCTGTTCCGGGTCGGTGGGAGAGGGCCCTTCACCGCCACGGATTCTCTGCCGGGGCGCCCCGCAGGAGAACCCAAGTTGGCCAGGGGGACACCCTGTGGAGAGGACAGTGTTGGGTTACAAAGCTCGGTACCTTTGCAAAGTGAACACAGCGCCGGCTGACGAGCGCGTGCACTTGAACACTCGGTCCGTAATTCTACAGGCCGCGCTGGCTGCCCCCCCCCAGCCAGCGGTGAATGGCACTTTGCTTCTGTAACTATTCCGTGAGCGTGCATGTCTCTCTGCCTTCGCTTGTGGGCTTTGGGCCAGTGTGTTGAATATTGATCTTTAAAAACCTGGACATAAAATAGAGCTTATTTAAGCTACCCACCCACGTGTCCTTTGAGTGTGCAAATTGCCTAAGAAGGAACAAAACTGCATCTCTGTGGGTGTCAGGTGGCACTGGCCACGCTTCAGTGCGTTGTCGTTCAGGACGCCGGCGTGTGGACTTCACAGCACGCCAGGACAGCACGCTGGTCCAGGCCCGAATCCCACGAGAGCCCAACTTCGCCTCCGCTCGTCGCCAGTGGCCGCTCGCTTTGCGCTGGGTCTGGCTGGGTCTGGCTGGTGCCTGGAAATGCTTTCTGTGTGCCTGTGTAATCGCCGTGGCGACCAGCACCTGGGGGCCACCTGCCCTCTGACCTGGCCTCGCTGGGGGCCTGCGTCCTCAGGAAGCGTGCCTGTGGCCGTGCTGCTGTCTCTGTGCCTCTCAGGGGTCCCCGGCCCCAGCGGCCACAGTGACAGAGCAGGATGGGCGTGGACAGACGGAAGCCTGTTTTCCGTCCTGTCCTCTCCACGGGCTGGCTGTCCCCTCGCATTTCCCAGTTGCAGGAAGATGAGCGCTGGGCCCCGACCTAGGTGGTCTGTCCATGTGATCCCTTCCTGTGTGAACGGCCGCTGCTGGTTCCAGGCCCTTCTGGGAGAACGTGAATCAGACCGGGAGGATCAGACCTAGTTTCCGGATTCCCCGGGGCCCAGCTCTGGCTGCCCGGCCGGGGGAGGGTGTGTCCGTGCGGTGAGGAGCCCGTGGGCGGCACCCAGCCTCGGTCTGTCCCCTGGAAGGTCCCAGCAGCTAACTGCACGCTCTCTTCCCTCTCCCGCTCGGCTCGTCATGCCCTCCTCCCCCCTCCGCTCGCCGCTGGCATGTGACCTTGGCCTCCCGCTCACCTGCCAGCCTCCGGTCCTTCAGTTCCGACAGGTCTCACACCCTGAGCCACGCCTCCTACCTGCGGGACAGCGCCATGATTGACGACGCCGTGCTGATCCCCAGTCACCAGGTAGGTGGCCCCTTGCGCGCCCCTCTCCGGGCTGCGGAGCCCCTGGGGGCCACCGGGTGCTGGGGGGCGTCCGGGGCAGCCGGTCTTCCCCTGAAAGAAAATCATGGGGCCCCTGTGACGGCCGGGACAGGAGGCTGGGGGGGGTTTTCTAAGCCGGGGGAAAGGTTCGCTGGGTTTCTCCGTGACCCGAGGTTCTCTACAGCCAACTGCTGGTTTCTTTGGCTGTGCTGTGTTCTGTGGGGTCACACATGAAAACCAGCCCCGCCCCCCCCCCAGGGGCTGTTCCAGTGGAGGGAACAGTGTGAGGGAGGGTGCGTTTACGGGGGTCACATGGCACCTCTCGGTATTTAGAATTGCCATCGACAGAGGAGACATTGTGTTTCTAGGGGACACTTTGATATTGGGTGTGATTGTGTCGGTGTCGGCTGGCTGGACACGCGACTGCACCAGCACCTGCCTCCTCACAGCCCATGACACAGATGTGATCCAACTTCAGTCGTGTCTTTCTCACGGGAGTGCGGGACAAACGGCCCCTCACACGCCTCGGTCTCGTGTTCTCCAGTGGGGGCTGCTCCAGGCGGGGCCGCCCGCCTGTGGCGCCGTGTTGGGAGCTGGCGGCGCGTCAGGCTGAGCGAGGGGGTGTGCACTCAGCGCTGTCTCCGTGTCTAGGTGTCGGCGCTCACCAAGGAGGCCGAGAGGAGCGCCTACCGCCTCAGCTGGGGCCCCGAGACCCTGGACAATGTGGCCCTGTCCTCCAGCCCCATTCACTCGGGGTGAGTCGCTGGTGTCGAGTGTCCCGCGCGAGGGCGAGCGGGAGGGTGTGAAAATGACCGCTTTGTCCAGTGGCTGGAGCTGGTGGCCGGCTTACAGGGGAAGTGACCTTGTTTAAACTTGTAAATAACACGGCTTGTCCGACACGGGCCCTTTCTGCACGAACCAGCGAAGAGGGGCAGACTCAGAGTAGAAAACTGACCTTGTTTTTAAATAACCAGCAGAACTGCGTCAGCTTGCTGACTAACTAGCTGATACCGGAGGGGGCCCGACCGGCGACATCTTGTCTTTAAGAAGTCTGAAAAGCAGAGGCAGGGTGATTTATTTTCCAGAAAGTTCTATGTACTGAGTTTCACTGACTAGTTAACAGATGCCTTCGCTCACATGTGGATGCATTCAAAGGGATGTTTCTGGAAGCCCGAGTCCTGTGCTGTTTGCGGCAGGAAATGCAATGCAGCTGTCGCTCCTGCCCTTCCCAGGGTCAGTGGCCGCGTGTGCCGCTGAGGAAGCTGCGTCTGACAGCAGCTCAGCAGAAAGGAGGGCTCTGAGTTCATCGTTGCAGGCGTGCTTCCAGATGTTCTGCGGGGGTAGGAATCCAGTCGTGCGGGACGCAGGTTCCGTGAGGAGCTTCAAAGTGTGACACTCTTCACAGTCGAATTTCCCCTTACAGTTCAGTAGTTTCGGTCATATGGTCATTTCATAATTATGTGTGAAGCCCTAAAATTTATTTGTTCATTTAATCACTTTTTCTAAGCCCTGCTCATACATTATCTAACTAAATACAATACTTTGTATTTATCCAAACTTCTTATCCATAATCCCCAGGACCATTTTGAATCGTGGATCCTTTCTTAGTTTTCTTATTCTAAAATATTCTCCTTTCAGGAAAGCATTCTAAGATGTTGTTAAAATTTTTAGGGCCTCTTAGTTTAATCTTTTACTAAAGATTCATAGAATATGAAATTAGTTACATGGATATGGAAAATGATAATACTTTTTTCCCTGTTAAAAAAGTAAAAGCTAGTTCCTAAGGCAACACTTATTCAAGGGAATAAAAACCAAAATAAACCTCATCCAAAATTAATGGCATATTTTAACTGCAAAATGAGAGAATGAACACCCGACAGCTATAAATCATTCAAAAAGCATAACATGGATTCTGCTACTGAACTTTGCACAAGGACGAGAGGAGGGAGAAGCCGTGTGACCCCGAGTGCTGACGGTGACAGACCAAGTCCAGAAACCAGCCCAGGCCAGTCCTCGCCCGCCTGCTGCCCAGGGAGGGATGATCTCAGCCACAGTGCGATTAGCCGTCAGTGGCCGAGTTTACCTCAGAGTCCAGTCTAGAGCATTCCCTGGTTAAAGATCAGTCACTTACTAAGATGAGGATCGTTACAATAAGCTAGTTTCTCCCAGAACAACAACATCAAACGGGATCGCTGACCGACTGTCCTCCGCTCCCAGAGGGAGGCCAGGCCCCCCCCCCCCCCCGCAGCCGTGGCTTCCTGACGCCCACACGTGCCAGTCGCCCAGAAGGGCGTGTTCCACGCCGACTGTGAGGAAGGCTGACGAGGCCCCGCAGCTCCCATCGCTGGGCAGAGACGGGGGGTTCACCTGCCCTGAGTTCCTCGCCTGTTGCTGATTTCTGCAGAGTGCTGCACTGCAGGTGGGCCCTGAGGAAAATGAATAGGCCCCCAGGCCCAGCCTCCCTCGAAGAGACGCACCTGTGTCGTTTGATGCTGGAGGACAGTCCGTGGAAGACAGAGAACGCAGGGTCCCCTTCGGAGGCGGCTCGGTCCGACAGCACCTCGGCCCTGCCACCTGGGCCGAGGGTCAGAGTTAGGCGGACGGTCAGCGGTCAGAGTTTCAGGTCACTTCTCTGGAAGCTGAACGCTGTCTTGTGGATCCCACCGGGGACCCCTAGGGTTACAAGCTTCTGAAACACGTAGCTCTTCGTCCAGAAAGAAGAGTGCTCAGCAGAGTCTAGTCAGTACTCAGACATCCCCGCGCACACCTTCCGGATGGTTCCCGAGCCCCAGCCCCGCCCGGCCGTCTGCACCCCGAGTCCCCGGGCGGCACAGGCCCCCCGTCGGGTGGACTCACGGTCGACTGCAGCAGGAACCCGTTGCCCAGCAACGCCTCACCCCACTGCGTGTTTGCGCAGACACACGGGACCCGCGGCCCCGACCGATGGGGAGCGACCGCTGAGCCCTCGGTCCTGAGTGTCCTGGCGTTTGAAAGCTACCGCCAAATGAATGGACATGAACTGCATCCATGATAACCTATCATGTAACATCGAGTTTTTGTAGTTTTATTCATTATATACCCGGTTCCTGAGTCATTTTTATAAAATTTTCAAGGAACTGAGGTTCTTGGGCAAATTCTTAAGCCACTTCAAAATCTGCCCAACATGTTAGGGGAAAAAAGTTTTTGGCCCGGGCGGGGGGATAATAAAGTGAGGCTTTTGTAATGCACCTGCCGCTGGTTTCAGACGAGTCGTTCTAAGGGTTCCCCTTCCCCAGCGGGTTGTAGGCAAGCCGAGGACCCAGCTGCCCCACGAGGCAGGGCTAGTGGTTTCTTCTGCCGCTGCGCTGGCCTCCCAGCGGCTGACGTCCAGAACCTCCACGCTGCTGGAGACCAGCGCTCACCGATCAAAACAGTCTGGCTGCCCAAGAGACACAGCCAACCTCTGCCCAAGGAAGGGCTGACAGTCACATTCCGGGTGTTGTTCTTCAGGGCCGTGCGGCTGACTCACCAGCGAGCTGGCAGTGTTCCTAGCTGCCCGGCGGTGCTCGAACCAGCATAACGGTGGATTCACATTCCCGGTTTCCCAAGTGCTGGTGAAGGAGCAGATGTAAGGCACGGTTCCCAGTAACGGCTCGTTTCTCCGTCCATTTCAAGTATTATTCCAGAGCTCTTTGTTTTTATAGTTTTTTAATGAGAACCACATGCCAACGATTAAATGTAGGATACCCAGCATGGTATCCTACAAGAAGTTGTAGCAACTATAAGTCCATTAAAGATGGATCTTTTTCATAAAAACACATTGAAGACAATTTTGCTGTGAGTCTAAAGCTACTCCAAAAAGTAAAGTCTCTTAAAAAACCCATGAAGCTATTAGCTCAGACAAAGGAAGTGGATGTTTGAAATTCGAGGAAGTGAAGATTGTTTGTCACTGGACAACATTAATATGTCAGAACCTCGAGCAGTTAAATTGGTGGTTCGTGTATTTCAAATGCCCTAGATTTTTTAAAGGCACACGAAGGTAAATTCTCTTGGGTGAAGAAAATGACTTCATAAGGAGCCACAACTGTTCTGTGAGGTTGGCTTTTTGGTCCCTTAAATGTGAATCCTTCTGTATGTCAGACACCAGGGAGCTGGGGAGCAGACAGGCCCCCCACCCCCAGCCGGCCAGCGGCTGGGGCAGGGCCCCAGTCTTGAGGGAGCACCGGGGCTTTGTGGGCACAGTCTCTGCCACCTGCCCGTAGGCGGTCCACGTTACCTCCTCTGCCTTATCATTCCTGCCACTGCCTGCCCTGGAAGCCCGTCTTGAAGTTGTGCCTCTTCCGTCTGCATTCCTCCTGTGGTGGCCCACAGGGCGCCGCCTGTCTTGAGGAAGTGTTCACGGTGTGAATGAAAAGCTATGGAGATAAAGCACCAGTCCCTCAGCCTTTGTAACTTGCATTTCACCGCTCCCTGATGGTTTCTGGGCTCCGGGACACTAGAGTTGTCAGTGCCCCGCAGCCAGCGCTGAGCAGGGCTGCCGATGGGTGCCCATGGTCCCCTGCGCCCCAGGGCCCTGAACGGGGCCCACGGAGCCCACCCCGGTCCCTCTCAGCATCTGTGCAGAGCGACGCCCCCGTGGCGCCTCCATCTTTTCTCTCTGAAGGCCGCAGCGGTGTGGAATAACCTGTTTCTCTCAAGAGCCACTTCTGACCCTCTGGGATGTCCCACAGCCCCTTCTCTGTGCTAAAGTATCTGTTCTGTTGCAGCCGCGCCTCTCCGTGTCTCGATCGCGACAACAGCAGGTGACTGTGCATCCCCGCCCGCCCGCCCGCCCGCCCGCCCTCGCCGCCCCCCACCCAGGGTGCTCCAGTGCTCAGACACCTGGCAGGGACGCAGCTGCACCCCGGCCACATCCCCGCCAGGTCCCCTTTCTCTGCGGTGGAGGGAAAGGGGGCATTTTTCATTTCACTGGGAATTTTCTGGAATTTTGCCCGAAGTAACGCAGCCCCGCAGGGAAGGCCTTTCTGGCCACAGCTCCCCACGGCGCCGCTTCCATTGTGAGAAAGTGCTCGTGAGCTGAGCAGTTATTCCCAGCAAGCACACAAATTGGTGGGCCTGTTTTAAAGCTCTGTTAAAAGTAGTGACTTCAAGTGTCACTTGGCAGGTGTTTTTTAAAAACTGCATTCCAGGTGAGCGGAGGCTGGGAGTGCACTAACAGTGCGTCCTGGCCCGTGCCGCTGTAAACCCAGCCTTCCCATGCTTTGGAAACTGCGCTGTAGGATGAGGCTGGTCAGCGTTCCGAAACATCCACTGTCCTGTGTTAGCTCAACAAATGATTTTTGAGGGCTCCTACCAGTCACGGCATTTTTGTTGCACAGTCACCCATCATGTCAGACAGGCTGTCCACAAGTGAAGCAACTTCATGTCTCCAGTTTTGAAAATTTTATATCCATCCTTGCAGTTTTCCCGAAACACTAAACATAATGTTTCCAACTGTGAACACTGTGAGCGATAAGTGGTTTTTTGGCGACTTTAGCCAATTTGAGCCACGTCTTCTTTAAAAAATGTTTTCCATCCCTGTTTCCGTGGATGGGAATGGGGGGGTCCAAGGAGTTACGGGGACTGTGGAGCAGAAGGCTCGGACGCAGCGTCCTCGCCAGAATTAGACCTAACCCGTGGGCCTGGCTGTGCGAGCAAATCACTGAAGCACCCTGGGGACCCTTTTTCTCCCTATTTCACCCCAAAACTAACTGAATGCTGCCGATTCCTCCCACCCCACCCCGGGCGCCTGGATGAACTGAATTGAACTAAGCACCCTTGACCTGGGGGAGGGTGACCCTCAGCGGACCAGGCCCTGCCCTCCAAGCATGTATCTGTGTAGCTAATTGGGTCGCCTCGGGCGAGTCATCTGCATAATAATGGCGGGTCGCTTTTGCTTTTATTCTTTTTAAATTGTGATAACACTGAATCTCACAATTTAGAAAACCTCCATAAGAATTTCTGATTTGCATGGTTGCTGAATTTTATCCAAAGCAAGACGTGCAGTGTTAGCCAAGGACGGCATGTGACGCCTCGTCTGCAGAGGCGTGTGCGGTGCGGCTCGTGCAGACTCCTCCTGCAACACCCACCGCCCGCTGAGCCGGCTGGGTTCACCGCCCAGCACAAAGGAGCCCGGTTCCCAGCAGGGCTGCGGTGTGCCTGTGCCTTCCCAGTGGGAACGCCCCCAGGGCACCTGCAACAGGACCTGCCGGCCGCCTGCCGGAGCCCGCAGCAGCACCAGCCGGTGCAGGGTTGTTAACAGCAGGAGCCACTCTGGTGTGTGTGTGCGGGAAGTCCCGTTTTAGGGGAGAAAGCGGAGACCTACAGACGCAGAACGGCCGGCATGCGGCCACGGCAGTGCTTCTGGGCAGGGACAGACCGCTGGCGGGTTGGAGGGGGCCGGGAGGCCACGGCGCTGCTGCGGCATCGCCCTGTGAGGTAGTAGTTCGGGTTTTAGTTAAGGAGTGACGTTCAGAAACGAGTAAAAGCTCCATCGTCCCATTAAACTGCTTCAGCCACGTGTCCCAGGCTCACTGTAGGTTCTCAACAAAATGTTAGTTTCTCCATTTGGTTCTTAGGTGTTGTATTGCACTGTCGTTCTGAAGACATTCAAACTCCCCAAAGCAGGGGGGCGCAGGGAAAGGAAGGCGGAGTCCTCACAGGCTCTCCACGCAGGTGGCACCCCCCTGCCCTGCCGACGGCCGCTCTAACCACAGGCTGAGCGCCAGCCAGGCATCGGCTCCCCGCCCACACCTCCCTTCGAGCTTTCCCTTCCACGCCTCTCACAGCCGAGGGCTTACCGGCAGTGTCTCGTCCCAGTTTTAGCCTCCTGCACAGATGGGAGAACCACACCTGCTTCATCGACTCGAGCGTCATCTCACAGCTCACACCTTACAGCCTTCCACTCTTCCTCCGGTCCAGAAAAGCTGGTCTCTGTCACCTGCTGCTAGGGTTTTGAAATGAACGCAGAACAACTATCCTCTCATTCTTCTCCCAACCCGAGTCCTGACGCCTTCTGATGATCTGACATTTTAATGAAAATGCTCAAACGCTGACCCAATTTTATGTTATAAACGATTGGGACTAAGTGATCAGCATGTTGACATTTGTCTAAAAGACTTCCCATCAGCACCCAGATAGAACTCGAATCACTGGTTCTCTTATTCCCCGTTACTTGGAGAAAAGACTGCGTTCAGTTCACAGCGCCACGTGCTCAGCTGCTTTATGAGCTGGCTGCCCTGCAGTTACGTTGCTGGAGTCTGATTCTGCGGGTCTGTCGGCTGCCCCGAGACCAGACAAGTAAATCCCCTTCTGCGTGAGCTGCCCTCTCCCTGTGTTAGACGTGAATAGGGACGGCGTCTCCCGGTTGCTCTTCTCACTCTTCCGCCCACTCATTCCCTCAACAGTTATCCCCCACCCCACACGCGTCTCCCACCTGGTGCCAGGACCGGGGGACACGGGGTCGCTGCCACCAGGGACGAATGTGATTTTGGGTCGGCAAAGCCCTCCTGGGGGGCTCAGACCCTGAGCCTGTGCCCCGCTCCCAGCAGGGCGGCCCCTCGTGGGAGGGTGACAAATGTCTCAGGAACAGGAGGCTGTGGGGTGAGTGGGCGCAGCAGGGTCTCACGTGGAGCAGTCGATGAGAAAGTGGTCAGACGCGTACCGCGGTGCTGTTCCAGCCCGCAGCGCAGCCCTTCGGCCTCTGGGCAGAAGGTCCCCAGAAGGGGCGCTCTGCACGCCCCGGGGTGGAGGCAGTGGTGGCGGGAGCCGTGCCAGCGCACGGGTGCAGACACCCGGCAGGTGCAGGAGCAGAAATGCCCGAGCGCCTCCGGCAGGTGCAGACGGCAGGGAAGGCCGGTGGCCATGGACGACGGCAACGAGCGTGTGGCGGCTCTGGCAGGAACTTAAGCAGCTTTGCTCTAGTTTTCATAAAAATAACATAAACGTAGTTGAGAAAAAGTCATGAGATGGAAAGAAAACCTTTATATGCACCACAGATGTTAGGTAGTTCTTCTTTTCAGCACCCGCATATTTTAAAAAGCAGGTGACTCGGTGGTAAGAGAGGCAGCTGACATTCTCACACAGTGTTTTGATAAAGACCAGAAACATCCACATTCGGGCCTGAACTGCCCATTACGCTCCCCCCCACCCTGGTGTGGCTGCACTAAGCATGCAGCGGGCGGGTGCGCCGGGCCTCGGGGTGCCGCCCGCATGATGGCTGCGCAGGCCCTGGGCCTGTCTGTCCCTTTGGGGACCAGCGTGGGCTCGCTGTCTAACCACATGCCTGGCGAACCCTGTGCTCTGCTGTGACGGGGTGCTGAGCTCTTGCCCCCCACTTGTGTAAAAATAACACAAACGCACTCTGCTTCGGTCCCACAAGGACCTGGGCTGGATGCCTTCCCATGTGTGTTGGGTGTTGCCGTGGACACGGTGCTGTGTGGGGCTCCAGCCCGGACTGCTGGCTGAGCCCGGAGCACCCGGGTGCTGCTTCCTTCCTGCTGTTTTGGCATCCAGACCTCGCAAATGCAACAACACGGCCAAAGGCAGCGACGTGGCCCGTGCCCGGGACACACGCTGTCTGTCCGTGTCTCTGTGCACGTGTGCAGGCAGATCTGCTCCGGGACACAGCGAGTTCCTCCGAGACGTCAGGGAGTGTGGTGACGGACAGAGTGACAGGAGCCCCACTGACCCCCAGCGCTCAGACCGACCCTTCCCCCGGCACGCGGACGGGCTGAGCCTCGGGGGGCCGATGGCTGCCCGCGAACCATGAGCTGGGCCGAACAGGAGCCAAAATGACAGAGACGCCCCTCCCCTTCTGAGTTGTTGTCTGTGATTCCCCACATCCGCATCACTGTACTCTGGGGACAGTCACGCTGCGCCCCGACACCCTCCCTGCAGGAGCCAGGGTTCCCCCGTCAGGCATGGAGCGGAGGGACCGTCCCCTCCTCCTGCCCCCCACCGCGGCTCCCGTGAGCCGGATGCACAGTCATAGTGCGGCCTCTCCTGGGGAGAGGGCTGCGCATCCTTTTTTAAATCGCAACATTACGTTAAAATGAGCGGGACAAGATGTGACTTTGAAAAGCCACGCGGAGTTAACTTACGGCAGCTGCTCCTGCCTCACCGGGCTCCGTGGGCGGGGTTTTCAGGGCACAGGCAGAAGGGAGACTCCTCGTCGTCTTGACAGAATCCCATTCCACTTGCCATGTCAACTGCGCATGTTTTTACTGCGCAGTTTATTACGACCATTGCCAACAAAAATTAGCCGAAATCTTGGATTTCAGATAAAGACAGCATGAAAATTAAAACAATAGCACAACCCAAGTCCAGGCATTGCTGTGAAGGAAAATAACTTTTGAAGACAGGTCTTTCCCACCGTGCATGTCCGGAACGAGGGCATGATCTGAGGACACAGCATGGTGGGCCACGGCGACCGCCCCCGAGCTCGTGGCCCCTCCCGCGGTCTCGCAAACCCGGCCGCCGTCTGCTCTCCCTTTCAGCTTCCTGGTCAGTTTCATGGTGGACGCGCGCGGGGGCGCCATGCGGGGCTGCAGACACCACGGGCTGCGCATCATCATCCCGCCGCGCAAGTGCACGGCCCCCACGCGGGTCACCTGCCGCCTGGTGAAGCGCCACCGACTGGCGACCATGCCCCCGATGGTGGAGGGAGAAGGGCTGGCGAGCCGCCTCGTCGAAGTCGGACCCTCCGGTGCTCAGTTCCTGGGGTAAGAGCCTCTGATAAGCCTCCCACTTAGTCCCCGGTGAGCGCGCACCCCGCCCGACGCCGTCCGGCTGCAAGGCACCAAGGTACGTCCAACATGGTGAACGGGCTTTGGGCCCCGTGACGTCTTTTGAAAACCCGAAGTAGCATCTGGAGGCCCCAGTCCACGTCCACACCTGTTCTTTCAAGGCTTCCGTGGGCTCAGCCATGAGGCGGGTTGTGACTCTCTCTCTCTCTGGACGTGGCAGCAGCCGCTGGACTCCCCGTGTGGGTGACTGTGTTAGGCCACGGTAGGTGTTGCTTTTTCCCACTGAGGCTCACGTGGTCAAGTCGTGAGGCAAAAACACTGCTCTGTTCCAGACCTGAAAGTCAGGCCCCGGGTGGCTGTGAGAGAGAGTCACCCTCACGCAGGAAGGAAGACGTGTTCCTTCTCAGAAGAGCCCAAAAGCAGCCCGCGTCCTCTGTCTCTTCCGTTACTGCAGTCTCCGCCTTGCAGCCTCACGGGCAGGCCGTCCGGCTGCAGTGGCCATCCAGACGATGAGATCCAGATTCACGTCTACCATCCTTGTTTTAGCAGTTTTGAGCCACAATTAGCCTTTCTTCTTCTGTTTGTTTGAATGGCTGCTGTTTGATTAAGTGGTATTTCAACCCACTGAGAAATACGTAGCTTCCGCTGAGAACTGGCAAAAAGATGAAGTTTTGGAGGGGGATGAGTTTCAAAATATTTTGAAACGAATCAATTGTATTTAAGTCCTGCCACAGCAAGTCTTTGTGCTCAAATACGGGGACAAAGTCCTGTGAGCCACGAGCCCTTGCTTTGCTGGTGTCACATCGGGGGAGAGAGTTCTTGCTCCGGAGCCAGGAGTCGTTCTAAAACCCAGTGATTCGGAGCCAACTGTTCACGGGTTGCTCCGAATCACGTGTCTGTGTTTGCGGTTCTAGAACCCCTTCCGGGTCCGTCAGACCAGAGCTCCAGAGGGAGCCTGCGGGGGTCGGGGTGGGGCCGGTCCCAGGGGCCTGCCCCTTGCTGCCCCAGGCCCTTCCCTCCCTCACACCGAGGCCATGGGGACTTTCAAGTCATCGTCACATCTGGGCGGGAATATCCGAGGAAACGCCAGGCCTCTCTGCAGAGTCTGAGTTTTCGCGATATTCCCAGCAGCTCTGTCCTTCCTGTGGAGCAGCACACTTTTTCCTTTTTGGCTCGTGCCCTGGCCCTGGCCCTGGCCCTGGCCCTGGGGGACCCTCACCAGGGACAGACCCGCCCCCACGCGCTCTGGCGTCCCACACCTCCATTGAGCACTGGGGCCCTCGGCGCCTGGCTCCCCGTGACCAACGGAGGGGGCAGGGCCGGAGCCGGCCTCCCCGTTGGTCCGCAGCGACGCCGGGGCCGGGGAGCCACGCCTGAAGCTGACTCATGTTCTCTCTTTCACTGCTGCTTTGGATGTGCTCAGTAAACTCCACCTGCCAGCGGCTCCCCCCCCACTTAATGAGGGAGAAAGCTTGGTCAGCCGCATCCTTCAGCTGGGGCCTCCTGGAACCAAGTTCCTTGGGTAGGAGCGACTTAAAGCAAATTGATGGCTGTGGGCCCCTCCTCCTCCTCCTGCAATATGATTTCTCTTTTGTCATCGTGCCATGACATGTCCCTCTCTATGATTTAAATTCTGTATATGACCTCTCTTTAGTGGACCATTTCCGACCCCTGTGGTATGTGACTTTTGTTTTTGAGTGATGTTTTTATGCCTTTTCCCTTAAAGTGCTGTGACCTTCATTTTTGTTAAAGCATGAGCCCTGCCTAGTGGTACTATGTGCTAACTATGATGTCGTTACGGTAAATCTGGAGTCTGTATCAAAGCAACCTGGACTGGAAGGCGGAAGGCCTCTGTGAACCCAGAGGGAGCGCGCCCCGAGGACCGCCGGCTGCGCGTGCTGCGCCCGAGCCTCACAGGCACGCCGTGCGCGCTGCCGGGGGTGCGCTCCACTGCCGGACCCCGAGTGCATGCCTCCGCGGTTCCCGCGGTGCTCTACCCACTCCCTGTCCAACCGTGGCGTCACTTTGCGCCTCGCAGGGAGCGCCTGAGGAGGCTGGTGCACATCGTAGATACGCATGTCTGTTTCTTTACGCGTATCGGAGAAGTTCCAGAATGCCTCCTGCACTCACAGGGGAGCGTCACGGGGCTCTAGGCAGCAGCGCGTCCCTGGGACGCGTGCCCGAAGTGGGACGTTGCCCTGCGGCCATCGTTAGCCAATGCCCTGTCCCCAGAGAGAGGAATCCAGGTCACTTTGCCACAGACAGTCGCGTGCATGCCTGATGTGGCCGGCTCCTGTCCACACCGGGTGTTTTGCTTGCTGCCAGGCCTGTCATCGTGGAGATCCCCCACTTTGCCGCCCTCCGGGGAAAGGAAAGGGAGCTGGTGGTGCTGCGCAGCGAGAACGGGGACAGCTGGAAGGAGCACTGCTGCGAGCACACGGAGGACGAGCTCAACGAGATCCTCAATGGCATGGATGAAGGTACCAAGGAGGCGTGGCCGAGCTCCGAGGGGCGTGACCGGACTCCGAGGGGCGTGGCTAGGCTCTGAGAGGGTGTGGCTAGGCTCTGAGGGGGCGTGGCAAATGAAGCACTCTGAACCTAGGGCCACATGTGCGTGTACGTGCGCGTGCACGCGTGCACGTGTGTTCGTGTGTTATTCCCGCACAGCAGGTATCCGGTGTGCTCCCCTGTGATGAGTGAGGTGCACAGTACGTTTGCCTGGTCTTCTGTTGTGACCTTCAGGAAAGTAAAATCCAAATCCTAGGGACCTGCTTAGTCCAAACTTTCTACTTTTCAAGCCTGTCTGCATTTCTGTATTGCCCACCTGTCTGCCCTGGTGCAGGCTGGGAAAAACCTGTGGCCTTGTGAGCCAGTGGTAGATGGCACGTAGGTGGTTCATGGTTGCAGGGAATTGAAACCCTGGGCTCACGGTCATCGTGCCACAAAGGCCCTTTTCTACACGCACAGTGGCTGCCTCAGCGACAGTCACCGCTGGAGAGACCCCGTAGACACAGGCCTGCAGGACAGACTGGGTCCCCCATGACACCCTGAGGACCGAGAGTTGGGGGTGCGGTGAGAGGCGGGGGGACCCAGTGTGCTGGTGAGGGGAAGGCCGCCTGGCGCTGACCGTGACCATGCACGCTGTCGCCCGCAGTGCTGGACAGCGCCGAGGACCTGGACCGCAAGCGCATCTGCCGCATCGTCACGCGCGACTTCCCGCAGTACTTCGCCGTGGTGTCGCGCGTCAAACAGGACAGCCACCTGATCGGGCCCGAGGGCGGCGTGCTGAGCAGCACTGTGGTGCCCCAGGTGCAGGCGGTGTTCCCCGAGGGCGCGCTGACCAAGCGGATCCGCGTGGGCCTGCAGGTGCGCCGGGCGCGCCGGGCGGGGGCGCTGTGGGGCGGGGGGCCCTGCTGGGGATGTGGGCGTGCGCCGCGGTTGGAGCGCGCTGGAGAGGGGCTGCCCTGGCACGCAGTAGGTCTTTTACAGGAGGGCGAGTAACCGCCACCCCAGTGCCACGCTGGCAGCCACCGCCCTGAGGGATGAGACACACAGCAACATACTAAAACGATGTTTGTTGCGTGTTTTCTTTGCGAAGGCTCAGCCGATGCATGGCGAGCTGGTCAAGAAGATCCTTGGGAACAAGGCCACCTTCAGCCCCATAGTCACTTTGGAGCCTCGAAGGAGGAAGTTCCACAAGCCGATCACCATGACCATCCCTGTCCCCAAAGCTGCCAGCGACGTCGTGCTGAACGGCTTCGGGGGAGAAGCACCAACCTTGCGGCTGCTGTGCAGTATAACAGGTGAGGCCCCCGTGACCATGCGAGTGGGAAGTTCTGGGACAGGCTGTCCGGCCCCGTGGTGTCTCTGGGCCACCCCGGAAGAAGCAGCGCTGTCTTGGGCCACAAATTAAATATGGTGCAACACCTGAGCACAAAAAAACCTCATAACGTTTTAAGTGAATTTAAAATTTTATGTTGGGCCGCATGTGGTCTATGGGACCAGGCTGGACACCCTTACGTCTGGAAGAAGACACTTGGACAGTTGGGACTTGCCTCAGACCTCAGACTCCCGAGGAGCTGGGAGTCACTCCCAGGCCCGTGGACCTATCAGCCTCCACGGAGCCGCACCTCGTACCTTTCCAAAAATCAGCATCATCCTGAGTGATTATATCCAGTAGTTCAAACCTGACCTCTGTCTAGGAGTTGGTTTTGTCTCCATCCTTGGTCTGTTGAACTAACTTTGGAAAAACAGAGTGAAGTTTTTCCAGGATTAACTGAATTTGGTCTTTTCAGTTGAAAGTTGTAGTAGCATTCAGACAACTACCAAACTCCAGACAGACACTCCCGGGATACTGGTAGTCTGAGCCCAATGACCAGTAGTGGGAGTCACGCCACCCCCCACCCTGACCACGTGGCTGGTAACCCCTATTTGCACTGACCCCGAGCTGCTGGAGTTCGGTCAACATCTGTGCCACTGCCAGCGGGAGTGACAGCCGGCCTCAGTCGCCCGGGTGCTGCCAGAGACGCCTCACTTCTCCTTCACGTCGGGGGCCTTGTTCCCCCTATTTCGTCCTCTCTCGGGTTCTCCCTTCTTATCCATGTGTTTCTACACTGAGGACAGCAAGCCATTGAGACTACTCCATGCATTTAATGAGTGCAAAATTCTACCCCATCAGTTTAATAAAAGGCAAAATCCAAAACACGTGGGCTCACAGGAGCACAGGGGAGCCCTTCCTCACCCCTGGTTGTCACCGCACCCCTGGGTTGGGTGTCCTCCCGTCGTTGGGGGCCCTGTGCACCCTTTCATCCCCGTGAGATACAGCGCGTGGCCGAGAGGCAGGAAAGACTTAGTGTGCGGGCGTGCCCCGATCCTGCCATCAGTCCGGCGAGCGGACCATGTGGCTGAGACGCCGTCCACCGGGTCAGGCTTCCCATAGGCCTTCGTCCACCTGTCCATCTGCCTGCAGAGCTCATCGAGCTTGTAATGTTTCCCAAGATTTTTTCTCCAGCCTGCCTTTGCATGTTGAGAGAAAGTTTTATTTTCTGAAAAATAATTGTGTGAAATGCGAAGTTCAGGGACAACGGAGTACCTGGGTTTCCCGTTAGTTTAACAAAGCTTTCAGCTCCTCGGTCAGTCGCAGGGTCTTTTGAAGCCATCGGCTGAGCACACCCGTGTCTTCAGGGCCAGCAGTTCCAGCAGCACAGGCCTCTGAGCGCCAGGCAGAGGGTCAGGCGCCTGGCGGTCCGAAGCAGGCGTTCGAGCAGCTGCCCTTGCCTCAGCCCTGGGAAGGGGGGTCCGCTGTCCCTCCTCCACCGCCTTTCAGTCACTTGGCTCCCGGTGTGTCGCCTTGGGGGCAGGGCCCGCGCTGGCGCCCGCAGCCAGAACCACAGAGACACACTTCGCGCCCCGCAGTCCAGAGTTGTGCCTGGTGCCTCAACGGTCCTGTTATTTCAGGCGGAACCACCCCCGCCCAGTGGGAAGACATCACGGGAACTACGCCACTGACGTTTGTCAACGAGTGTGTCTCCTTCACCACCAACGTGTCTGCCAGGTACGTGGCGCAGACCGGCCTCGGCCACACCGCCCCGCTGTGGCTGCCACTGTGTTTGATTCCGTTCCTTGTGTTCTTCAAAAGCCAGTTTTTTTCAGTTTGGTTTTCAATATGGTCTGCACTGCTTTTCCCATTTTAAACCGGACCCCCCCCACCCCGCCCCCCACAAACGGAGTAGTGACGATACAGTAACAGAGTCCGCCCGGCCCGACGAAAGTCCGAGGGACCCAAGCGACGGGCAGGTCGGCCCCGGGGTCTCGGGGTCGGCACGCTTCCTACTGTCGACCGAGACCGGAGCTGCTTCCCGGCAGGCGTGACAAGGTCGAAGCCCAGCATCCGCACGTCCGGGTGACTCTCAGGCGCCTGGCATGTTTCTGTGGCTCCCACCCTCGTGGACGTGGCCTGGTCTTGTCCACGGCACTCGCTGCCTCTTTTACGGTTCTTCTGCCCCAGGATCTGTGAGGGGAGCTGGGTGCTGCCCACGTTTCCTTTGTCACCACCACGACTTGGCCGCGCGTCCATTTCACAGACGGAGGGTCTGGCGCCGAGCAGGTTCAGGCTCAAATTCCTGTTGGGGGCCAGAGGGGAGGGGCACGCAGGGACAGCTCAGGGATGCGGCGACGACAGCCGGGGTGGTGGCTCTGTGCTCTGCAAACCCCTGCGCCTTCCCTCATACGCAGAGAGGATGGGAGCTGAGGGCGTGGACCCAGAGGCACTGCAGGGGCCCGGGGGCTACGCACATCTGGTGGCCAGAGGGGAGTCCCAGGGGAGGGGGCTGCCGGCCTGTGCCGGAGCCCAAGGGGCAGCTACAGGCGGGAGAGGGGACCCTGGGGACAGCAGTGGGCCCCAGGGTCTCAGGTCAGACCCGGTGCCGCAGGGGGCCTGCCCAGGAGAACCCACGCCCCGGTTCCCGTGCTCCTGGGCCCGCCGTGAACTCCCAGACAGCCGAGGGGACGGCGAGCAAAGCACAGGCGGGTCAGAGCAGCACGGAGTGCCTGCCGACAGCGGCGCCTGCGCTGGACTCGAGAACACTGTGCTCAGTGACGTGCCCGGACAGGCTCCACACGTGTGCGGTTCTGAGAACATGCACGTCACGGAGACAGGGCACCTGACGGGTGCCGCAGTCGGGGGAGAGGGACAGTTAGAAGTGGGTGTTCGATGGGCTCCATGTTCTGTGTGGGCTGACGGTGACGGGGGCCCCACGTGCTGAGTGCACTTCACCGTGGTTGACATGCCAAGTTTTATGTTACGTGCACTTCACCAAACACAGTGAAAAGGACAGGAAGAGAGGTGGATGAGGAACTGGAAGAAACAGGCTGAGGGGGAAAGGGCATCTCGGGGGCCTGGGCCCGTCCAGGGGAGGAGGCGCCGTCTGGAACGAGGCTTAGAGCCACAGTATGGGGGCCCTGGCGAGCGTGTGAACAGCAAATGGAGACGACGGCCCTCGGGGACCCCGGCGTTCTCCACGGGGGCGTTCCCCCCAGAGCCGGGCGTGACGAGAACACAGGACTCTGCAGGGAAGTGGCCAGGCCACAGGCCACAGGCCACAGGTGCAGCGCAGCTGCCGAGCTCATGGAGCCCCCAAGCTGGTGATGTCCCCCGGGGGCCGTGCTCTGTGCTCCTGACAAGGTCTGCAGCAGAACAGACTCCCAGGTGGTGGGGCAGGTCCCCCTGGCTGACTGGAGGGGTTTGGGAAGAGAGAGGAGGTGCGGAGAACCTGGGTCGATTTTACTGAGAAGCGTGAAGTGCGTGGGAGAGAAGAGGGATGGAGGGGCCTGGGGCTCCCCCAGGCCAAGGTCCAGGCAAGGTGGCCCAGGTTCACACCCCCGACGGTGCTGGGACGCGGGGCATGGACTTCAGAAGGCTGGACACGTGGACACACGGGTTCCATAGTTGACGGCAAACACGGCATAGTCCGCAGCACCTCCTGCCTCTCGCTCTGTCCTTTCCTGTCTCACCCTGCCTCCTGTCTCACTCTTGTCCTTTCCCAAGAAGCATTAACAGGGACCTTGATCCCACTGGGGCACAGGTGTGTTTCGGCTGCTGCACATTAGCTTCAGGTGACTGACCTGGAACCGTTTTCTAGGTTCTGGCTGATAGACTGTCGACAAACCCAGGAATCTGTCGCCTTTGCCTCCCAAGTGTACCGAGAAATCATCTGTGTGCCCTACATGGCCAAGTTCGTGGTGTTTGCCAAGTCCCACGACCCCATCGAGGCCAGGCTGCGGTGCTTCTGCATGACCGACGACAAGGTGGACAAGACGCTGGAGCAGCAGGAGAACTTCGCCGAGGTGGCCAGGAGCCGGGACGTGGAGGTACGGGTTCCACGCATGATGGGCTGACGTGCGCGCCTTTGTCGATGGGCTGTGTGTAAAACAATAAAACAATACACTTAAAAAAAAGTCTACATCTTGATCAGTTAGAAGGTCAAAGTCCAAAATCAGCTATTTTTAGCTGGTTGGGGCCAGTGCTGTGGGGATGACCTCAGCGTACGGCAGGCAGCAGTCTTCCCTTACAGGTTATCCTGGGGAAAGTATGACTTACTGATCAAGCACGTAGCGACGATAACAGTTCAGACGGTTTTATCTTTCCTTGATGCTCTCACCGATTTTCGGCCACAAAGACAGCAGTTGGGAAGCACGTCCTTACTAACGTGACTGTGGGGTGACGGGGCTTTTCCACGCCACTTCTGCCGATGGCATTTCTCATCAGTGTGGGCTTGGGGAGTGGGGTGGGGTAGCCTGACGCGCTGGGGTGGCAAACACCGCCCAGTCCGAAGTCCAAATGCAGGGTTTAAAGATAGGCCGGTTTGCAACGTGACGTGGTGTTGGAAAGGGGGTCGTCCATGTGATAGGCCACCAGGCCCCGCAGGCCCGTGAGGAGTGGAAGGGGGACGCGAGGACGCGCTTCGTCGCTGGTGTGACGAGACATCAGCAGTGTGGGGAGGGCTGTGTGTGCAGGTGTGACGTTCCGGGTGGCACCGCCAGCTCCCCACGCAGAGAACTGGCAGTAAATGCAGCTGCTGCCTCCTCTGCGCCCCTGTCTCTGCAGGTGCTGGAAGGGAAGCCCATCTACGTGGACTGCTTCGGCAACCTCGTGCCGCTGACCAAGAGCGGCCAGCACCACATATTCAGCTTCTTTGCCTTCAAAGAGAATAGGCTTCCGCTCTTTGTCAAGGTAACTAACACCTACATGGCATTTGTAGGCGCGTTTGCTTCAAGACCAAGTGAGGATTCGATTTCCTTTAGAAGGGGAGAATTCTTGTTTTCAGTCATTTCTGGTGCTTATTTAAACCCCATCTAAAAGTGCAAAGTTCTGGAAAAGCAACCCTTTTTATTTTCGAACATCAAATTCCACTGTAGTTTTTATTTATAGGCCGTGTTTAAGGACAAATAGGCAATTCATTAATTCAAAAAAGGGGCTTTTCTTTCTCCAGTTTTACATGAAGTCTCTCTCTTTTCTAAGTGTTACTTCTTTTAAATATTTGTGCTTAAGTTTTTGAAATGTATGAATTTCATGAAAGAAGAGACCAAGAGTTCTAAGTGACAGTTTTATGTGACAAAATCTCTCAAAAGGCCTAGGAGCCCATGTTGCCCAGTGAGAGCTTGCCCCCAGCACAGCTACAGGTGGACATATGTTCCCAAAGTCATTCAACAAACATTCTCAGAGGCACTTTAGTGCCCTGTGAGTGTGTTAATCCAGATGAGGAGTTTGGCCGCAGTAAATTCAAGTTTCATTCTGGAACTCGCCCCTCCAAGTCTCAGGAGGGTCGACACTGTAAGCGAGAGGTTCGTGGATCGGACAGGAAGGGATGCTCGTCCTCTTCCCTGTTTCTCCGGCCTCTCCTTTCCTGCCGCTCACCCACCCGCAGGCTCCGTGTCTGGGGCCGATGCTCAGTCCTCCCCGGACAGGGCCGGGGCTCCGTCCGCCTGTTCTTGTCCTGCCTCAGGTGGCGGGCCGACTCCCTGGCAGTGTGATCCTGTTACCACTCGACCCTCATGACCTCCCCAAGCCCGTGTCTGTCGGCCTGTGTAATGTTTTAGGTCTGCTTCTGTTTTCCCAAGATCTGTCCTGAGCCTCCCGTCGTGCCGTTTCTGGCTCAGTGGCTGTGCCTGACCAAAGCTGGGTTCTTGCTGACCACCGCACAAGCAGGAACTGCCGAGGGGCGGCGGAGCCGTTTAACGCAGACAGTGTCGAGTTAAACTGTTCGATGTCACTGACACCACAAGTCACTTACAAACAATGCGAGTGGCTAGTAAGCACAGGAACAGATGCTCCACAGCTCAGGGAAAGCCAAGTGCAACAGCTGCAGTGCAAATGGTTACTGGGTTAGTGGGAATGCTAATGGGCTATTCCACACCCATTAGAATGGTTATTATCGAAGAGAGAAAAGCCAGAAACTAGCAAATGTTGCTGGGGAGGCAGGGAAGCTGGTGGGTCATAAAATGTGCAGCCCCATGGGAAACAACAAGGTGAGTCCTCAAAAAGTTAAGGGTCCATGGCCGCAGGATCCAGTAACTGCACTTGTAGCACACCTGTGCCCACAGGAGCTGAGAGCGGGACCCGGCGACCCCAGCACCGGTGCTGGTGAAGGCACCGTTCACCAGAACATGGACAATCTCAGCATCCCTGTGCAGAGGGATGCATAGATAAGACATGGCCCATCCACTGAATGGAATGTCACTCGGCCTGTAAAAAACAGTGACATTCTGACACATGCTGCAGCATTGGTGGCCCTCACAGACATAGGCTGAGTGACGTTCATTAGCCGGGCACAGAAGGGCAGGTCCTGCCCAGTCTCTCCGTCTGGAGCGCCGAGAAGAGGCAGGTGCAGAGCCAAGGTAGAGTCAAGGTCCCTGGGGCCCAGGACTGAGGAGCCGGGGCAGTGGCCGGGTAGTGGGAGCAGAGATTCTGTCCGGGATGATGAGAACATGTACCCAGGAGGGATGACAACGGCACAGCTTTGTGAGTATGAATCACGCCACCAGGTTGTGCACTGACTGTGTCATTGTGAAAATGGAAATGATAAATGTTCTGTAGTTCAGCACAATTTTTTAAAAAGCTGAATAACATTTTTTAAAGGCTGTTGTAATAGAACAAGGAGAAAGGGCAGCTGCTAACCCTGACTCAAAACCTCAAATGCACTGTTTCCCCCAATGCTTTGGAGCGTCATCTGCGTAAAAGTGGTCTCACGAGTCCTGTGTGGGTGACACACCTGTGCTTCTCTCATTCAAGGTACGAGACACGACTCAGGAACCTTGTGGACGACTATCATTTATGAAAGAGCCAAAATCCACCAGAGGCCTGGTACATCAAGCAATCTGCAACTTAAACATCACCCTGCCTGTTTACATAAAGGTATCGAGGAGTCTGCACAGTGCGTTCGGGCGGTGTGGGGTTTGTCTTCAGGTCCTTGGAGATGTGGCAGCAGAGACATGATGCAAACACACGTCACAGTCATTTTTGATTCCTTGTCAAGTCTGTGACTCTTCACTGAAGTGAGGAAAAAGTGTTCCCACATCAAACTCGTTTTGATGGAGAAATCTCTTTAGATACGTATTAGACATGGAAGACAGAAAATTTGAAGTGAAGATTTTGGGGGGACTAGTTTTTTAAAAACCAGTAACTGATGGTGTTTTCCTGACAGCTTTTGCGTTACCGCTGGGGGCCGCACTCGGGCGCCCAGATAGGTGGCCACTTCGCCTCGTTCACGACCAGCCTGCGGTGGGGAGGGGTCTGAGTCTCACACGCAGGGCAGACTTACAGTAGTCTGTGTCGTTGCTGAAGTGATTACCTGTTCATCTTATCACCTATCATATTTTAGGAGTAAATTAATTTTTCAACTATTTTAACATGATTCGTATACAAAATACTCCCAGTTCCAAGGAGCAGATTTGAAAACTTGTTGAAAAGAACAAAATGCATTAATTCCTGACGCAGGTCCAACTGCAGGCACTGCTTTCTAGGCAGACCCCTCCCCACTGCAGAATTCCTCTGTAATTCCTCTTGATTATGCAGAAATAGTCTCCATTGCTCTATGAAACCAAGGAGGACAACTGAGTGAATTCAGCGCTGGGGATAACATTTTACTTAAAAATATTTTAACCAGTGTCCCTTCCCAATGAGATCCCCACCCAGCAATGCCCAGGAGGTGGCGGCCACATGCCCAGGTGTCTGAGAGGTGGGGCAGGTGTGGGGCAAGGAGGACCTGGGGGGGGGGGATGTATTTGAAGCCCTAAATCTGGACCCCATAAGACAGAACACTTCCTTACTGCTTTCGCCCACCAGGCTGTGTTTCCTGACTAATTACTCCTGTACATAGAGAATGAGTCACATAGAGAATGGCTCGTAGCATCACATGCAATGCTGTGAGTCCTTATTTGACAAAAGTAAACTAATTTTATGTCTCTGTGAAAGAAGTGAGCTCCAGCTCTGACCTCAGTGAGCCTTCAGCGTGCTGCTGGGACAGACCAGACGCCGTCCCCGGTGCACGGTGGTCCTAGTGACCCAGCACACGACGGAAAGTGCCTGACGCCGCGTGCTTCAGCTGCACCCTAGCATTCACTGGCTCTTTGTTGCAGCAGCACCCCACACGGTGCCTGGGTGTCCAGACAATACTCGCCACACGCTTGTTCATGGCCTTGGCATTCCCAGCCAATGTCGTCACCATGTCTGCAGATGTGCGCCCTCCCAGCCACTCAACGTCCAGCTTCAAGGCTGGTGGCCGAGCATCTGGAATCAGTGTGTTTGTGATCCGGGTTCTTTTGTCTCTTGGATCTCCAAACTTTGGTGTTTAGTTAATTTGTATGCCCGTCCCCTGTGAACTGTGAGAGAAATGAGGGCCCCTGGATAGGGTGCCGCCTGTCGAGGCTGGTGGGTGGGGTCCTAACCTTTCCTCCTAAACTCTGCTCTTCCTGCTCTTTTCCATCCCATGCGGCATCTGGGCGGCCAGGAGTCAGAGTCAGACCAAGAACAGGAGGAAGAGGTAATTGTGTGACCTTGTCGCTTGGGGCGGCTGTGTTGTTGCTAGAGCCACGGGGCCTGTGTGCTTGGAGGCTCTGTGGCGGCGGCTCTGGGTGCTGTGTGGGGACAGGCGTGTCCCTGTGACTCACCGCCCTCTCTGCAATAGTTGCTCTTCTCTGCCAACTACTGACAGCCAAACCATTGGCCCGTGGTTCTCAATGGTCAGTCTGCAGATGCCAGGCAGGTCCTAGCCCGTTGCAGTGGCCTGGAGACATTGTCCACCTTCTGACTCGCACAGCCTCACAGAGGTGGCTCCCAGAGGCCGTCGGCGCTGGGTACGCCTATAAACTTGGGCTCCAGCCTTTCCTCAGCTTTGTTTTTGTCACACATGCTTATTTGTATCAAACATAAAAATTCTTGAGGCTCCTCGCTAATTTTTAGGAGTCAGTGGGATCTTAAGACCAGGAAGTTTGAGAACCACGGAGACCAACAGCCATGGAGCATGTAGTCCCTCCGTCAGTCCATGACAGTGTTGCTGTGTGGGAGGGCGGGTGCCAGCCCCTGGCCCGGCAGGCTCCCTCCGGGCTGCTCGGCACCGCGGCACGGGCAGTGCCTTCCTTCTGGCACAGGCGAAGGACGTGCGTCTCCGACAGGTCTCCTGGACTACATGCCCATTGCGATGACAGTTGCTTCTCTAGTTCAAGCCAGTCTGTGTGTGTTTCCCTTGTAAACATTGGAAAACGCCCAGACGTTATCGTGGATGTGAAAGAAATCAGTGGCAAATCCTTGTACTTACAGATCAGCTTATCAGTCCCCATTTCTAGGATAGTCAAGTGCAGTTGTTATTAGTTGCACATAAATGTTTTCAAGTATAGTTGTTTTATTTTTTATGTTATTCTGATGGGTGTGAAATGCAGAGCTGTAAAGAAAAGTGTGAAAACACCCTTGTACCCACCTGCTTAAAATGGAAGGCCCCATCAGTCCAGAGAGGTCCTGAGCCCACTCTTTTCACAGACCCTGGCCTTGGAGCAGGACTCGAGGGTGGTTACAGTGGCGCTGTTCTGCCGTGTGTCACCAGACACACATGCGCCAGTGACCAGACTGGTCACTCTCCCTTTGATGTCCGTCACTCCGTCTCACACCCCGTTTCCTTCCTGCACCTGTGACTCAGTCACCAGAGCAGTGGGAACTCGGCCCCTGCCCCTTCCCCATGGGCAGTGCAGTGACGGAGCCAACTTAGTTGCATCCAAACAAGCCTTTCCTCTGAGCTTTAGGGTGTCTGTTGAACTGCTTCTGGAACTATTTAGGTGATAAGTGAAGTCTGTACTCTTCAGGAGTTGTGCTCTGGCTTGTAATTAGTGACAATGACATTCTCTCTGTAGAGTGTATTGCCCTGGCATGCTGTTTGTTCTCAACGAAGTTGACACTGTTTCATACTTGTCTCCCTCTCTCCTGGGCCTTTTCCCTAACCAACGTTCATTTCTAATGCCAGACACACCCTGGGTCCCGTCTTCCCAGGAATAACATGGTAGAAAAGGCTTCCACATGTAGTGTCTAGAAGGAGATTTGTTTCCTCAAAGTTTGGGTAAGAATGAAGGAGGCTGGCAGGGACGAGTGTAGTGGAGCCCCTGGCCCTCATGCTCGGCATCCCCACATCTTGGGTCACGACTGGGGGCCCTCCAAGCATGTCGGGGCCAGGAGACACGACGCTGTTGTAACCATTCAATTTATGTATGTTCTCTTTCAGGTCGATATGACATCAGAAAAAAGTAAGATTTTCAACAAAACTAAGGGGCTACAGTAAAGACAAGCATGAATTAAGATGCAAGCTAGTTGCCTTTACTAACCACGATCATAATTACACTTTTATATTCTTATTAACCATTAACATAGATTCAGAAAAGCAGCTTGGCCCGTTCCATGACAGATGGGCTGACACGGCCTCATCAGCAGTGAAATGCAATGACCGTCCATCTGAGCATTCACTGTCTAGACACTCCCCTTCACCCTGTTCCTGCTCCGCTTGTTAGAAACCCACCGACTGTTTCTGTCCGTCTGTGAGCATAACATCGTCCTCTCGTTTCTGTAGAGCTGACATGACAGTATCACTGTTTACATCCACCCTTCACTTTTGTGGGCTGCACCTGCAAAGGCGATACTGTCCTCGCCATCCTGGCGTGGCCTGACCCTCCCTGACTCTTACTGTGGTGAAGTGGCTTTGGCAGGGCTGAGGTAGAATGGGCTTTCGTGAAAACATTCTGGAAAAACAAGAGCCATGAATTCAAACACTGAAGCCTCCTTAATGTAATGATTAATCGCGATTTTAAATAATGGTGCAAATCCCAGAGGAACTTGGCACAGAGAGATGTGGTTCCCGGACCTTCCTGGACGCCTGCCTCGCCCAGCAATGTTTTCATGGGTTGGTGTTTTTCCGGTAACTTGGCTTCTTGTATGGAAGAACCTGAATTTTTCAGGGAATTTTTTTTTTTTTGCTTTTATGCCCCAGATGCTTTAGAAAAAAATCTGTTACTGTTTTTTCATCTTTTAAAAAGACTTTGTTTTATTTTTAGAGAGAGAGGAAGGGGGGAAGAGAGAGAAACATCAGCGTGTGGTTGCCTCTCATGCACCCCCTACTGGGCACCTGGCCAGCAACCCAGGCCTGTGCCCTGACTGGGAATTGAACTGGCAGCCCTTTGGTTCATAGGCTGGCACTCAATCAGGGCTGTTTTTTCATTTTAAAATGTATTTACATTAGCTGTTTTTCAGGGTGGAGAGCCATACTCATATGGTGGTCTGTCCTGCTCACTGCTCTGAGGGCTATTTTAAGTCTTCACACAGTATGATTTACTCCTAAGTTACAGAAACCCCTTTAACCGAGCGTCTCCTCACCCTTGCGTGAAAGCATTATTCAGAGCTAGGACATTTGAAATCCTGGATGTTTTCATTGGTTTACATTTGAACAAATCTGCATTGATATAATTAGTGTATTTTTACAAATGCATACTCACAGAAGATGTCCTCTGAACAAATACTGACTCTGTCAAGAGAAGGCATTTCTGTTGTAAAGCCAATCTGTCATCACTGCCTTCGTTCGTTTTTTCTCTTGAGGAGATTCCACTTTGTTCTCCCACTTTCTTGTGTAGAGCGACTGTGTGGATTTGAACAGCCTGTTTCTTTGTTCCTTGGATACAGGCTCGGGGTTAAACATCAATGCGTGTGGCTCAGTCGTTACAAAAACCTACCCTGTTGCTATAATGCCTGGACCCTCCTTGGTCCTCCTGGGTGTTTTAAATTTTCAAATACAGACTTTATGTTTGGTTTTCTTTTAGTTTAAAGACTATTATTAAATAACATCCATCTGGGTGTAAAACGACACTTCTCTGGGTGTCCAGAGAAGGTGCTGTTGGAGGGCCCATCCCTGGTCGGGTCTGCGCCCTCCGCTGGCACTGCGGCCCCACCCCCCACCGCCGTGCCTGGACACCCTGGACGCCCTGCATTCCACTTCAGATGCATGGGCTCGTGGGCAGGACTGATGCTTCACCACAGTAATGTGTACCTGTTGTCCGTCCCAACCACCCTCCCACCTGCATCCCAGCAAGCCCCACCCGTTTTGCCCCGCTTCGCTTTGCATGGAAATAACTTGGCTTACACACCTGTGCGTGTGTCCGTGTGACTGTCTCTGACCCAGTTGCCATGCGTCACACTCTAACCTTGGACTCACCTACACGTTTCATCACCACTGTCCTTTCTGTTGTTTTGTCCTTTCTTTCCATTCCCTCCTTGGTCTGCCCAGTAAGTGTCCCAACAAGGAGGTGGCTCCCAGGAAAGGGCTGTGCCTCTCAGCACCAGGCCGTGCACCTCATTGTTGGTGTGAGTTTCCTTAGACGAAATGCCGGTTCGCAGCGGATTCAGACACTTGGGGTAGAGTCTTGTGCGGGGCAAAACGGCACGTGCTGGTCCCCGGGGCAAAACGGCACGTGCTGGTCCCCGGTTTCCACGTGATTAAAAGCGTACACACGCCGTGAGAAGTTGTCCTGAGTCGGCTACTTACTGGCTTTCTCCCTGAGACAATGAACGTCCTGCAGTTCGCTCCCCCTCCCACTGCCCGTGTTTGTTTTCCTTTCCACATGACCCGTGACGTCTGAGCAATCTTGAGATGCCTCCGTGGAAGTCACTGTGCCCGTCTCTGTGTCAACATGTGGCGTTGTGTGTGTGTGAACAGTCTGCCACTGCGTGGTCGTGTGTGTGGATGTGCTGCGCGTGAGAACGTTAAGCCAGTTATTTCCTGCTCGTTCTCCTTTTCGGTTTGTCTGTTAGCCTCGCTTTGCTTTGTGTCCCGAGACCCCGTGGCTCTGCCCTCCCAGCCCATGTGATGTCCCTCCCACCACGACAGGAAGAGACACTGTGTCCTTGGGTCCTTGTTTACATTTGCCAATATCTTTTTTGGTTTCCGTTTTACTTTCAATGTCCTCCATTCCCATCAAAGACGATGAGACAGAGTCAACAGAAACGTCTGTCCTGAAAAGCCACCTGGTCACGGAGGCCCCGGCCCTGGCCAGCCCGGACTTGCTCTCGGAGGTCTCCGAGATGAAGCAGGACCTGATCAAGGTGACGGCGCTCCTGGCCACTGGCGCGGCCAGCAGGGCAGGTGCCCTCGGGGAGAAGGCACTGGCCGGGGCCGTGGAGGAGGAGCCGGGGGAGCCCTTTGAGATCGTGGGGAGAGTGAAGGAGGACTTGGAGAAGGTGAACGAGATCCTGAGGGGTGGGGCCTGCTCAGGGGGCAGCGGCCACGGGCCAGGGTCCCAGCCTGAGGGGCAGCTAGAGGACGAGGAATGGGTGCTCCTCAGTGACGAGGAGGTAGCAGAGGCCAAGCAAAGGGCCCCCCTGGAGGTCCCCGAGGTCCCCTGTGTAGAAATCAGGCTAGAGAAGGAGACCACAGCACAGGGACAGAGGGATGCCACGGGGCTGGTCACCTACCTCACAGAGGATCTGAACTCCTACTCGGCGGCTCCTGGAGGGGCCCCGCAGCCAACGCCCCCCACGGCTGGGGACAGACGCTCTGGAAGCGAAGCAAAGGACATTCCCCTGGATGAGACGCAGAGAACGCAGACCCAGCAGCAGCCAGGCCTGGGCTTGAAGAAGCCAGTGCGGCGGAAATTAAAGGACAAGCAGAAGCAGAAAGAGGAGAGTTTACAAGCCAGTGCAGGGAAAAGTGAGCTTAAACAGGGTAGTTCCGAAGAGTCCTTAGAAGGAGACCCGGGCTTGGCCCCTGAGCCTCTGCCCAGGGCCAAGGCCACGTCCCCCGTGATCGAGGAGACCCCCATTGGGCCCATCAAGGACAAAGTGAAGGCCCTGCAGAAGAGAGTGGAAGATGAGCAGAAGGGTCGAAGCAAGTTGCCTGTCAGACTCAAAGGCAAGGAGGAAGTGCCCCGGAGGGCGGGACCCCGGCCACAGCCAGCCCTGTCCCCCCCTCAAAGGCCAGACCGGCGGGCACCCGTGTCCCCCTCCTCCAAAGTGGACAGACACTCGTCCCTCACCTCCTCAGCCAAGTCCGAGCGGCATCCTCCAGCGTCACCACCGAGTAAGACTGAGAGACACTCGCCTGTGTCTCCCTCAGCAAAAACCGAGAAGCACTCGCCCGGGTCCTCGTCAGGTAAAACCGAGAGACACTCGCCTGTGTCTCCCTCAGCAAAAACCGAGAAGCACTCGCCCGGGTCCTCGTCAGGTAAAACCGAGAGACACTCGCCTGTGTCTCCCTCAGCAAAAACCGAGAAGCACTCGCCCGGGTCCTCGTCAGGTAAAACCGAGAGACACTTGCCTGTGTCACCTTCAGGTAAAACAGACAAACGCCCACCGGTGTCACCATCAGGAAAGCTGGAGAAACATCCCCCTGTGTCACCTGGGAGGACAGACAAGCGCCTGCCCGTGTCACCGGCTGCGAGGACGGAAAAGCACCCTCCTGGGTCAGCCTCCGGGAAGACGGAGAAGCGCCTTTCGGTGGCACCTTCCGGGAAGACAGACAAGGCCGCGCCCGTGTCCCCCACCTCGAAAACGGAGCGCATCGAGGAGACCATGTCCGTCCGGGAGCTGATGAAGGCCTTCCAGTCAGGCCAGGACCCATCTAAGCACAAGGCTGGGCTGTTTGAGCACAAAACTGCCAAACTGAAGCAGCCACAGGACAAAGGCAAAGTTCGGGCCGAGAAGGAAAAGGGGCCGCTACCAGCCCAGAAAGAGACACTGAAAACAGAGAGTCAGACCATCCGACGAGGCCAGAGGTCCCCGGGAGTGGGGGCTGCAGAACCCAGAAGAGGGTCCCGTGGTGCCTTGGGGCTGAGAGAAGACACCACCAGAGGGAAGGTGACCCTCCCCACCAATAGGACGCTGCCCCCTGTGGGCCCGGTGCCCGGGGAGGAGCTGGACGAGAGGGGAGACAGGGACCTCCAGATCAGCCCCGACCGCAGAACCTCCACTGACTTTTCTGAGGTCATTAAGCTGGAGCTGGAAGACAATGACAGGTACCAGCAGTTCTGCCGCCAGGAGGAGTCCGAAGAGGTGCCGCTGGTACCGGAGCAGGTGCTCACCAGCCCCTTCCCCACGGCCTTCCCACCAGAGCCCGGCAGTGGGCAGCCACTCCCAGCCTTGACCTTCCGCCTGGATGGCAGCTGTGAAAATCTGGGGCAGGAAGGGGTGGCAGGGTCTCCCTGCGGCAGCCTGATGGAGGGGACCCTGCAGGTCAGCTCGGAAGAGAGCTACAAGCATGAGGGGTTGGCGGAGACCCCCGAGACAAGCCCAGAAAGCCTTTCCTATTCACCAAAGAAAAGTCAGGAGCAAATTGGGGAAACCAGTGAAAATGCCACCTTCAAAACAGACATTCATTCAGGCAGAGTGCATCCCTCCACCAAAGACTCTCCGGACGGTGCCGAAGAGCCAGGTGGGGCTGCTGCAGAGGGCGCAGAGCCCGGGGCCAGGTGTGTGAAGGAGGACACCCTGGACCCTTCCACAGAGATGGGCCCCAAACCGGAGGGCGAAAGCCCAGGCCACTGCACTGTGTCCCCAGCGAAGGAAGCACCCGCCGGGCTGACTGAGGACGTGCTCTGTGATGACAGTCCCCTTGCCCACAAGACACAGACAGACCCTGGAGCTCAGGAACCCACAAGCCCCAAGCCCTTGCCGACCGAGGCCCCTGTGAGGACTGCCCAGTCCCAGGCATCCCCCCGCAGTCCCCAGGGGCTGGACCTGCCACTCCCTCGCTCTGACCCCGAGGTCCTCAGTCCCGGGGCTGACGAGTCATTGGCAGTGAGCCACAGGGACTCCTTGGAGGCAAGCCCCGTGCTGGAGGACAACTCCTCCCACAAAACCCCAGACTCCCTTGAGCCCAGCCCCCTGAGAGAGTCTCCCTGCCGCGACTCCCTGGAGAGTAGCCCCGTGGAGCCCAAGGTGAAGGTTGGCACACTCCCGGGCCACGTCCCTCTCCCTGTGGCTGGTGCCAAGGCCGACTTCTTCACAGAAATGGCCCCTGTGAGGTCTCGGCTGCTGCGAGACCCCGATGGCAGCGCTGAGGATGACAGTCTGGAGCAGACGTCCCTGGTGGAGAGCTCCGGAAAGAGTCCCCTCTCCCCTGACACCCCCAGCTCTGAAGAAGTCAGCTACGAGGTCACGCCCAAGGCCTCTGATGCCAGCACCCCCAAACCAGCTGTGATTCACGAGTGTGCTGAGGAGGAGGACTCAGAAAATGGGGAGAAAAAGAGGTTCACCCCTGAAGAGGAGATGTTCAAAATGGTGACCAAAATCAAAACCTTTGACGAACTTGAACAAGAAGCCAAGCAGAAAAGGGACTGCCGGAAAGAAACGAAGCCTGAAGAGTCATCTTCATCCTCTGACCTGGACGCTGACAGCTCGGCAGCCATAGGTGAGCCACCGTGTGGGCCACGTGCACAGGATGGGAGTGACATCCCTGTCCTGGTGACCTCAGACAACAACAGAAAGGCTTCATCCTCCTCAGAGAGTGAGCCTGAGTTGACGCAACTGAGGGAAGGAGCTGACCCGGGGCTGCTCCCAGAGCCGGTCATTCGGGTGCAGCCCCCGTCCCCACTCCCGTCCAGCTTGGACTCAAACTCCAGTCCTGAGGAGGCACAATTCCAGCCCATCGCTTCCAAACAGTACACTTTCAAGATGAATGAAGACACTCAGGAAGAGTCCAGTAAATCAGAAGAAAACGCGTGTGAATCTCGTTTGCCTGAAGACGGTCATGCTGATTCCACTGGAGGCCCAGATCTGCTGCACGATGATTTGAACAGAGATGCTGACCCACCAAACATGTGTGCCGGCCACGGGTGTGCAACAGGAAGTCCTAGCCACTCGGCCCCGCCTGTGTCCTCAGGTCGCTGTGGCCCCAGTAGGGAGGAGCTCATCATCCGTGAGGATCTGTCATCTCCCCAGGACCCTGGTGGGGACTCAAGAGGAGGAGAGCTAGGGGTTTCTCAAGAGGGATCACCACAAGCAGGTGGCTCCGGTGAGGGCTCTTCACCTTTGTCCTCTTTGCCTGATTGTCCAGCATCTGGAGACGTTGTCTCTGCGTCTTTTCCAGCAAAAATGGAGGGTACAAAGACCAACCACACTTGCGAGAGCTTCCAGGACATTCCCACACTCGACTCCTCCCTGGCTGTTCAGACAGACAGACTGTCTGTGGCCGTTCCAGGCTGTGACCCCTCTGAGGCCGAGGAAGCCTGTGATCTTCAGGTCATAAGCCCATATGAAAATGTGCCTCCCCAGTCCTTCTTCTCTGGTGAAGACAACAAAACCCAAGCAAATGCGGAGCACTCTGGTTTTCATGCTTCTGATGCATGCTCTGTGACTGTCACATCCTCTGTGGACAGCGTGCCAGTGGACCATGCCTCTAGTGGGGCTATTTCAAGCAAAGACTCCAATTTTGGGGACCAGGGCCTGAAAAGCACCTCAGGGGACACACTGTCCGACTGTGCCCCTACATCCTCACAGCCCCACCTGCCCCACTCCGCTGCCGCTGCCAGTGAGCACATGAGCCAGGTTGTCATCACCACCTGTGACGCAGATCCCGATTCCTGGAGCGAAATCCGCGAGGATGACGAAGCCTTTGAGGCCCGAGTGAAGGAGGAGGAGCAGAAGGTGTTTGGTTTGATGGCAGACAGACAGTCACAGGGCACCACCCCAGACACTACTCCTGCCCGGACCCCCACCGAGGAGGGGACTCCGACCAGTGAGCAGAACCCATTTCTCTTCCAGGAGGGCAAACTGTTTGAGATGACCCGAAGTGGGGCCATCGATATGACCAAAAGGCCCTACGCAGATGAGAGTTTCCACTTTTTCCAAATTGGCCAAGAATCCGGGGAAGCTGCCACTTCTGATGACGTGAGAGAAGGGGATGCTGTGAATGAGCCTCCACAGCCGCTGACCCCGGCCCCAGCCCTCTCAGGATCCACCAACACAGATGAGGCTGACTTGCTCCCTGATGTCCTGGGTGAGGAAGGAGAGGGACTTCCTGCCTCAGATGGTGGTCTCTGTTCCCAGACAGGGACCCCAGCCTCCAAGGATGTATTGTCAGGGGAGGTGGCCATTTCTGCGGGCACCAAGGGCCTGCCCCCTGGGCAGGGTGGCGATGCGCCTGCTGCGTCCAGTGTAAAGCTGCTGGCTGGCCCCGCCTGCCCGGAACCTGCTGTCCAGGCTGCACTGGACTTCTCCACAGTCACCAGGTCTGTGTATGCAGATCGGGAGGACGATTCTCCTGACTCCTCCCCAGAGGAGCAAAAGTCAGTCATCGAGATCCCCACCGCAGCCACAGAGAGTGTGCCTTGTCCTGAAAGCAAGTCCAGGATCCCCATCAGGACTTCAGCCCCAGCCCACGGGGAGAGGGCCCAGCCCGAGGGCCTGCCCAGCCCAGATGAGGACAGGGCTGAGCCAGAGGCTAGGCCAAAGTCTAAAATACCTGTGAAAGCGCCCCTCCAAGGGGTTGGGCAGCAGCCCCTGCCCCAGGGCCCATCCCTGCCCAAGACAGTGGCCCCTCGGGGACAGGATGCGCCAGGCAGGGCAGCAGATGACAGGGGCAGATCTGAGTCTGGTACCAGTGCAGGGAGAGCCAGAAGCTCTGCTGAGACAGAAGTAGGGGGTGGGGAGGGGGCAGAGGAGCCTGAGCTGCAGTCAAAGGGCGAGGCCACGAGCCCCAGGCTGCTTGCCACCCATCTACCAGTGCAGGGCAGGGGCCCCCACCGGGAGAGCAAGGAGCAGTTCTTGGACCTGTATAGGAACTCCCTCGAGTTCTTCGAGGAGATTAGCGATGAGGCAGCCAAGCTAGTGGACAGGCTGGCCCAGGCAGAGAGGGAGCAGGAGGCAGTTTCCGATGACGAGAGCAGTAGTGCCCTGGATGTGTCCGTGATCGAAAATCTGCCGCCTGCTGAGACCGAGCCCCCGGTCCCCGAGGACGTCTTTGACACGAGGCCCGTTTGGGACGAGTCCATTGAGACTCTGATTGAACGCATCCCCGATGAGAACGGCCATGACCGTGCTGAAGGTACTGCCGCCAGGGACACCCTGTGCACGCATGTCCTGAGCCCGCGTAGCGTGTCCTTTGTTTTATTTGGTGGTTTGTGTCTCCTTTTCTTTACGCTTTGCGTAGTGGCTCCTGTGTTTGTCAGCCCTTTGTGTTCCGTGCTCTCTCTGTTCCCTCCCGTCTGTGACAATAATCTCAAGATTGAGCAATGAGAATGCTTATGGAAATGCGATCCCACCAGGCTGTGGCCCTGGCCTCCCCACACTACACTGGAGGCCGCACCTGCGCGGAGTTTTGTTGTTCTGCCTCCAGCTCGGCACTTCTGCTTTCACACAGGAGGATGGGTTTTGCTTTATATTATGAGGATTCAGTGCTTTTTCTTACTGTTGTGTCCTTGCCAATAATTCATACTTAACTTTGTAATCATTAGGAAGTCATGTGCTCAAGAAGATTTCACAGATCACGAAATCCCAATTTTGTGGATCTGTTTTTGATTCAGAAAGGTTGGATTTTGGATACCGTTGGTAAACACTTTAAGCAAACACAGATCAGGTAAAACGGGCTTTTCGCTGATGCGGTCGGTGAACAGGGAAGGCATCTCGAGGCCGTGCGGCAGACAACAAAACTCGGACTTTGCATGGTTGACGACGTTGGGGAGGGGCCATGGCTCTGAGTTTCAGCAAGGAAACCACAGGGCTTGGAGAAGCCGCTCCGAGCTTCCAATATCTCTCCAGTGAGGACTATTACTTTTAAATTTGCATTTTGAAAAATGTCACAATGCCATGATCTAAAACTCTGCCCATCAATTAATGGGGGTTAAAGATAAATGGGAAATCACAGTTTGTGGGAACAATGTAAGAGCTTACTTATGAGAGAGCAGATACAAACTTGGCCCAAACGACAAATGTGTGTTGTGATACAGCCTGCACTATGAACACAGACTTCACCTCCCTCCTGTGGGTCACCAGGACCAGGGCCACTCTGAAAGCCCCAGGATTGGCCCACCTGGCCAGGGTCTCAGTGTCCTGTGACCTGTGAGTGGGAGGGGACCACTGCTGCCTGTGGCAGCAAGGGTATCCTCACCGATGACGCCCTTTGGCAGCCGGGCTATGAGCCTCTGGCACCTGAGGAAGGGGGTGATGGCTGTTCACTGGTGGGCAGCATTCTCTCAGATAACCTGGCAAGATGGGTCCTCAGACAGCGGCCAGTCAGCCGCTTATGTAGCGTGCATAGCAACTAGTCTTGATTGCAGAGATGTGGAAGCACCGGGGTTTCATGGTTTCTGTTCCATCTATTCCCCATTCCATCTGGAAGTCAGGTACACACACAGTTTAACCCGATATAACATGCAGCTACTCTCGTGAGAGCTGTGCTCTGGGCATCCGGACGCTTGACCACCCTGCTGTGGATGGTCAGCCCCGGGGGCTCTCCTGGTGCAGACAGTGTGGCTGTTCTGTTTCTGACCTTCTGCAGATCAGCAGGAGGAGCAGCGGCGGATGGAGGAGCGGCTGGCCTACATCGCCGACCACCTGGGCTTCAGCTGGACAGGTAACCTGAGTGGCACCCACTTTTCAACAAAACCTGCTTGGTCTCAATGACACAGTTGAATTGGCCAAGAGTCATTAACAATGACAGCAGCTTCTTTTCTCTTTCCTTGAGGAAGACCACGTGTGGTAGTGAAGAGAATAATCCATGACAGAGTAGAAAGTCCAGGTTCTCATGAACTTGCCTTGTGAACCAGGGCAGCTCATTTACTGTCTTGGGGGTTTGCGACAAGAGATTGAGCATGAACCAGCCCCACTGCCTGCTTTAGGAGCCATGGGTGACCAGCCTTTGGGGAAATGGCTCATTTTCAAAACCAGAGTGAGATGCCATGATCATGATGTTTAATTTGAGATTTAACCAGGGCTCCTTATGTTCAGGGGTGTCCAGCCTTTTGGTGTCTCTGGGCCACGCTGAAAGAAGAGTTGTCTTGGGCCATACATTAAGTACATTGTGACATGTAATCACAAAAAAAAATCTCATAATGTTTTAAGTAACTTTATGATTTTGTCTTGGGCCACATTTACAGCCATCCTGGGCTGCATGTGGCCTGTGAGCCACAGGTTGGACACTCCTATTTTAGGTCGTATATATTAGGTATCTTTGTGAACAGTGCTGAAATTTGCTTTGGATAAATGTTGAAATACATAAGAATGAGATGCACTGATTATCTGAGAATCGGGACTGCTTAAGAGTAGAAATTATAATACATGTTAGCTTACTGATGAAAAGTGAATTCTAAAATAAATACAATTTACTTACAAATCAGATTTACCCTTTCACGTTACCTGGACTTAACATAGTAGAGCAAGCTGGATGGTCTCCGGTTCTGTTTTCTTCTTTTCTTTTCTTTTCTTTTCTTTTCTTTTCTTTTTTCTTTTCTTCGTCTGACTTCCTTTTCTATTCCTTGTGACTATTTGATTGAAACAAATGGTATAAAATGAATATCCATCCTCTTTTGGTTTCTTAAAGATTTGGTGATGAGCAGGAGTCCACACACCCTTAGCAAAGATAATCAATAATGTGGGAAATGACTGAAGGCAGGAAAATAGCCATTTTCTTTACAAACAGATCAGATTGTTAGCCAAGGAACTCGGGAAGGAAGAACAGCATGCCATCCCCGGCTGACTTGTTAAATAGGTGACATTCAAAATGACTTTGTTTCTCAAATGTCCACATATGTGTGTGTGTGTACTGACTAGGATATCCATGCACTTAGTAAAGAATAGGACACTGCTGCCACACTCAGTGGCTGGGACACGAAAGGTAAGTCTCTCGCTGCATCTGGCCCTCTGGCCTTGAAGGACCTGCTCATGTGTTCAGAAAAAATGCGCAGTGCCTGCTCCTGTCTTTTATTCTAAAAAAATAAGACAAGTTTTACTTGGTATTTCTCATAACTACTCTGTCATCACAGCCGTAGCTTTCTCATGCTCTCAAATGTCTGGCTAATTCTGTTGTAATTTTACCAATGGTTGTGGCCGACAGAAAGTCAGTGTGTCTCAGTCTGGGCAGGAATGTTCATATACTGTGGCATTTCTGTGGGTGTGTCTATAGGGCACACACCTGAGGTGGGATTGCTGGTTGAGGGCGTGTACGTTGTTAATTTTGAAAGATACTTGCAACTCACCCTGCAGAGAGGATGCCTCATTCCACACACATGCCCCACAGTGCGTAAGCATCCACGTAGCCTGTCCGTGTGGCCTGTAAGGAAAAACTGTTGGTTTCCTCTGCAGGTCAGTTCTTCCCAAACCTTTATTCACAGTACAGCAACTCCAAGCAGGGAATCTATTCAACCATCCTAATGAGGCCGCACCCGGTGTTTTACACCCCAGGACCTGGGAGCAGGACTCATGGTGGTTAAAACGCTGCTTTGTGATTCACAGAAAGCAATGGGCTCTTCCTCCTGCTTTAGTGATTTGTTTTCCATTGTGTCAGTGAGGAGGAGAAGCCAGTACTAATGGTCTTCTCTGAATTTTGGAATTAAACAGGACCGAGTTATACACATTTTATTACCATAGCCTCACACCCAGTATTTCCACTAGGACAGTGACCAGTTCTACATGCAGCTTTAAGGAAGAATCTGTGTCTAGTGGTAGAAGTACGAGGGTACAGGAGGGTCGCAGCAAATGCACAGAAGATGGGGACCTGGTTGCTCAGCCATGCAGAGAGCCGACCTTCCCAGGACCACGGCAGGTGTGGGACCGAGGTCTGAAGTCCACGGCTCACAGGCTCGGACCTTCTCTTCCAGAGTTAGCACGAGAGCTGGACTTCACTGAGGAGCAGATCCATCAGATCCGAATAGAGAACCCCAACTCCCTGCAGGACCAGAGCCATGCACTACTGAAGTACTGGCTGGAGCGGGACGGGAAGCTTGCCACTGGTAGGTGGTGCTGCTGGTTGTGTCCAGTATACACTTTCCTGCCTGTTGGTCAGGTCCCAGGACAGGTGTCACCAGGCCAAGGACCGCGGCAGGCCCGCAGGGACACAGGCCAGTGTCACCTGTGGGAGGGGGTGGCAGCCCTGGCTGCCAGCAGACATGGTGTCAAAGTCCTGGATTTTCTAAATGTTGACAGTGGACAGAGCTGCTCCAGTTGTCCTGTGTCACTGCTGCTGACCGCCTTTTGCTCTGTTTCCTGAGCTGCTCGACAACCGGGTTGGGCCGGCTGGGGGGGTGAGAATGGTGCCTTAACAGCACCGTGTGTGTGAGCCTCCGACCCCAACCTCCGTGGCCCCAGAGGCCGCCTCACTCACTCAGCCTGTGGCTGACCTGCGCCCCGCCCCCTACCTGCCGCCGCGGGACTTTGCCTGAAGAAATGGGGGTACCAGTTGGACTTAACTTCAGAGCGTGGGCAAATGCTTCTTCACGCACGGGTACCCCACAGTGCGTGGGCTCTGCTCGTGCTCAAGACGCCTCTGTGTTCCATCTGGAATTCAGGCCCCACGGAGTCCTGTGTGTTACCTGGCGGGTGATGTCTTGTGCCCGGCTGGTGCAGGCTTTTTCTCATCCCTTTCCCTGGTTTTGTGCCCGTATTTGGGTACCGCCGGTTTCCCGGGCGAAGGCCGGGATTTTAGTAAGGCGGCTAAATGAAAGAAGGGCACCCCTCGCACGCAAAAACCGCCTTTGCTCTCTTGTCCCAGATACCAGCCTCATCGGCTGCCTCACCAAGATCAACCGGATGGACATCGTGCACCTCATGGAGGCCAGCACCGAGCCGCTCCTGGAGCGCGGCAGCCTCGGCTACGCGGAGATGGAGCCGCCCACCGCGCCGGACCACAGCGAAGGTCGGGCTGCGCGTGCGCGTGCGTCTTGGCGGGCGCGGGCTCGCGCATGCGTGCGCACGACCGATCCGGGCGCCTGGCCCGGGGCTGCCTTTTCCCCGCCGGCGAGGACGGCCGCCTGCGGTGACCCGTTTCCTCAGGTGCCCCGAGACGGGGCCCAGGCGCTGCCGCAGATGCCCCGAACTGCGCGGCCCGGACCCAGAGAGCGGTCCGTCTCGCCCCGAGGCGGCTGTCGGAGGCGGCGCCGCCCCCTCCCCGTCAGGCAGACGCCCCTCCCCGGGGCTCTCCCGCGGCCGCCCGCACCGCCGCCGCCGTGGGGTGGGTTTCAGCGCGGCTTCTGAGAGGAGAGGACACTCCGTCCACCACGACCGCGGGCGTGGATCCTCTGTCCACCCGTTCCCCTCAGCTCGCGTGTCCCGCCCCTCAGGCGCCGCACCTGTGCCCACGAACCCGCTTCCGCGTGGGCTCGCCGCTGCCCGGCCTCCTGTGTCTGAGCTGCAGCCGCCGGGCCGCTGCCGGCCGCCGGGCCCTGTGACCCATTCCCACCCACGCGTGCCCTCCTGTCTCCTGCTCTCCCACCCCGGGCCACACCTTCTCTCCTCCCCCGAGACGCCAGCGTTTCTCCTTCTGCATTCGGAGCTGAGGGCCGGGCTGCCTGCTTCTTGGAAAGAATGGGAATGATCCCAATCAAGTGTTCGCATTCAGTCACCAGCACGTGGGGCCCTCGGCCCCACTCAGACTGTGCTCTCTTGTCCACGGGAGACCCTCACTCCTGAGGCGTCCCCTCTGCCGTCCCCTCGGGCTCACTGCGGGCCGCACAGGCACCTGCTGCGACCCCACGACCCGCCCCCCGCTGCCACCCAAGGGCTCTGCGTGACCAGCCTGCCGAAGGCCAGCATGGTCTTGTTCGGCTTTGTGACCACAGGCCCATCCCGGGACACAAAGGTGGCCTGACGTGGGCGCCTAGCGAACGCCCGCGCACTGTGGGTGAGCGTCAGGGACGTCCTGATGCGCGCTGTCCTCTGCAGGCTTCTCGGCCCTCCCAGAGGAGCTGCCCGCCCCGCACGCCGCATCCAGGGAGAGCGGGTCCTGCGGCCACCCTCCCATTGTCTCGGACGAAGACCTCTCCGTCGGCTACTCCACCTTTCAGGACTGCACCCCTAAAACGGACGGGGACAGCCCAGCCTCCAGACCTGTCCCCCCTCAGCAGGAGCAAATGCCCCAGGGCCTGTTGGGGACGGCGCCCGCGGAGCCAGCTCCAGAGCAGGAGTACTTGTGAGTTTCTACGAGAACAGGGAGGTGGCTGGCAAGGGGCCGGACGTGCTCCAGCCGTCCTTGGCAGTGCTTTTCCGACGGCCCCACAAATGCCGGGGCTGCAGGAAAGCACAGTGTGTGAGAGGCACAGTGGTGGCCGAGTGGTGGACACAGACCTACTTGAGCCTGCTTCCAGGTCTGTGGCCAGGTCCCAGAGCCTGTTCCCAAGCCCCTGAGTCTGTCTCCACATCTACAAATTATGACCCTTCTATGACCCTTCCATGATCCTTCTATTATGATCCACCTGTTCAGGGCCAGGGTTGAAGATCAAGAACAGGCTTGGAAAAGCATGGTTTAAACCAGGATTTCATGACCCCAGGGGGCTCCCTGTACGGTGGCTGCCCCTCTCACCCCTGTGAGCTGCACAAGCCCAGTGGTGGTGGGTCACAGGGTGAGCAGAGAGGCACAGGAGGCATTGCATTCCCGCACAGGCGGGAGGCTCACGATGGCACAAATGCAGCCCAACCCTCAGACGAAGGGAAATGCACAGAGCCCAGGTCCACGTCACTGCTGCAAAGGACAGAGAGTTGTCCAAAGGACACAGATTGTCCAGAAAGAGAAAACAGGTCTGAGAAGGGCAGGCTCGTCCCTGGACCTGGATCCGAGAGCAGCGTCCAGAGCCACCCTGCAGTGTCCTCCGTCATTCAGTGAGCTTTACTGGGGCCACTGGGGCTTGAGACTGATGGGGACTCTGGTAATGGGGTAATGAATGGTCTCTTCTCCCACGGAGCCACCCTGCCCCCTGCAGACTTCAGGGCACAGCACAAAGAAGAGCTGAGAGAAGACAGGAGCGAGGAGGGCGGGGAACCGCAGACCAGCAGTCAGAGAGGGTCCCGGACAGGGACAGGAGTGGCAGTCCACGTCTGGAAGGAGCAGGAAAAACAGAATTTTCTTACTAGAAAGTGCCATTAGGAAGATTACACTGGAGTGAGCCCAGACTGTGTCAGTGCACAAAGTGTCGGTGCCAGAAGGTCTTTCTGTTGTGTGACACGGTTTTCCAGAAGCGAGACTCTCTACATTCATAGTCGTGATGTGCGGTTTACATGCTGCTTTTTACAAGTTTTACCAAACTTTGATTCTTGCTTCAAAAGCCTTGTTACCTACAGGTCTCTGTTGCGTAGACCTGCTTGATTCGTCAATAGCTCCTCAAGTTATCGAAGACCAGATGAAGTAATAGTGTATATGTTCTGTGGAGATCAGGGGGTCGGTGCGCATTAGGGAGCCTTTGACCTTTGGAAGACCCCTCCCCAGTTGTGCTGCCCCAGGGAGCTGTAACTCGACACTGTACCTCACCTGGGGGGTGGTGTTCAAATTTCATTTCTTGGCCAAAGTTACAAAACCTTTCTGACTTTGTGACTTTGAAGGACGGCCACACTCCCCTTTGAGGCCTGGGCTGCCATGGAGGCGGGGTGCGTCCGCTTGCTCTGATTGGCCGTTCTGTTTCAGTGTGACGACCCCAGGGACAGAAGGGTCAGACACTGAAAAGGCTGCGTCTGCACCTGGCTCTCCCAGCGGGACCCCCGAGGAGGACAGGCCCACCCTGCGGACCCCGTCCCCTGCCCCTGGGGAGCAGGCAGACTCGCCCATCGTGCAGGAGCCTGAGGAGCCCCCGGGCCTCAGGCAGGGCGCTTCTCCCCGGAAAACCAGCCTTGTGATAGTGGAGTCTGGGGATGACCGGCCGCCAGCCTTCGAGAGTCTCGATGAGAACTCAGCTTTCCAGAAGGTAAGAGGTCCCTTCTGCATCTCCTGCCCACACGTAACAGCCACAGACTGCCTCGCAGGGGTCATTTCTCTGGGGCTTATCTTGTCACCAGAGAACCACAAGGTTGTCAAGTTAATGAGTTTGGGCCATGGGAACCCTGCAGTCCTTTTCAAAATGTGGGACCCAGTGAATCCAGAAAAAATGATACATGATTCCAACTTGCCTGGAGGGCCTCATTTTGTTACTGGAAATCCTTTGGCTAGGAAACATTAACACTGAGGTCATAGTTAGAGACCTCAGTTAGACCTGCTGTGATGGGTAGGGGACAAACTGGCACCCAGGTGTGAGTTCCAGGGATGACTTAGGAAAGGGACCCTCCTCCTGAACCTACTGCTGCTCCCAGACATTGGCAGCGTGGGACACAGCCCTGCATCCCTGCTTGTTGACCAGGGGCCAGCCGTGCACAATGGAGGAGCCCACTGAGGCAAATCCACGGAGACTGTCAAATCTCAGGAAGGGGGTGTATGGGGTTCGCCCCTCACCACCGCCTGGGGGCGTGATGCCCTTGGAATCCTGGACTTGGGGAAGAATCTCTGTTGTCAGGAAACCCCACTGATTCCTACGTGCAAACGTGTGGATCTGCTTGAATTCAACTTAATTCACTACGCACTAAATTAGGTGTTCCTTTTCCTTTTAGAGTTCAAAATAGTCCACATGTCAAAGAGTTTTAAAGCATAATGTCAATCTTAGCAGGAAAGAACGAGTTAGATAAAAGAATCAGAACATTCAGGGAGAACGGCATACCAGCCCACCTCCAGGCCGCAGGCCCCCACGTGCTGGCTCAGCGTCAGCGACCCCCACCCGCAGTGGCCTCTCTGCTGGGCCAAGCTGGTCGGGCAGGTGAGAGCTCCGCCCTCCGGCTGCTCCCCGACGTCGTGGAACCATCCCTCGGGTGGGTTTTGTGTTTCGTGGTTTTCATGCCTTTGCACAGATCGCTCGTCTCGTTGGAACCGGCTTAAATCAACCCCAGGAAAACGTTTCATAGGTGCCGTCTGGGGCTAACGGCTGCTGGGCTTAGCCCAGGAGCCCACGTGCTGGCTGCCGTGCAGACTTGGAGCCGGGACTTGGGCGACCCCTGTATCTGGTCTGCGCTCTGCAGGGCTCTGCCGCGTCACCCTCAGCCCTGCCCTGTGCTTTCAGGCCCTTTCCTGTCCCCTGACCTCCGCTCCAGACTTGGACCCTGCCCTTTCACGACCCCGACCTGGGGGTCAGATGTCAGCTGGGTTCCCTGCTGACCCTGTTTCCAGGCAGCAGGTTCCTGAGCATATTTAACATATAACTTGGTCCAGATTTTACATGTTTTTCTTTAGCAAAAAAAAAAACCAACAAACAAACATAAGTGTTACTTTAAAATAGGTTGAGAAAACGTTGGTGTTTTCTTCCTTTTTGAATAACATTCTGCGAGGAAAGAGTGGTTTGATACGTGGCTGGCGAGACGTCGTAACCTGAGCTGACGTTCTGGCTCTGTCCCTGGCTGTGCCCCTCCCTGCCCACAGTGAGCGGGACACCCCGGGGCACCGCCAGCCAGGGAGGCTGCAAGGAGCCCAGGCCTGTGGGAGCGGCTGCCACCAGCTGCAGACACTACCACGCCGTTGGGTCAGTTACTCCAAGCTGCAGCCTGAGAGTCTGAGGGGCTGCGTCCCCACTGGGCTACTTGTTAGGAGCTTACGTCCCGGGAGCAGGGTGGACAAGCTGCTGGTCTGTCCAGTGGGGGCTCGGACTCTCAGATGCCAGGGTTGCTTTCCATTTGTTGAACCAAGAGCTCCAACCCCAGGGATGTCGGAGCCTCGGGCAGTGGCCTGCGCCCTGTGGGCTCATCCCCAGGGCTGAGCAAACCAAACCTCCAGGGGTGCACATGAGTTCCAGCAGAGCCCACCACAGAGGTGTCACCAGGGGATGACCTCCTCTCCACCTGCTTGCAGGAGCTCACGGCCGAGCTGGGTGAACTGGAGGTCAGCTCCGACGACGAAGCGACGGTCACCACCAGGGTCGTCCGCCGGCGTGTGATTATTCAGGTACCAGCTGCTCAGAGGGTGCATGTTGGGACCATGTCCCCCCAGCCCTGGTGGCCGGCCCAGGGCGGTGGGGCCACATGCTGCCATGTGGCCCCAGGAAGCAGCCGCGTGATTGTCCTGAGCAGTGATGCTGAGGACACGGCGCTGTGGCTGCTCCTGGTGGGGATGCTCCAACATCTGTTGTCCACGCCCCTCACCCAGGTGCCACCCGGCCTGTGTGTCTGTGTGGCTCAGCCCCCTGAGCTCAGGGTCATCTGCCCTCCTTTCTGGAAGCCCCCTGTGCCAGGCCTGCCCCCACGTCCCCGCCCTGCCTCTGTTAACCACCTCACACACGCATGCTCTCGCCAGGACAGGGGGGCCCTCAGTCGGTGCCCCCAGCTGACAGGACCTGTCTCTGTGCAGGGTGATGACATGCCTGAAGTGCCCCCAGAAACCGTCACAGAGCAGGAGTACGTGGACGAGAACGGGCACACGGTGGTGAGGAAGGTAATGTCCCTGCATGCCCCCGGGCGCTACCCCGCCAGTCGGTCCTCACACCCAGGCCTGTGGCTCCAAGACGAGAAACCTGAGTGCCGCCGTGCCTTCCAGGTCACCAGGAAGGTCATCAGGCGGTACGTGTCCCCTGATGGCATAGAGCGGGAGGAGGTCACCGTGCAGGGACGGCCCCAGGAACCCATCAGCGTCGAGGACGGGGACGGCTTCTCCAAAGTCATAAAGCGCGTGGTGCTGAGGAGCGACACGGAGCAGTCAGAGGTGAGGCTGTGCGGCTGTGGGGCCGCCGTGGAGCCTGATACAGACGTGAGACGTGGACGTGGGGGCAGATGCGTGGACGTGGATGTGAGATGCAGAGTGTGGTGGAGTGTGGCGTGGACGGTCGACGTGGGACCTGGACGAGGCAGATGGTCCTGGGGGCCTCTGTCCCCCTCACGTGGCTCCTAGCGATGCATCTGTCTGTCTCCATGGGGCGCTGGAATTTTAGAACAGCCATCAGGGTCGTCCATAGCCTGACACCTGCTGTCTCGGTCCTCCTCGTCCGCTCCCTGTTCCGCGCACAGGCAAGCACAGCAGACACCTGGCGAAGGCGGGAGGCCCGGACTCCCGTGCGCTGACGGGCGGAGGGCGGGGAAGGCCCGTGTGCGCAGGGGGCCCCCACGGGCCCACGGGGCGCTTTGCAGCCCGGGAGGACGCTCCGCAGCGTGTGTGGCTCTGCTCACCCTTCTCTCTGGCGACCCTGTGCCCTCTCGCCGCGCCATTCACGCCCTCACAGTTTTGTCACGACACGTAGGCGGGTCTCCGGAAGTAGGCCTCGGGTGTCCCCCACTCGGAGACCTCCGTCTGTAGGGTGGTTTTCCCTTCACGCCGCAGCACAGCCGGGTCCCGCCCCGGGAGGCAGGAGAGCCGTGCGCAGGGTCCTGCCCACGCGGCTCGTCTCACGGAACTTCCGGCAGGTTTCTCGGCGGCTCCTCAAGTGTCCGACCCCTGTGCACTGGCTGTCAGACTGGCATTCCTGGTGGATTATTGGGCTTTTCCCTAACTGCTTCTTTTCCAAACTTCTGGACGGCTAGTGTGCAGCATTATAGCCCTCGAGGGCTTGCCTTGTCGTTAAAAAAACGCGTCGCTGCCGCCTCATCAGTCAGGAGCTGCGCTATGTCCCCCCACTTAGGTGACTCTGGCTGAGCCCAGCGCCCCGGGCGAGTCCTCGAGGTTCCAGGCCGAGCCCGTGGATGGCCGGCGTGTGAGCAAAGTCGTCAAAACGACGGTGGTGCACGGGGAGAGGATGGAGAAGCACCTGGGGGACCCCCGCTTCGCGTCCGACCTCCCCTCTGCCAAAGCCGACTTCGAAGAGGTACGGGGGCGGCGGCGCCATGTTCGTGCCGTGTGTGTGTGTGTGTGTGTGTGTGTGGAGAGGGTGTGTTCTCTCAACCTTGCTCATGCGTGTTCCGGGTGGGGGGGGTGCCAGCCCCCCCAGAGGGGCAGTGCCTGGTCTACAGCCCGTGCGGTGAGCGGCTGCCCCCTCGGTCTCCGGGGCTCATCAGAGTCACCGTCACAGCTTTCAAAAATCCGGATGAGGGACCCGCCCCGCTGAGGCAGCACCCCGTCTCGGGACCCCGGCGTGAGCCTGGACGTGGGGCGCACCGGAGTCCGAGGGAAGGAGGGTGCAGGTCCAGTGATAGGCATTAAAAAATTCATTCATCTCCTACTCACAAATAGAAGAAGCATGTATAATTCACGCCTGATTTCCAGTAATTAGGAGATTAGTCCCTAGTGGTAGATACACAAACCCTTATAACGATTCTAAAATCCAAAATTCTGGAAACCAGAGCCAGGTTTGGAAGTTGGTAGCAAGCCAATCGGCTGTAGAACTTATGTGCTCCGAGGAGGAGCCTGTCTGGCCCCCGGAGGGGACCGTCCCGTGCTGAAGGGTGGACAGTGTGCACCTCCTGTGACTTTTCCAAAGTCCGGAGGAAACCACGTGACTTCCAGAGCGCAGCTGGCCGCAGGTTTGATGGAGGGAAGGCGGGCGTGCGCGAGTGTCCAGCAAGTGTTTCTTGCTGTTGAAGTGTTCTGAAGTTAGATGCCACAGTGTGGCCTCTTCCACACCCGCAGCACGCGCTGAGCTTGTACCTGGATGGGTGGGGATCGGAAGCCCGACTTAATGGAAACACCTCTAGCTCTTCGCACTCTGACAGCCAGTGACCTCGGCGATCAGAAGGCGGCTCATCTGAGCTGTTTTTCTTGCTCTGCGTCTGCTTGTTCCGTTTGCCATTGGTCTGTGCTGTGAAACCGGGTGGGGGAGGAAGTTAAAGCCACTGGCACAGTGTTGGTTGGCAGCCTTTGCCAAGTGGTATGGCAAACCCCCCCAGACATGGGGGAAACCCCAGGGCTCTGCGTCCTGACCGGCCCCCAGCGTGGGTTTGACTTACTGTCTTAGCCGCACCTGTCCCCACTGGCCACCTCGGGCCACGGTGTGTGACGGTTTTCCTTGTTTCTTCTCTCCCTCTCAGGCGTTGAGTTATGCAGGTAGCCACGCACAAGTCCACCTCCCCAGCTTAGTAGAGAGTGAAGTCCTGAGAGAGGATGGATCGGTGGTTAAAAGGTTTGGGTTGTTGGCATGGAGTGCTGCTCTGCTGACTAACATCCTTCCGAGGTGTCCAACTTTGAGAAAATAAAAACGGGGCCCGCATGCATCCTGGGGCCCGTATCAGGGAGTCAGACCCTGCTGTCCTCTTGAGGACTTAAAAGTCACCCTCAGGGCCTGAGGACAGTGGATGCCTATCCCCATGGTCACCTGGTCCTGCCAAGGCCAGCCCGTGGGGTGTCCACTGTGCCGACAGGTTGGAGGGTGTGGGAAGAGGCCTGGTCCGTCGCTCACAGTGAATCTGTGGCTGCCGCCTGTGGCTCAGCCTCAGGAAGTTGCCTGCTGCTCCGGGTCACGAGCTGGTCTGTGTCCTGCATGTGCGGGGTGACCCCAAGTGTGCCTGGCGGTTGGTCTGGGGTGTGTCTGACCAGCAGCGGGCAGCCTGCATCTGTGCCCGGGGACGGCCCCTTTGGGCGGGCCGTCTGAGCCCTCTCGGGGGGCTGGCACGTGTCCTGGCTCCCACGGCCCCCAGGTGCCCCCCGAGCCGAGGGGAGAGCATTCTGGGCCCCGACACCCAGTGTTGCATCCTGGTGGAACCCACAGACACATGCGGCCCACGCCACGAGGTCTCCCCGTTGGCACGGATTTCTGAGGCCACTCCCCCTAAATTCTCCACTGCAGCTGGGAGTTCAAGAGGAGCAAGTTGAAGGCACTTTCACCGAAGGGAAGGCGGGTGTCAGAGGTGCGGGAGAGGGAGGAAGGAGGGAGAGGCCAGCGAGGCCTGCCCTCCGACCCCATTAAAGCTCCAGGAGAACCGAGCAGACGCAGCGGGGTGTCAGGGGAGGGGCCGAGAGAACAGCCCGTGGGCAGACGTCCAGTGCTGGACACTGGGAATCCGTCTGGACTGCGCTGGGTGAGGCCTGCCAGCTGGTCCCCAGCATCGTCCCCCGTGAGGCGGGGAGGACAGGGTCACCCCCTTGGGCTCTGGGATCCTGAGCGTGGCCCTGCCCACCTTTCCTGCGTTAGTTTTACTGGAGCATTTGCTTAAATCCCCTGAGATTCAGCTTCCTCGTTTGTTCTAATCCCAGTGCCCAGCACACAAAACACACTCAGTGCATGGTGTGGAGTGAAGCCTTGGACTTCCACGTGGGCCGACCTGAGTGTGAACTAACCACAGGGCCCCTGTTTCCACGGAGGGGGGCAGGCGGTGGTGGGACCAGCCAGGGCAGCACGTCCTGGCCCCTCCGCAGTGTGGCCCAAAGCGAAGGAGCTTTAAGTGGACCGATAAGGGTGTTTCTCAGCCTGCTGGGGGGTGTGCATGCGGCTGCCATTTCAGGCCTAACCCGGTCTTGCCCGCCCCACAGGACGACGCTCAGTAAGGCCAGCACGCGGAAGAGGGCGGTGGTGAAGGACCAGCAGGGGGCGCACGTGCACCTGGAGCAGCTGGAGGATGTGCCCGAGGCCCTGGAGCGGGACGCCTTCCAGCACGACCTGCAGCAGCTGCTGCGGCATTTCTGCCAGGACGGCCCCGAGCAAGAGGCCAAGTGAGGGCCCCGGAGCTCGTGTCGGAAACCCTGTTGCCCCCTCGGTGCACAGCACCCCCTTTCGTCAGAGGAGCAGCCTGCCTGGCCCCGGGACCCTGACGCCCTGACTCCAGCACACCCCCCACACTTGGTTAGCTTGTCCCGCCCCCTTTAACTGTACGCGAATTTGTGACCAAAGATAGCATCCTGCCCCTGGGTGCTGTGTCCCGATGTCCTGGCGTCCGGGCCGGCCTGGGCACGGGCCGCCCCCCACCCCTCGCTTCCGCTCAGGCTCTGCGCGGAGCCGTTGATCAGGGCAGCTCCCCGTGCACCTCTCCCCAGGGTGACCAGGCGTCCCTCGGAGGGACGTCCGGGCACGGTGGGCCCAGCAGCGCTCCGACGGACCCGTGTCGGGTGGCGGTCACACTGGGCACCACGGAACCGAGGCCTCCAGAGGTGGCCAGGCGTGGTTCCTTCAGGTATTGCTAACACAATCCAGCGATGGCGCCTTCCGCTGCGGAAGAGGCCCATCAGACCTACCAGACCTTGCGACTCCGGCGTAGCTACGGCCCTGGCCGGGGTGGGGACCCCGAGGAACTGCCCCGGTGGAGCTCGGACTCCGGCAGGCAGGGCAGCGGAGAGGCGCCAGGGGCTGGCAGCTGCGACCCGTGGCCTTGTGGCACCGCAGGTCTCTCCGGTCCTGGACGCGCTGGCAGGCTCTTCACCGAGCTGTGACCACTGCAGTGCCCCGGACTCCATCGCTGCTCGTGCAAACCACGCTGTCTTACGGTGGCCCTTCCGCCCGGCCACGGCGCTGCAGGTACTTCCTTCCCTGGAAGCAGGCTCCGCCCGAAGCACGGGAGGCAAAGCGCCGTGGCCACGTGGGAGCGCGCCTCCTCCTCCCTCCAGGTTTCCGTCCCCGCGAGCGCCTGCATGTCGCATTTGGAAATCCGGCCCCATCGGAGCCTTGCTCTCGGCGCCCGGGCGGAGTTCCTTCTCACCCAGGACACGGCTCACCCTGCAGTGGGGTCTGGTTTCTCTCTGGCAGACAAGATGGAGAAGTCCTTAAAAATTTGGGTTTGGTTAAAAGTTTTGGTTTATTTATTTGAACCCTGAGGTGCATTTGTGCACTTCCTGTGTGTTTATTTCAAAGCAGGGCCTCCCGTCACCTGAGTGGTCCCCACGCCCCGGTCTGCATTCTTCTAGTGGTTGGAGCTGCGCAACATTTTAATCACATTTACTCACAAATATATTCCTGTAAACAGTGTACGTTTTGGACACTTATTTGTTAAAGAAAAGTATATTCAATGGAGATGAAATTTAAAAACAAACACCAGAGTCTATCCTCCCGGATGGAGCATTTCCCGATTCCAGCGGTCTTTTCCTGCAAAAACGAGTCCTTGCTCCCAATGTCACAAACCACGCGACACACAGTGCCACTCGGTCACTTCAGGGAGTGTGGCAGGAGGGAGTGTCCCGGGGGGGCACCCCCCACACAGCACCTCCCACCCCTCGTGGCTGTTGGATTGGAAATTCGGCATCGTCCTTTGCAGCCAAAGCGAGAGGCCAGTGGCAAGGCCCTGGACACACGGTGGCCTCTCGTGAGCCCTTCCCTGGGCCCCAGAAAGCGTTTCTGTTGTGTGATTTGCAGTGCGGATGACGTCTGTGTAACAACTTAACGGTTATTCACCTCCTTTTGGTTTTGATTTTTGCTGTGTAATCAAAAAAACTTGAATACTGTGAGAAGAAGTGAATTTTCAGTTGATGAATCAGCATCTTGTTTCCATGGTGATAACACTAACTGAATATATCTATGAGGGCATGTACTAGTTAACGGGAAAAATACAACACTAACAACACATAGCTGCAACGTGTACAATGGCTGATTTAAGTAAATAAAATGTACAAGTGTTCACCGCGGCCTCCGTGCTTTGTCCTCCTTTACCGCTGACCCCTGGCTTCAGGAGACGAGGCAGAACCGATGGAGGAGACCAGAGAAATGGGAGCCACGGGAAAGACAAATCGCTTTTTCTGCTGCCGTTTTTAAGTCGTGACTGAATGTACTGTTTGCCCCCAACTGTTGAGCCCTGGGACTTTGGTCCCTGCCTTCCGAGAACATTTATGGTGGTTGTTATGTAACAGGAGAAGAGCAGAGATTTCATTCTGGGGTCTCTGGTGGGTGGGAAGTGGGAGCTGAGGGTGTTGGGGGCCGCCGGCGCAGAGCCTCCTAGGCAGGGCCTGTCCGGCTCTGTCCCCAGACCACAGCTCTCAGACACCTGCGTGTGCTTCCCAGTTTAGTTTTCCACGCTCACATCTCCTTCTAAAATATCTGTAAACTTAACGCATTAGAAACCATGGGTTACGGCAAAGCAGGGGTCACAAGAAAATGCTGCCTCTACCCAGGGCCATGGGGCTCCGGGCCACGGGGCTCAGGCCCGGTGGCGGGATAGGAAACGTGCGTGAAGTGTCTGGGCTGCTGATGAATCAGGATGAACGTGAGCCGGCAAGAACAGACTTCTTAGAGAAGGAAAAACAGTGAAAACACAACCCACGCTGGAGAGCTGCCTTTGTACTAACAACGTGGTAACTGCCTCCGACAGGCACCAGAGGCACAGGGGGCAGCGATGCCCCACGGCCGGAACAGGAGGGCAGCGGGACCCAGGACGCCGGAGGAGAACGTGCGTCCGTCCGGCTCTGACTGGAGCCGGGACCCAGGATCTCCTGAGCAGTCACAGCAGCGGCAGCATCTGCCGTGCCCTGTTCCTGAAGGGGCTTCAGACCACAAAGGTGAAATGGGGGCTCCTTGTCCCGATCAAGCCCTGTTCTACCACACCTGGGCCTTGACGAGGTGACTGTGGGAGCACCTGAGGATGGGGGCTGGTGGCCAGGAGAACGTGTCTTCCCACCCCTGACCTCCGGGAGGGGCAGGGCTGCAGGTGGAACCCATCACCCGTGCTCAGGGAGGTAGCCCCGCCCACGGAAGGAAGCCGGCATGGAAACGGAAGGAGGCCTGGAAGACCGGGTGGGGCTGGAAGCGAGGGCAGTTCCAGGACAGTGACCGAGGTGGGCACGGGCGCTCCGCCCTCCCCCTGCTTCTGGGCCGTCACCAGGCTGTTCCTGAGTGGCGTCCTTTGACAGTGAACGGTGATCTGGTGAGTGGAACCCAAGGAGGGGGTGCTGGGAACCCTGATTCAGAGCCGGGGGGTCAGCACTGGGTCCCTGGGACGGGTGTCTGGGGCGGCCTGCCCTGGGACGGTGAACGGACACCGTCTCCGGGAGACGGGTGAGACTGAGTTGACTGGGCAGCCCAGCTGCCCCTGGAGACCTGCTCGCTGGTCGGACAAAGCTCCCCTCTCCTACCACCGCCACCCCCACCCCCTGCCACACACACTGGGGGCAAAACTGCATTAGGGAGATCAGCAGGGAGGAAATAAGAAAATCTCATCTAACTTTATGTAAGTGAATGCAGGAATCTGAATAAAAGATGATTTTGTTTAACTGGGAATCACTAAAAATGGCCACGGAAGCCAGAGTAACAGTGATCCCCACGTGACTGGGGCCTGAGTGGGTACAGCTGTTTCCAGAAGGGATTGATTGGCATCTGACCAGCGAAGGAGACCCCTCCATGGGGCGTGCTGGGGGTGGGGCGTGCTGGGGGTGGGGCGTGCTGGGGGTGGGGCGTGCTGGGGGTGGGGGGCAAGCAGAGGGAGGGGCGGGACTTCTCAGTGCTCTGACTCTGGGGACCAATCCCTCACCATCACTCTCCTCCGATCTACTCGTGTTACCCTCTGGGCTGCCTCTCTGGAGAACGGCAATTAATGCACCTGACACCCCAGCGGCGGAAGAAACTGGGAACGGAGCCTGTTTTAACTGCGAGCAGGATCCAGGTGCTGCCCAGATGGGCCCTATGATGCTTTCAATAGACAGGTCGCTCCAGGCCCTTGGAACAGCCACAAGGTCCCGGAGAAAAGCCAAGTTCCCAGTATGTTTAAGGAAGCAAGTATGGGGTATCGTCAGTCCCCACACTGGACAAAATGCACCCAGTAATGTCGAAAGTGACAAAAACTCAGACCAATATCACTAAGGAATAGCTAGGCAAAAGTCACAAATAAGCAATATGATTTGGCAAATCATGAATAAAAAATAAAACAATGGACCTTCCTTCAAGGTGCGAAGATGGCTCAGTGCGACTGGCTGTCACTACAAGCACCCACACGGACCGGCCGGAGGAGAGTGGAGCGCGGCTCCTCCCTTGGGCGGCCAGGACGCACGGGGCAAGCGCAGCAGCCATTCTGGAGTTTCGTGTCCACACAGGAGGAGAGACGCGCTGTGGAAACAGCCCTTCCCCAGCACGTGCTCAAACCCACGCGTGTTGCCAGCACTGGGTCACGCCCGCGCCGGCCCAGCTCGGGCAGTGCTTCGCCATGACAGAGAACTGCTCGGCTCCCGCCCACATGCAGTGCTGGCCCTGGCCGGCCGCGGGAAAGGGGCACGTCCACGCCAGAGGGAGTGAAAGCTAACACAGGTGGGCACCATCTTCGGCATTCAAGGCGCGCAAAGCTGTTGAGAGCAGTTCCACCTTGGGGGGTTTGTTGATCGTCCCCACGTGAACAGAAGATCACAAAAAATAACAGTGAAAACACCTGGAGCCGAGTTTCGCGTCCCTGGCAGGTGCCGATTGGGGGCAGCCTGTGGCTGCTCCCGCCGGGTGTGTGTGAGGGCGTGTGAGCATGAGGTCAAGGCGGCAGCGTGCCCACGTCACACACAGCGTGCATCTGTGTGGCTGTGTGACTGTGGGCCTGGTGGCCCGGGTCTCTGGGGGGGGAACCCGGGCTGGCAGTGTGGCCTTCGCTGTGCTGTGTCCCTCTCTTCCTCTCCAACATGATTTTTACATGAAGAGGATTTTAGCTGCTTGTAGATATAAGTGATAAAAACATGGAGTAGTTTTAACTCCCACTTCATCGGGGACACACTGGGCAGAGGACTGCCTGGTTGGGAGCCTCCACAATAATCCTGTCATGTCCCCAGCCCACCACTAGGGTGCAGCAGAGGATGCCTAGGTCTTTGTTGCCAAGTATTGGGTTAGCCAAAAAGTCCCTTTTTTTCTGTAACGTACAAGACACATTTTTCATTTTCACCAATAATTTTGATTTGGATGTTTTGAGTATGTTGGCTATCTGCTATTAGCTTCTAGTGGGTAGAGGTCAGGGGTGCTGCTAAATGTCTTCCAATGCATAAAACAGCCCCACAGCAAAGGATTATTTGGCCAAAATGTCACTAGTACCAAGATACTTCGCAAACCACTCTTGATACATCCAATCAGTTGCAGCACCTTTTCCATACGCTGCAAAAATCTTTTTTTGCATTTCAATTGTGTTTTTACCTTTCCTGAAATAATAAAACACAATGCGCCAAAAATGTTGCTTATTTTCTTCCATCTTCAATATTAAAATGGCTGCACAAAATTTGACCAATTTTGATATTTTTATGCCATGCTGATATGACAGTCGTCACATACAATCTAACAAAACAATCTCGAAGGAAGTTAAAGACAACTAAGCCCCACTAAAGCCATCATATGGAAAAACCTAACAGACTTTCTGGCCAGCCCAATAAACCTGCACTTTCGAAGACTAGAACTCCCTCTGCAACAACATGAGAAATGAGGTGACTGCCCACAGTACTGGTCTGTCTTTGTTCCCATTGCTGAAAGCATAGGATTCTGGATGAAACAGGGAGGTTGGTGGATGGCCTCTTGCAACGTCCTGGGGGCTTACTTTCTAGGTCTTTCCTCAGGATTCCATGCATTTCCTTCTGCCGGATGAATGAGGAACTTGATCGCCAAGTGAAGGGGCTGAATCTTGAGGATTTCAAAAGTAAGAGTCCTGTGTCGAGACTTGCACAGAGACCTTTACGGGACTCTTTCAGGCTTGGGAGGAGAGAAGGAGTCGACCGGTCCTGGCCTCGTCTGGCTGAGGGCGGTGGGGCTGCCGGGTCCGACACAGCCTGTGCGTCGGCGCAGACCTAGGCTGGAGAGCACAGCTCCTCTGTGTCTGGTCTGGGGGCCACAGTTTTGTGCTGAGAACAAGGTTTGGTGTTGATGGGGGTTTTGTGCTGGGAGCCAATGTGAGTTAAGAGCAAAGAGCTGAAGGGAGGCCTGGGTGGGGGGGAGTGATGGGGGAGGGTGGGAGACAGGAGGCACCTGGCACCTGTCCGCCTCAGCCTCTGCATCTGGGGGTCCACCCTGCTGTCCTGAACCCCGTCCCCCAGAACACAGGGGTGTGCACATGGAGAAAGGGTTTCCCGGGAAAGGAAAAATAGGGGCCTCTGTGCTGGCAATCACCTACAGCCCAGCATACAGTAGGTGCTCAAAAGCTGCTCCAAGTTTGACAATAACCCTGGGGCTCGGGGAAGACCCTCGACTCCCAAGTAGATCTTCAGCGCCAGGTGGTGGAGAGGAGACACAGACGGCGAACTGAACAAGCCTGTTAATTCCTTCGTTTTCGGTCGTGATCATAATTCTTAAACCTTGTGGAATCGGGCTGATGGGCTGCTGCTGTGCCGTGGTTCCACCTGTGGACAACTGCCCCTCACCCCAGAAGCCCAGTCAGCTGAGAGGCACCTGGGATGCTAACACCTCAGCTCACCCCTTATTCTTGGTGAGAAGGGCTTCCGGCATTTTCCTCACTGTAACGTGATACTGTGATTTTTAATAAGAAATACATATCTGGAGCTTATTCCTATTTCTGGTACCAAGCTCCAAAGACACTTAGAATTTCCTAAGTGACCAAGGTGTGTCTTGTTCTGTGAATGAGGGAATATTTGGACTTCACCTGAGGATGGGGCTGGTTGCCAGGGCAACCATGTGACTGAAGGGATGGAACTTTCGGTCTGACCCCCAGGGAGGGGTGAGGG